AAATGATCAAAATGATCACTCACATGACAAATCACGTGTTACTTCGTAACATAGAGCTTATTATAGAAGGAATATAATAAGATAACTATATTTAAAATTTAGAATAGTCTAAACTTTAAAAGTATAGGAATATATTTAAACTAATTATTAGATAAATTAGATAATTAAATTATAAAGAGGTATAATACTGGTAGAAACAGGATATTTATATAAACCTTATTTATAGTATCCTTATTGCCTTATTTACTATAATTATTTTGATTATTTTTAAGTAAAATAATTGCTTCTACTAATTAGTGATACCCTGACTATTAACCATTAGTTGATATATGTTAGGAATACCTTCCCGATACCGACTAGCTTCACTAATGTAAGCCACTTCGGAAGGGTGTAGCTTCCTAGAGCAAAGAAACAATGTATAACAAGAGCTTGTTATGGAAGGAATATAATAAGATTGTTATGTTTATGGCTTAGAATAGTCTGAGCTTCAGGAGTATGAGAATGTATTCAAACTAACTACTAGATAAACTAGACAGTTGAATTACAGTGAGCGTAGACTTGAGCGTAGCTCCCCTTATATAGACCTATGTTCTGTTCCCCATGACCAAGTCTCAATCGCTCCCGATGAGACTCATGCATACAGTCTCATCCGCCAAGGCTGAGACTGGTGCAGAAAGTCTCACATGCCAAGACTGAGACTGCCACTTGGCATTGCTTGGCAATGACCCATGTTACCCTGGCTGTACTGACAAGTACGCCGTAACATTATTCCCCTCCTTAGTAAGCTTGTCCCAAGCGTTAGTTCATTTAAGTGCCGTTTCACCCACTCCTCAAATCCAAAGATGTCTCGTTCCATTCTTTCTTCAAAAGATTTCGGCGGGGTCTCACGAGCAACATACTTCCGCCATAAAGCGAAGCGAGCACACAGTGAGATCGAGCTTTACGGAGATATAGCGATCGTAGCGTGTCAAAATTGTTTTAAACACGGTATCCGTTGTGTCTTCATGTCCGGAACAAAATTAGTGAAATGCGCTTCCTGCGCCTCAAAAGGAATTCCTTGCGTCAACTCGTCCTGGGCCTCTCTGGATAAAACCAGAGAAGAGGCAAAGTCGCAAATAGATGCCGACTTGCTGGAGTTAGAAAGGATTACCGCGCGTCTAAGGAAAAATCGGAAGATCCTAAAGTTGGCTGAAGAACGTGCGAAAGCGAAGGCGGTGTGTCTTCTGGATGAGTTGGAAGAGGAAGAAGAGATGCAACGCGTGAAAGGCGGTGGGCTTTCCAATGCTGAGCTGGAGGAGTTGTCAAGGGATCTGGTCGCTCAGAACAACATTCTTTCAAACGATCCCCCCATCTGGAGTACCTGGGATCCCGAATCTTTTAACCGCAGCTTGAAGCGACGAAGGCTAGACGACCCGTCTCCTGGGGATCCTAGTTCAGACTCAACTTCCATCCCGGTGGTGGAACGTGGTCCGGATGTTCCTTATGAAAACGCCGTAGTTCAAGCGGACAATTCAGATTCTTGTAAGGTTCCCAAGTATTTTCTTCTGAAGGATAACCTTTCCACTTAATGAAGTAAAAGTGCTGACGTCCTCGGATTCTGTGATCTAGGATTTTCTCCACTTCGTATTCTAGGTCAGTCGGGTCCTCAAGATTAGTTTCTTTGTCGAGTGGGGTCTCCGGGTTCGCCTTTTCCAACAGTGAAACATGGAATATAGGATGTATCCTCATGTTTTTTGGTAGTTGCAGCTCGTAATTTACTGGTCCTATGATCCTCTTGATTTTGAATGGTCCGATTTTCAGAAAATCAAGTTTATCGCTTTGGCGCTTGGTGCGAATGTTTCGTCGCCAAAGATAAACTTTATCCCCCTCCTTGAGGTCTGGTCCCTCAGACCTTTTTTGATTTGCTTGGGAGATCATTCTTTGGTTCAGGAACATAATATCAGATCGTAGTTAAGTATGAAGCGATTGCAGGTCCTCTGCAAACAGCGTTGCTTCCGTAGGCAGGTGTGCCGACGTGTCAACTATTAATCTTGGTTCCTTTCCAAAGTTCGCGTAATACGGTGACATCCCTATGGTACTCTGCTTGGTTGCGTTGTATGCTAGCGCTGCCTGTGGTAAAAGCTGTACCCAATTATTTTGTTCGTCGTTGACATATATTCTCAAATATTGCTCCAGTATTTGGTTTACTCGTTCCGTTTGGCCGTCACTCTGTGGATGATATGCTGTTGACATTCCCTGTGCTATTTGTAATACTTGGCATAATTCTTTCCAGAAATGAGATGTAAATATCTTGTCTCGATCAGAGATAATCTTTTCAGGTATGCCAAACTTCCCTACTTCTTTCAGGAAGACTTTCGCCAAATAAGAGGCTGTAAATTGTCGAGGGATCGGGACAAATATCGCATATTTTGTCAGGCGGTCGACGGCAACCATAATATTTTCGTGTTCCATATTATTCTCGTCCTTAGAAGGTGGTAAAGGTCCAATGAAGTCTATTGATACTTCTTGCCAAGACTTTTCTGGTGCTCGGTTTGGCTGAAGTAGTCCATAAGGTCTATGTCGTTCATACTTGGCTTTCTTGCATAAATGGCAACCCTTAACCCAAGTAAAAACTTTTTGTCGCATCCTGGGAAAGTAGTAGTTTCGTCGTAATCTTTCCAAGACTTCTTCTGCTTTGGCATGACCTTGCAAAGGTGGCTCGTGATACTTAAGTGTCCATTCCTTCTCGAGGTTCGGAGGTAGTATGATTTTCCCTTCATGCATATAGACCTGTAGCTTATCATCGTAATCCATATATTGTTTGATGAAATCCCTTTTCGATTGTTCAGTTCGAATCCTCTGAATCTCAGGTATGTTGATTTTGATCAAAGATGCCACTTGATGTATCATAGAGTCTCCTTCTTGCCGCAAGAGAGCATGTTTAACTTCCATTCCTTTGTCATAGTCGGTTCTTCTGCTTAATGCATCTGCGTTGGCATTAAGTTTTCCACTCCGATGTTTGATCTCAAAGTTGAATGACGATAATTCGTATGACCATCTTAACTGTCGTCCATTCAGCACTTTGGTAGTGGTGAAGTTCCGGAGATTCTGGTGGTCTGACAAGACTAAGAATGTATCCTTGGTGCCTTCTAAGTAGTGTCGCCAATGTTTGAGTGCGTCAACAATCGCTAGCAACTCCTGATCCGATGTGGAGTATCTGGTCTCCGCATCAGTAAACTTTCTAGAGTGATAGGCTACTGGCCGCCATAGCCCATCTTCGCCCTGTTGACTTAGGACTGCTCCGAGGGCATATTTGGAAGCATCTGTTTCAATTCTTATCGGCTTCTTCTCGTTGAACAATTGTAGTACCGGCGTAGTCGTGACCAATTTCTTAAGCTCGTTAAAGGCCTTTTGAGCGTCTTCGGTCCACTGAAACTCCTGGGAAGTGACGCCAGCGTTTTCCTGTTTCTTAGTGAGTTCAGTAAGTGGTACTGCAATCCTTGAATATCCAGGGATGAACTGTCGATAATAGTTCGTAAATCCTAAAAATGCTTGAACTTGCTTAACTGTTCGTGGTTCAGGCCATTCCTTAACCCTCTCGACCTTTTCCGGATTTACTTCCAGTCCCTTTTCTGATATAATCAGTCCAATAAACTCGATCCTTTGTTTATGGAACTCGTATTTGGATGGTTTAAGCCGTAAATTATGTTTTCTTAGCGCTTTCAAGACCTTTCGGACATGTTCGACGTGTTCTTCAAGCGTCCGGGAGTATACTAATATGTCGTCCATATAGACCTCAACATACCTGTCCAAGTGTTCCCGCAACACATGGTTCATGTATGCTTGCATGGTAGCTGGGGCATTCGTGAGTCCAAATGGTATCACCCTATACTGATAGTGCCCTCGATGAGTGCCAAACGCTGTCTTGTACTCATCGCCCTGCTTAATCCGAATTCGATGGAATGCTTCCGGTATATCAAACTTTGTGAACCATCGAGCTCCCTGGAGTCGGTCTCGTAACTCCTGGATTAACGGCAGCGTCATGCCATTCTTCACCGTGATACTGTTCAGGTGTCTGTAATCCACATAAAGTCGTAGTCCGCCGTCGGGTTTAGGTACATAAAATACCGGATATCTCGCGGGAGACTTGGACTCTTTAATAAACCCCCGTTTTAGGTTTTCGTCCAAGTACTTATCTAGTGCTTCTCTTTGGTCTGCCCTGAGTGGGTAGATACCAAACCTCTTTAGTTGGGATCCCTCTTTTAGCACTATTTCGTGATCGAACGGCTGGTGCGGTGGCAAGGCTTCTTCTGGAGCCTCCTTCTCAAAAAGTTCCGCAAATTCCTTATACTCCGGAGGAATTTGGAACGCTGTCTTCTGCTCCTCTTGGAGCTGACAAACAGCTACCGCCTCTACGTCTTGTGTACTCTGCCGCATGAGCTTTTTCGTCTGCCCCCTAGTGCGCTTCCTGGTCCGGGCAGGACATCGATCCTTAACTAGAGACACAGTTAAGGTTGACCAGTCGATGTGCGGTCTTTCGTCCTGGAGCCATGACAATCTGAGGATGATATCCGAATCCCCGATGTTAGTAACGTTAAACGTCCTCCTAACCTTTTTGCCTAAGGTTGTTATGTCGACGGTTGTCTCGTATTCAACCATGCCTTGGTCTGAAGCGATCGGAGTTCCGTCAGCAGTGATAAGTGGATATGGGTCCCTTTTCTTGTACAAAGGTAGTCCCCATTCCCTAGCATACCGACTGCTCAAGAAATCTGCCGTAGCTCCTGAGTCAATCATGGCCATGGTAGAGTTGCCTGCGATCTCAACTTCTACCATCAGCTTGCTCTCCCCTAACTTATTGAGGCTTCGAGGTTCCTTCCAAGAGTCAACTATTACGCCCCCTAATAGTCGACCTCCTCGTTTCCTGAGAAGTAAGGGCGCTCGCTCCCACCGTCATCAAGCGTCTCTTCGCCTGACTCCCATTCCCCGGAACTTTCATCCGGGTTGGACATTACTTTTGTTATTTACAGGTTTAGTCGATATGACTTCTGTGGATCTTCAGAGTCTGGATCTGCGTTCATCTGAAATCCAATTCGATATGGGTCCTTAGGCAAAACCCATATAATAGCCCTTCTTATTGAATCATCTGTCATGTAGATGAGTTTTATGATGCATTTGTAGACATTTTCCATCATCTCGTTCTCTTCAGGGTCAAGATTTCCAATCGTACTTTGGATTCCCCGCGGTGATGATCCAGCATCAATTGATGGGTGATTTTCATCGATAATTCCCCATTGCATCACTGGTACACGGTGTCTTGGACACTGACAACCCCAAGCTGTGCAGAGATTGACTGGAAGATGCTCATGGTGTACATGGCGATCATTTCCTTTAATACCCTCGATCTGGAGTATCCGTCGTACTTGCGTAAAAGAAACCTTAGGTGGTCCATAAGGATATTCCCATGATGGTTCTCCTGGATCCTTATTTTCACTATGCTCCCAGAATCCGCAGTCCTGGATTTTGCAATGACTAATCGGTAGTGCCCAATGGAATTTGTGAGCCATGTTCGTCTGAACATCGGGATGTCGTTCCAAAATCCCCTGGATCACAGTCTCGTCCCGCGGTCCTGTATTTTGATTTGGTCCCCATCGGTAAGCATCATGAGAGTTTCTCTTAAGCATCGCGATCTTTCGTGTCTGCACACCAGTTCCTAGAGTCTTGATGGACTGTTTCTTGGGCTTTGGACAGCTTCGAGCAAAATGTCCTGGTTGGCCACACTTGAAACAATTTCCCATGTTTTTCTTGAAATTCTTGGGCTTTTTCGGGGCTTGTTCGCCTTTCTGGAGTTTATCTATCTCCATAGGCTGTGGTCCATAGTAATCAGTAGAGCGTCGTGGTCTCCCGTGATTAGGTTGGTGTCTGGGCGTCTTTCCCTGTTTATCGAGCTTGTTTTCAAATAGGATGGAATCGACCCTAATCGCTGATTCAATAAGTTCGGTAAGGGTAGATATTTCTTTTTCCCTAAGCCGTAATTGAGCTTTAACTTCTGGCTTAAGTCCTGCGAAAAACTTGGTACGAAGTGCATCGTCGTTCCATTTCAGAATCGCCGCCCATTTCTCAAATTCGACCGCATAGGAACTTGCGTCTGACTTCTGTCGTAGTTCCAATAATTTCTTCTCGGCCAGATAGGCCTCGTTAACTCGCTGGAAGTACTGATCCATTTCTCCCATGAATACTGAGTAACTCTGGAAGATCCTTTTGACATCGTGCGGAACATCTCCTTTCTTCAAGATATATTGATCAACCCGTCTCTGGATCCAAGTGTATGCACTTCCCCTTAAATAGGAAACGGCACATATGACTTTCTTTTCCTCAGAGTCGAGTTTATCCTGGTTCCAATAAATGTAAACCCCAAGCTGGGACCTAAAAGCTTCATATTTGGATCGCTCCCCCTCAAAGGGTTCAGGTGGATTGACTTTCGGTCGCGCCATATCGCCGTCAAAGAGATTCTCGCTTCCGGAATCAGAATTCGAGTCGGATGAATCAGAGTCGTCTATCAGTTGAGCGTCCGGTAAGACTTCCGGATCCCTTGGTGGTGGCGGAGGTGGTGGAGGTACCGCTGTTCTGTATGTCGATGGCCCAGCAGCGCCGATAGTCGAAGTAACCTCAACCTTCTTCTTTGGTGGACCAGACTGTTGTTGACTCCCGCTACTTCTCTTAGAGACAGTAGACATAAGATATTGTTCCTTGCCCTATTCAATAATGTGGTAATTCAACTTTTGTTAGGAATACCTTCCCGATACCGACTAGCTTCACTAATGTAAGCCACTTCGGAAGGGTGTAGCTTCCTAGAGCAAAGAAACAATGTATAACAAGAGCTTGTTATGGAAGGAATATAATAAGATTGTTATGTTTATGGCTTAGAATAGTCTGAGCTTCAGGAGTATGAGAATGTATTCAAACTAACTACTAGATAAACTAGACAGTTGAATTACAGTGAGCGTAGACTTGAGCGTAGCTCCCCTTATATAGACCTATGTTCTGTTCCCCATGACCAAGTCTCAATCGCTCCCGATGAGACTCATGCATACAGTCTCATCCGCCAAGGCTGAGACTGGTGCAGAAAGTCTCACATGCCAAGACTGAGACTGCCACTTGGCATTGCTTGGCAATGACCCATGTTACTCTGGCCGTACTGACAAGTACGCCGTAACAATATACTTATTCTGCTTATTATTAAGCAGAATAATTATAATCATCCTTATATGACTATTTATATATTACTTTATAATAATAAGGTCTATATAAATATCCTGTCTTTATTGGTATTGCACCTCTTTATAATTTAACTATCTAGTTTATCTAATAGTTAGTTTGAATATATTCCTATACTCTTAAAGCTTATATTATTCTAAATTATAAATATAACTATTTTATTATATTCTTTCTGTAATAAGCTCTGGTTATATCTTATTCCTTTGCTCTAGGAAGCTACACCCTTCTGAAGTGGCTTACATTAGTGAAGCTAGTCGGTACTAGGAAAGTATTCCTAACACATTCGCTCACGAACCAATAGGACTGGTCCCTAGTGATATGCTCATAACAACTATATTCTTAATTTATTTATTTCCTTTAGGCAAATAGCAACCCTTCGCTCATATAAGTCAATCACCTTAATTATAAATGATCAACATAATCGTTTCTTCACGTGATTCCCATGTTACTCCGTAACACTGGGGTCAAAACTCTATTTAAGTAATTACATGATACCAATAATCATAGTAATATATAGGTTAAGATCAAAATCATAAACTATAAATGAAATATATAGGCTATTATATTATTACTGTATTTATTATAATTTACTTTCTGATTTTGGTCGCAAGATATTTGCTTGTGTCATTACAGCGACTAAATTTAGATCCTGATCCCACAACCTTGCCTCACTATACGTACGGCCATTGCTTCCATGATATGTCTTCATTTCCTTAAGATGCCACTCGTTTAAATCTACCGAGTTTGAGAATATTCGGATGGCAAAATCTAAGCTTGAGCAAGGCCCAGCGTCGTTCAAGGCCATATGGTCGTGAACTAGAGGCAGAAACGACAACGCACTGTCAATGTTGAAAGCTAGCGCAGATACATTCTCTGCCTGCGTTTTCAGAGGACCACCTCGCGCGCGTAGCCATTCTGCTGTGGTCCGTGACGTCAGCGGAAGACTGTCTTGCATCGTCGTCAAGTTCTTGGCCATCCCGAACAACTTCTGGTGTATCATGCTCTCTGGGACTATGCGATTCTCAAAGGTACGAGCCATCATTGCAAACGTTTTAGTTTGCGCATCACATGCGGCTTGTGAGACAACGTTATTTTGTACCAACTCGGCCTTATACTCGTCGAGGGTTTTTCCTTCCAACGGGCTTGGATATTTCTTTGATGGAGGCACTGAGTATGACAGCATGGTTCCTGGTTCTTGCACCTGAAAGTCTGCTAACATACTCAAACAATGTCGTCGCGTGCCATCGTCAAGTACCTGACTAACTTGGACGTACCGTGTTGCGAAGGTTCGCGTATCTCTAATTCGGGTCACGTTGCAGTAATATCTATGATTAATATAAGTAAATGGTGCGGTAGATGCATTAAATCGATGACCATACTTGCGATCTGTCTGAGCAGGACCTAGATAGTTACCACTGGCAGAATAGAGATGGTAGCCATCCTTAACTGTTTGGCACGCAGCTGAGACTCCGATCGCCAATGTACATCCTCCTATGGGACAATTAGCCTTGCAATAAATATGGCTGTCCGTTAGCGCGTGGACAAGCTTTGCCTTACCATAAGCAATCAAACCAATATTACCCATCCATCCCGGAAGATATTGAGATCTAAACTCATTATCTGAAAGTCTATCCAACGCAATATGCTCTAGAATTGTAGTGGCTGACATGATCTCTTGTAGAAAGCAGAGATGCTTTATTGAGGACAGTGACAGGTTTTAGCATCATATAAGTTAACGTTAACTTATATCAAGTTATGCTTTCAGGTATTACTCATCAAGAAACTTGCGAGCCGATGTGGCGCAGCAGTTCACGACCAATATTTAGCTTGAATATTGGCCAGTATTCTACAATTTAGCCGAACCTACTGTGGATTCTGCCGAGGTAGATCAGATCCAACTGTAGACCTAGTTCACCTTGTCTGCTTTTACTACCTGCTAAGAGACGATTTGCAACTATACGCTAAGCCTTTGTCAACGTACTTTTATGTCGTTAACAGCACTTAGTAACGTTTTCTTGGTGCATCCTACTGAGGCAGGTAGTTCTAGATTTACATCTGCTCCATAATGGAAGACGACAAGAAGAAACAAAATTTAGGAGACAGCAAAGGTTAAGGGATTCATGTATAGGTCGCATTGCGGCCGGCGCAGAGACAAGCCATTGTGCATGTCCATCGAGAGCTTATTTCTGATCGGAAAATAATTTGACAGGATAAGGAGCTACGAGTCTAATTGTGCGACCGATTTTCGCCTGATACCATTTTTTGAAATTGCAAAGACCAAAGACGAGTCTATATGGTCGTCCAAGTAGAGGTTTGAAATGGCACATTGAGGACAAATGAGCCGACGATCGCATTTTTTGTATTATCCGCACTTGGCTGCTACCTCTGCAAAAGCACAAACACCAATAAGTACCCTTCACGCGCTTTTGATGACGATGCACCTTCTTTCACATTACCACGAGCCTCATCTCGCGAGTGGGCGAATTGTGATTGAGAAGAAACGCCGCACCGTTGCTCATGGACAGCCACTGCCGTTGTTAGATTACGCCATTTTGTTCAGCTCTCAGGGGTAAGCTAAACCGCTAGGAGACAGGTTTTGAGTGATTCCTTGGAGGATTTAGGGTCAGAATAATCGATAAGCCTTACATCTCGTTAGCTGGTTTGTGCGAGTCGATTGTTTCACTTTGGATCGAACGTTCGGAACCGTAAAGGCGTTTAAACGACGATCGTATGGACAGATTTTGTTCGCACTGAAGAGCGTAAAGACAAGATTGCCATTGAATTTAAGCTAAAGCCAGACAACACCACGGACTCCGTAAAAATAGGATGTATATGCAGCAAACCGAGGGTCAAATTTCCAGTCATGCATGTCGGGGATGACGGATAAGGTTGGCGCCCCTTATCCAGCGTGCGCACCAGATGAATCGTCAAACGCTTTAAGAATTCCACGCGTATTTTCTGATTTGCAACTACAAACCTTCAGCACCTCTTTAATCGTAATTCGCACTTTTTTGTGGCTCTCCAAGCTATGAAAGCCCGTCCATTCGTTTGACAAGCACATAAATTTTTCTAAACATTGTGCTCTCCACTCGTAAACTCTTCTTGTGTTGTTTTTGCTTTGACAGCAAGGCGGCTTCCTGTCCCTATCGGCCACGAATAACCACGTCCAGCTTTACATATTCTTTATTATTTAATTCCTACTATAGAGGGGCGTACTGACACGTCTCTCGTACTCTTGATCCACCACGGCTTCGACACTTATTCACCAGCGCCCAATGGGCCTTGACATTCACCACACACCATCGATACATACTTCATCGCTCCGACCAAGTCCGCCGTCCGACGATCGACCTTCACTTCCATCTATCGGCCTGAGCATCTCGCGACCCAGCTCTAGGTTGAGTACCACAAGTACAAGGAGTTTGAGTAGTGGATATTACGAGGCGGCGAGGCAGCATGTACAGCTACCAGGCTTAAGCGCCCTGGCGAGTATTGCTGCCAACACGTCGCCTCCGGAGCGACAGTTGTATGTGGTCCATCCCGTGTCATCACGCTTTTACCATTGACAGCGTTGGCTTCGTGACTTGAGACGTACTGATCTCCTTCGTACTGTGCAGGTCGCAGGCTCCTCAGCCAGGCGTGAACTTCCTTGGCTACACGCCCACGCCTTCGGCGGCTCCGGGCGGCATTGGCACAGCTCCTGTAAGTGTGTAGTGGTCCTTTTCTCGTCACATTCACCATAAAAAATCTCGTTGTCCCTTAGAACTATCCCTGCTACCTCAAGCAAACACCGACCAATCACACGTCCCGGAATACAGAGGGAACCCCAAGAAAAACCGTCTTTCCACAAAGTTTGTTCTAGCTGTCTACCCAAACAACCCTTTATCGATAACACCACATGTTTGTTGTGGCCTTGCAAGTCATGTCCGCGAGCCTTCCTAACAACTTACAGCCAGTTTGTCAAAATTGCTCGACCTCGACTACCCCACTCTGGCGCCGTGATGAAAACGGCAGCGTCCTCTGCAATGCTTGCGGTCTTTTCCTCAAGTTACACGGCAAACCACGACCGATAAGCCTGAAGACAGATGTGATCAAGAGTCGGAATCGAGTGAAAGCGACAGGCAAGAGATCCACAAGCCATGTATCATCGCAAGAACAGCAGCCTCGGATTCAGCAAGTGTCGTTGGCCGCCAGCCATCCTGGCATATCCCATCTCAATCCCGAACAGCGCCCGCATTTTCAACCGCAGTCTGCAAGCACTGACTCGTCCACGACCTCTCCCATGTCGAGATCGGGCACGCCGGGACTAAACGGACATAATATCGCCCCTCAACATATGTTTGATCAGGTCATTCAGATTCCTGGCTCAAGTGAGAACTATGGCCCGTCGCCATCGATATCACAATTCACATTCCGCGCTAACTCTCCCGGTGCTGCCTCGACCTCATCATTGCTAGCGACTAGTGCACAAGCTGGTTCGGCTACCGGTCAACCGGATATACCTCAGGACGTAACGGCGATCAAGACTAGGGTTTCAGAACTCGAGGTTATTAACGATCTATTTAGAGGAAGAGTGGCGGAGCTAGAGGCGTTGTTAGCTGAGAAGCAACAGCAAGCAGAGCTTGACAGGCAGGAGAAGGAGCAATTGAGGATGGACCTTGAACAGGCAAGGCGGAAGATAGAGGAGTTGGAGAACGAAGGCGGTGAGCATAGATCGAAGAGACTTCGAGTCGAGGACTTCGTTCGGGATGACGCCAGTGGCAGCGACAACTGAGTCTTGCATTTCCTGGAGGCATCGTTTGACATTTTTGCGAATAATGGCGTTGTCTGCAGTCGTGGCGTTATAACGAGCATGGATATATTCACATACATCATGCGGGCTTGCTTTTCTTCAACTATGGAGAATCACCTACAATGTACATAATAAGTCGATTTCCGTAGGGCATCGCGTAGGTGTCCATTTTTAAATGCTTTGTGTAAACCTTTCCCAGTGGAGATTCGCCAGTTGGAAACTGAACTACATAGAGATTGATTGGTTTGCGGCCTCTGTAGAAATAAGGATGAGAGAAAAATGAAAAGAGCAATCCCTGCAGTTGATTATGCTCTATGTTTTCACTTTCGAATTCATCAAATTTTTTTATCTTAGACAATCATTTAAAGATTTTCTTTCTGTCAACAACCAGGTCTGGGCCTAAACACAACTCCAACTCGAAACAGCGGCGTCTTGTTTTTGTTGACACTACTTTCATCGCCCGACAAACGACCACATTTCCACTTCAATACCGCACATTTGATGCCTGACGATTGCTAGAAATCCGGCCTCCTGATTCTTTACTGCTCTTGCTATTGACGACTTAAAGGCAAGATTGTAAGCTCGATATATTTGAGGCACACCCGAGGACGTCACCCAGCAATATTCGACGTTGATTGGTTAACCGAGCTTGGCTGGCTGTAAACGTGATTTTTACTGGATCAAAAATCGAACAAAGGGACGATCGAAAGCCCAGGAAGAACATGAGCTTAACCATAAGGTCCTAGGTTCGGCCTGCTTTGAAGTTCCCGCCGACGTTCGGACGCATCTTTCGAATTGACCTTCACCGTGTTAAACCGAACTCTAATTTCGACTCGCTGCGCTAACTACAGCTGACTCGCAAGAAAACACAACTGACTCCCCAAACAGTTGTTGACATCGTGAGCTTAAATCGCACTCAGCTGTATCACGTTACATCTCATGGAAGTCGTCGATCGGTTCGATTTTAAGTAATTCTGTCGCCCCTGTGGACAATTGTTCTCTTTGAAAGCAACCGCAACACCTCTGGTCACCCTCTCAACTTTCTGCGCTTGCAGTAGGTTCCCTGAACGCAAGTTGAAACATCTACCTTCAATCTTGCAGTTGGTTTTCACTCGGGCCGAAATATGAGTCCTGGTGTCTTGGTACCGCGCAACGCAGGTATCAAAATTCGTGGTGTTGAGGATGAGCCTCCGCTTGTTGACGTGCCCGCCCCAGACAAGAGCAAGATTGTGGTGGCGAGTCAATATTTATTTCAACATGACCTTGAAGCTGTTGGAATGATGGACGAACGCGACGTTCAGGGTCGCCTGCAGGGCATCCAAATCATTGAGGCCAGTAGGAAATGTCTAAGGATGCAAGTCGCACTAATTACCTCTCCCTAGAATGTGCTGTGCTCATCTGATATAGGCCAATGAAGACATATGGGACAGCCTGCGTATTCTTCATGCGCTACCGCTATCACATCGCTACCAAGGGAGTAGATGATGAGATTGCGGGCCGATACGACTTTAGGGTTTGTTGCACCCCGGATATACTATCCTTTAGACGAACCAATATATTTCTTGCCCGCTAGTCGTATTTTGTATACACTACTCAATAGACACCTCGTGAATGATCTCCTTCGGCGCCTGGAACTTACTTGAGAAATGGCTGACCTCGACGGCAGGATGTAGCCCTTGCATCGTTATGGCTCGCCTCAAAAGCGGAGGAGACACCCAAGAAGTCGAAAGAAATTCTTTGTGCATTTAGAAACAGCACTCTTCAGCCTGAGGAGCATCTTACACCGGACGATGAGATGTTTGAGAACCAAGCAAAACTTATGATTAATCTTGAACGATATTTGCTCGAGATTGTGGCATTCGACTTTCGTGCCCGAAATTGCGCTGAATTACTGGCAGGCGTTATGGTTGATCGCGATGCAACAGGGAGGGTCATTAAAATTGCTATGGCTGTTGTCTTGGACATTTACCGAACACTTGCGGTACTCAAACAAACAAGGCAAACTCTTGCGCTGAGTTGCTTTGAGTTGGCTGCTCGTTTTGTGCAGTCCGAGGAAGATATTGGCAAAGCGACGAACGAAGAATTATACGTTCGACTCGGAACTACTCGACAGGAAGTTCTAGGTATGTTCTGTGTAGATGCAGCAGTCACTCGGACTTTCGCGACTGATTTTACTTTAGAAACACTGTTTGATCTGATTGAACTATACTTGAATCATCACGTTGTCACAGCGGCTGGATCGAAGTACACCATCAATGATTTTATGCGCGTGAGCACCGCTCTGCGTTCTGAAATGAAAACAAAAGGTTATTCGAGATATACTTATTTACAAGAACTACCGCCATCAAGCTCGCCAACAACATCACCCGCACACACAGACGCGAAGTCGACGCCTACATTATTAGGAACACCCCGAACACCAGTGAACCGTGACATTGACCGACGCGAATCTCTCAAGAAAAGACTGAGTCCCAAAGAAAATAGCAAAATCTTCGTAGATGAGCGTGATATCGAAATAGGAAAACCTGTTTCTCCCCCACCTTCATTCCTTCTCACACGTGAGAGTAATGGATACGGAACTCAATCGCCAACATCTCCCACAAGTCCGACCACTGCAGAAGCATCAAACCCCGATGACCCATCTCAGGTTAAGGAAGTCGTACGATTTGTCCTTGATGCATCACGGGCTCGTGATGAAGATCTCCTCCGAAGGCCTTTCCATCATATCGAAACAGTTGAAGTTACGCAACAAAGGGATGTATGGATACCGAATGATGGAAGTGCGCAATTCGAAATCACCTCAACTAGCCCTGCGAGCCCTCCGCATATGGGAAAGATGAGGAATGGAGATGTGGAGATGAGGGATGCCCCAGCTGTTTCAGCGCCAAGTAGGTCTCGCACTTTCCGAGATATACGATATCTGGGCCCGAGGTTTGATCAAGATCGTGATCGTGAGCGAGATGACCGAGGTGATCGAGAACGGGATCGAGAACGGGATCGAGAACGGGATCGAGAACGGGATCGAGACAGGGAGAGAAGACGGACGCCACCACCTAGCAGAATGTATGGGCGAGACGAGCGTTACGGAAGAAGAGATGATCGGGGGTGGTAGTACATGCTGTAACTAAGATGTGAAAAAATTTTTTCCTTGCCGTGGTATTCCAACTGCTTAGGCTTATCTCTTCCCTACAACTTCCATATGGTCACGCCAGCAGCCGTTATTCTAAACAAATAAATTTCGAGCGTGATATTTGGTACCAGAACCAACATATGATGACACGTAGAATAGGACTTGAAACAAGGATGTTGTGATTGGAGCGAGCACATTTGTAAGCTTTTAGAAACAATGATGGCCTCAAGACAATATTTTGGGGCTGAATCTCGCCCAGGCCAGAACGAACTTACCACCTTTATGAGTTTTATTCTCGGCATCTATGGAATAAGCTTTGTCACGTCGGATTTGTACGTTCGATAGTGTGACTGACATGACGTTTCGCGCAAGTGATATATATGGTCTTGAAAGCTTGCAACAATGTCGCCTTATGATTCTAAAGCTGCGCACGGCTATCCCCGAAAGGAGACGTCCGGCTAATGAAAGAGAAGTGCAATATCATCCAACTACGTGCACATTAAGGTTTTCGCAGGATAGAAATCATAAAATTTCGTTCTACCAAAGACAAATCTACAAAAGAAACCTTTCCAGCATGCATTTCTTATCTTCGCAATACCCTTCATTGGCACGTCCAAGGATTTCCAGATGCGATTGAACACCCTCCGATGAGATATATTTTGAGGCTTGTTGGAATCTACAGCGTCTTCTATGTCTCATCGCGACAGGGATGGTGTCCCGAGCGTAGAACGTTTACAGCTTGTCGTAGTACTAGGGGTACCATTAGTTATAGCTTCAATAATGTATGCGAGGATGACGGCTTACCTCGGTGTACGCTGGTACATCCGGCTTGAGACCCTTTTTGATGCGAATAGCTTCGACGATGCCGCCAGCTTTGCTTGTCTTATCTGTTGGATTACCTGGTAGGACCTGGTAGTGATCAAACACAGACTGTGGGAATGCCTGGCCAGCAGTATTTGATCGCAAGTCGGCGACGAAACCGAACGACTCATTGACAGGCAAGTATGCTTTGATGTTATACAGAGGAGTACCTGGGCGCTGAGCCTCTTCAAAGACGTGACCACGTCTCCTGGTAAGCACACCGTAGATGCCGCCCATGGCTTGTTCTGGAACTTGAATTTCGACAAGATAGACTGGTTCCAGAATAGACGGTTCAGCGAGCAGCAGAGCAGCATAAAGCACACGACGAGCAGTTGGGATGATTTGTCCACCGCCGCGATGGATTGCATCGGCGTGCAGCGTGACATCCTGGATGTTGAAGCGGGTGGAACGCATTGGCTCTTCAGCAATAGGACCTTCGCGAGTGGCCCACTGGAAACCAGAGACGACAGAGTCCTTGATTTCGTTTAGGTACTGCACAGCCTTGGTCTGGTCAACAAGAACGTTTGGACCCGTGGTGTCTGGCCCGAAGCACCAGATCTTGCGAGCATCGGTGACATCCCAGCCATGTTCGTCCGCGAGGATACGGGCGCGTGCTTTGAAATCATCTCGTGGGCCGATCTTACCAGATTCGATGTCTTTCGAAACTTCCTCGGCAAGAGGTGTCGCCGTGACGTATAGACGGTTGTGCTTATTAGGCGACTTGGAAAGGGCAACCATTGATGAGTCGCCGCCAACAGACTCGCGATACGAGACGACTGGGTCAGAGAACCTCAGTGGGACGCCGGCATGATCTTCTTCTAAATCCTTGAGACAGATTTCCAAATGCAGCTCACCAGCACCCGCGACAATATGGTCACCAGATTCGTTGATGTAGGTCAGAACACAGGGATCGGATTTTGACAGACGCTTGAGACCTTCGACGAGCTTAGGAAGATCATTTGCGTTCTTGACTTCAACAGATCGCTGCACGACAGGGGAGACTGAGAACTTCATGACCTTCATGTTGTGAGCAGTCTCAGAAGTAGTGAGCGTGCCGGACTTCAGCAGGAACTGGTCGATTCCGACAATGCCAAGAATATTACCAGCTGGTACATCTTCGATTGGTTCGATGAATCGACCCATCATGAGGATGGTACGCTGAACTGCCTTGATAAACAGGTCGTCCTTCTTGCCAGGTGTGTAGTGTGGTCCCTGAATTCGGACCTTGAGACCGGAGCGGATAGTGCCAGAGAAGACACGGCCAAAGGCATAGAAGCGACCCTTATCAGAAGTCGGCACCATTTTGGAGATATAGCACATGAGTGGTCCCTTGGGGTCACAGTCGCGGATACCAATGGCAGATTCATCATCTGGGGGACCCTCGTACAAGGTTTCCATGCGGTACCTCTGGGCGGTAACTGGAGATGGCAAGTGGAGAATCATCATCTCCAGAAGGGCATCAGCAGCAGGTAAGAACTTGCGCATGACAACCTTCAGAAGTGCCTTGCCCTCGAGGTCTTTCTCGTCGCTGGACAGCTTGATCTCGAGCTTCTCAAGAAGAGTGGGTATCTCGTCCTTCTTAAAGTTCATGACCGCGTTGAAGATGCGGAAAATTGGATCAAGGATGAACTGATTGAAAGAGCGCTCAGTGCCGTCTCCTGGAGCGGTTTTGGTCCACTTCTTGGTCTTAGGAGAAAACCAGTTATCTCCCTAATGAGGGTTAGCTTAGCTACGTGTTTAACAGAAGCGATAAAACAAACCCAGAGGCGGGTCATCATCTTGTTCTTGTCCACACCAAACTTCTTGCTGTATCTTGAAGCGAACTGTCGGACTGTGAAGGCCCAGCCGTGAAGACCGGATCCGAAAGCAATAGTGCCCTTGTCTGGGTACACCTGAACATCGCCAAGAGCCTTGTCGTAGTAAGTGGCGATGACGACATTGACGGACTCGATGACACGAGAAAAGTTCTGATACAGATCCTCTTTCTCGAGCTGTAGCTCGAGCAGAGCGCGATCGACCTTATTGATGATAACGACTGGCTTGATGCGTTCACCAAGGGCCTGTCGTAGCACGGTCTCGGTCTGCACACACACTCCTTCAACGGTGTCGACGACTACAAGAGCGCCATCGGTGACTCGGAGAGCGGCTGTGACCTCAGAGGAGAAGTCGACGTGACCTGGCGAGTCAATCAAGTTGATGAGGAAATCATTTTTCTCGGTCTTGACCGGAATGTCCTTTAAGTCCTCCTCATCCTTGAGCTGGGCATAAAGAGAAATAGCAGTTGACTTGATGGTGACACCGCGCTCTTGTTCATCAGCGCGCGTATCAGTAAAACGCGCTTCACCGGCTTTCGCAGCGGAAATGATACCAGCTCGCTGGACAAGCGAGTCAGTGAGAGTAGATTTTCCGTGGTCGACTGGATTCTGCGTTAGTAAGAGCAAAAGCGGATGTTCGCTATTGTGTGGATGTGTGCGTATGAAGAACATCACACGCAGATAAAGGTTTCGAAACTTACCATGGGCAATGACGGACATGTTGCGGACGTTAGCCGCATTGTCCATGAGACTACGGATCTGCATTCATTGTGAACATTTGCTCCTGATACCCTTGGCGCAAATCGTGAAGACGGCGTACCTCCTCGACGGTGAAGCTGTAGAAGAAATGCTGTTAGCACAAGGTTTCAGTGCTAAAATTTGGGCATCGGGAGGTTGTCCTAGAGCTTGCTCAAGCTGACAAACCTCGGAAGACTACTATCTCTGCAACCTGGAAACTCTATGCGACTTACTTGACCATCCTGAAAAGCTAGTTGCCGAAGTTATGCTACGTGAAAAACTTTTGTGTTGTTCCAAATGTACCCCGCCTCGACGGACTTTCGAGTACGATTCAGGCTCGCAGAGTGTATAGACACAGCCTGCGACGATTGGTAAAATTGCAAAGAAAGAAAGTCCTGGTTTGAGCAGTGGCTATCGTGAGCCTAATCAACCCAGGAAGCGGTGTTGTTGGAGTGACGGTGGAAAGGTCGTGGGCTCAGTGGAGCTTTTTGCAAAAGTGCGTAGGCGCTTGGACCAACGTCGAAAGTGGCTTGTCTGGGTGAGGGGCAAGTTCGTCGGGTTCGATCACGAGTTTCGATGCGCTGAACCCAACAGCGTCTGCGATGAGCCTGCACAATGACTCATTCTTGAACGATTTTGACGCTTGCCATGGTCTTGTTTGATCTCTCTTATTTCGAAACTGCCGCATGACTCACGGCTGGGCGTTGTCTCCCAATGTCTGTTTGGGGGCAATCGGAATGTCCCTTCGGCGATACCTTAGCACTAACTCCGAGAGCGTACATGATCGCTGCCTTTTCGTTCCTGAGAGTGACATTGGCACCAAGTGTTAGATGCTTGCTGATCGTCGCACATTGGGATGTACTGGACTGCTGGAGGCGCATCGAGGTTGAGAGAGCCCAAACTCTAGTCAATGACATCTTAACTGCGTGATAATCATCGTCCACTGTATCACAGAAATCTGCTCGTCTGGATCCGCTGATCATATTTCGCTGTCCCCCGTCCTCACTATGACGGTGTTCTTTCGACCAGAACAGGGCCGATATCTACTTGTTGTTTTCGCTCTGAACGTTGCCAGCAAGCTTGAAATCAATATCGTGGTCTTTTCACCTCTTTAAAGACCAAAAAAAAAAAAGAATCGTCTTATCGTGGATCAAGCTCTTGCTTCGGCAATCATCAGGCGCCTTGGAAACCGGATTGAACGATTTGCTATTCAAACTTCTTACGCCTGATGTTTGTCATGTGAAAATATGATCTGTTTTCTTCTCGAGTGGTGAGAGCTCGCCATGACTCGCTCTGTGGTACCTCTTTTACCAAACACAAGCGTAGCGCACATGGACGTATCCTGTCTCAACGTCTCGGTTGGCAGCCTATTAGGAACTCGCTCACATATTCCGAACACCGAACGTGTTTAATGTAGATATGCAGGCTCTCGAGCATCAGAAGTTCCAAGAAGGTAACCCGCAGCAGCTTCGACTCCACGTTGCTCTTGTCGTCACGTGTTTGAGAATAGCTGAACGAATAATCGCTTAGCAATGCTAAGGTCATATCCGTATTTCCAATAGCAACGAAGTGAGCGTCGCCGCTACACTCTCTTCCCGGATGGCATTCATCGCAACTGGCAGGGCGGTGACCCTATGGTTTGACTTTAATCTGGCAAATCCTAGCAATGACTTCCCTTTCTTCATTGATGTTCGAGTATACCTTCCTCATTGTGTTGAATGAAAAGGCCGTGAGAGCCTGGAGCAGAAAATACTCAGAATTGTCACTTGGTTCACATCATGCATCTTTGATCACGGGTTAAAATTGTGGCGACCACCAAATGCAATGTACTCGTTCTGTCGCACAGCTCCTAGATTGTATTGATCTGGATCTATTGACTCAACACGACCTAGCAGCTCTACATTTGCAAGGTCAGGCACCATATGAACATTGCAGTCGACCTTCTCGTTTAGGCCAGCCTTTTCGGCATGCTTGAATCACAAGACTTTGCTTGCGAACGGATCAGCGTGTTCATGTCAAAACTTCTTTGCGCCAGTTATTCTCGGATGAGAATGCACTAAACAAACCTTCCTCGGCATACCAAGGCTTCTGCCAAGATGCCTTTTCCTTAAACAATCCGAAATTTGCGGTCTATGGAGCATCAATCAGGTCTAAGCCGAGCCAGTTATGCTTGACGTGACGAGAACAGTACTTTAGTAGATGAGTTGTCTTAAATCAAGCAAAGTGCTGTGACCCCAATGCATGAACCGTCCCTATTATAAATGATAATAGGTCGATGTTGAGACGCACTTGTGGTGAACGACCGTGTTGGACTTAGCGGTAGAGTCAGAGAGTGGCTCACCGTGCACCCCAGATCCGTCACATGCATTTCAAAGCATCTCCGCACCTTCAACCTTGGCACGTTACAACGCCTCGCCCGCCTCGTACCGTAGATAGTTATCTTGGGTAGAGGGGTTCGGTTCTCCTTTCGATAACAATGTATTCTCAATGCCTTCATTACTTTCTCTTCCTCTGACGTTCGCCCTTCCGCCCATTCTTCTGTTGCTTTCCATACCTCTTGCTCTTTTCGCCGCATTCACAACGCTCGCTGCCTTTGTGACCTTAGCCATCAGGTTAGGTATTGTATACGTTGAGCTAGGGGGTGCACTGCTGCGATCCTACCTCTTCGCCTCCACCTCTAAAGTATCGTCATCAAAGTCGCCGCGGTTGCATCTCTCAGAGTCGAGCTCGAGTCTCGCGCATCACCGACAACGCAGCAGAAGAAACAGCATTGCCAGCTTTGCTAGTGTCGATCAGCCTAATACAGCAAGGACGCTAGTATCTTACGGAGTACACCATCGCAATGACTCCCTTGCCAGTCTTTTAGGAGCTGGTGCACAAGGGCCTGCCAGGGACTTTGAAGGCATTGGAGGTTGGAGAGACGAAGACGATGATCCAGAGCGCGAAGCGCTGTGGATTGGCATGAATAAACGCCTCGAGCTGCCTGCTGCCCAGCCGGTCAGATGGCATCGACGCTCTGGCACCGGTAGTAGCACTGCTAGCTTTGTTGGCGGGAGCAACAACGCTATACAAGGCTGGCTTGGCCCCAGTGATGGCCAAAAGAGATGGTCGCACGGGTCGGGCGCATGGTCGCCGGAACTGTTGCGTATGAGCCCGGTACAGTCCCGAGCACGAACGCCATCGGTCACTGAGCGTGTAGTGTTTTCTGGCCAAGATGAAGACGGTTACTTCGCTCTCCAAATGCCTAAAGTGGCAAACAGCACTGGGGAAGTTCTCGTGCTCAAGAGCTCGGGCAAGGAGGGCAGAAGAAAGAGCGTTGGGATGGAAGCAAAGGAGCCGAAGCGCGAGAAATGTAAAACTAGTAGCGTGGACAGCATATCGAGCATGGGTAGCAGGGTTACGGTTCGAAAGACAGGATATTAACGTTGTCATGATATAACGGGTAACGGATGACGAAAGAACATCTAATTTTGAAACAATCTGGTCCATGCTGGTTGTGAAACTGGCGTTTTGATCGCCTCATCATCGGCCTTTTGCTAGTCTACACTACCTCTCGTCCCGATTTCGCTAAGATGATTTATTTTTTGAATTCTTCTTCAACGAGGCGGCCGTCGACTTTGATCCTTTGAGTCAATCCCTGGAAAGATCATAAGACATTTTGACGCCATTGGATTTTCTTAGCAAACACCTGAAGTTCAGAAGTTGAGCGGACAAGTCTATGACATGTCTTTTACTTGAGTCTATGTCGATTCTCACAGAACGAATTGAAGCGACCTAAGCAGATGATTACAAATCTGAATCCGCTCTCGCTGTGGAAGTTCATGACCGAATCCAGTGAGAAAGAAATCATTGGAGTGGAATATGTCTTCACGTAGACAGTTCCTGAGCTAGGTTGTAGGTGAACGAATGCAACCAATTAGTCAGGAGTTACATACATTCAAGTGGTCTTCTAGATCCAACGTTTGCTACGCTATCTGTTATGTTCTATGTACAAGCATTACATTACATCTCGTTGCACATAAAAGATTAGTAATGGTCATGAAGCGTCGTCTTATTGTTTTGCGAGCCAGCTATGCAAAGATAGTGCCGTCGTAATCTTTCCCACTCGTGGCATCTGTTATAGTGTAGTTCCCAAAGCAAGCATACTGGTAGTTTGCAAGCTTAGTAGAATTTTTCTGGCTGTCGATGAACTTGCTAAGGGGGCACAAACCGTCTGTTCGGCCGGCGCATGCACCTCCGCGGATAGAAGAAAGAGGAAGGATGCCAGAATTTAAACGCATGCGAATGAACTTATTTGGTGCACTTGAGGCCTTGTAGCCGTTCTGTCCAACATAATATGATGCACTATGTGTCGCCTTTGCCACTGGATTTGCATCCTTGCAGCCAATGACCTCTGTGATGAGTCGTGCACCAAATGGCGTCAAATGCGAGAGAATGAAGTGGCGCGAAGGGTTGGGTGGATATTGAGAGAGATTCGGCGGATCTTTGAGATAGTCCAAGCTCATGGCTGTCAGCACTGAGACGATAATATCATCATGGGAAGCATCAAGATAGAAAGGTCTGCCAAGAGGGAAGTCCGCCGAATTGTCGGTCAAACTGCTATTGACACTGCTATTAGAGCTCGTGATATATTCATTCTGAAGGCGTGCGAGCAGTTCTTGCAAGTATCCAATTCCTTGTGCTCGACCAGTCGGATTTCCATACGAATAGTCGTAATAGTACTCCATGTCCAAGGTCTGCTCGAAACCGGCCCACTCGTCCGCGGTAAACAAGCCGCAGAAGTCAGAGTCACCTATATATGCCGTTTCGTATGCACAAATGCTCTGCATAGCGTATGTGTCATTGACAGTGAAGGTGAAGCCTTTCGGGGCATAGGCCTGAACTCGCTTCGTCGCATCTTGAAGGTACAACGCCACATACTTAAGCAGATCCTGATCGCCCATGTCGAGAATAGGAGAATTGTTCTCGTTAATACAGCTATCATAGGAAGCCAGAGTATTGTTCTCCGTTCCCCCTTCCGGAATGATGACAACATCATAGGGAGATGTTGCGTTCGCCAGGCTCGGGTTTGGTGTTTGCTGGAAGCTTGGGCCGAAGAAACCGAGCGCCCAATTGAGCATGCTATTCTCAATGCGAGATTGGCTAGTTGTTCGAAGTACGGGCTTAGGTCTTGCCGTGCCATTGGTATAGCTGGAGTTATAGGTTACTTGGCCTTTGGTCGCATTGTACAGCAGTCTTCCATACGTGTTCCAGAATTGTACCCCAGACGAGAACTCTGTAGCGGCACCAATGCCTGTCAGATAACCCTCGCCCATCTGATACTTGTACGTATTCAGGAAGGCCAAAGGTCCCGAAAAGCTAGAATTGGCGTTCAGCGACGTGAAATTGAGAACTTTCTGAGCAAAGTTTTCATTATTGGCGCCGTCGTCGTAGAATGATGTCGGGAATCTTTGTGCATGTCGTTGCAACGAGTGGACTTGCTCGATTCCACAGCCATCCGGAAGGCCGACATCCTCGACGCCAAAGTAGGTTTCATTGTTATCAGCATATGGCGAGATCTGACCCCAATGCCTGGAGATGATGCTCAGGTCGGTCAAAAGAGTAGTCTCATCCGTCCGTTTGTCAAAGAAGCTAGGAATGCATTCGACCACTGAGATCAACGCCAGGGACGTGATTGGAAACTTCATCTTGTGGCAAGGCAGCCGGGAAAATAGCTAAGCGAAGTGACTGAGAAATACTTCCCGCCATCTCGCTCTTCATATATAGTTTGGGAAGGTAGCAGCATCATTGATTTACGGGACGAAGAACCACATTAGTTGACGTGCAAGGCACCGGTTAATTTCTTCGTGAATGGCTTAGCCAGAGATACTAAGCTGGATAGAGGATCTGATGTGCGTCCACGGGCGGATTGCGTGAAGGTCCACGCGGCGGCACGCGGATTGACAAGATAAGGCGATTGGCTTGTCTTGGCCAGCCTGGGCAAAATTGCTTCTGTCTCTGCCGAGACCACGCTCTCGCGCGAGGCTCACTTCTACTCTCGCAGAACGTCGACGTGCTTGGTCGTCTGAACAATCGCAGCTCTTCCCACCACTCCGTCATGCACGTGCTCTGCTTGCCTGAGCGCAGGATTAGCAATTCTTTTACGCTGTGCCGGGATTTGGCCAGGGATGGAACTGTGATCCGCGCAACAAGCGAACGATGGTAGGGGAAAAATTGCACTTCCGGAGGCAGACGCCCTCGATCCTGGCAGGCCCAAAAGTTCGGTCACATACGCTGACGCAGTTATCAGAGCGCTTTTCCGATCTTGGTCTGCGCCGAGGGTGGAGCTTGCTCTTACCAGTTGACTGGATCAACCGTGTCATTAAATCTTCGGGCCTTGACCCTATACATTCTGCGTGACTGATCAAAGCGACTGGAAGCCGCAGCAGAAAATAGCTCCAAAAAAAAAGCGTGCGGGCCAAATGGAAGTGCCTCTGGCAACCTTTCTGACCACAGGGGACATCCTACTCCGGTGGAAACGGTGTCGAAGAGCTGCGTGAAAAGGCACGCAATGCCAATCAGAGCTTGAATTGACAGCATCATCATTGTTATCATCATCATCATCCAGAACCAGATATTCGATGGCTATAGCTGAAAGACTATAATGTACTTTACAGGATGTCTTATAGAACTATCCCTGAACTCTACTTCAATGGGCCTTTTGGACCTTACGCGTCTTGTAACTGAGTGAGCATTGTGATTGGGGCCTATTGCATAGATGGATTGAATAAGGACGAGGACTTCAGCTCAAAGGAGAGAAAAGGACCGTACGACGTAATCCAATGCGAAATACGTGCTCGAGGTCTTGCGCCTTTGTCCACCGTAAAATTTTCGAGAAGATGATAAGTTGGGATAATCCGCAGATTATGGTCGAACCTGAAGTCGTCGCGAAGTGTATGTCCTTTAGAACACGATATTTTCTCCACACATCTATCATGACATCACTTTCTAGACATACACGTACATGGGACAAACCGACGTTGAGCAAGTTGAATCATCCTTTCGTCCATCTACCTTATCACAGAGAACAGACCTGGTAATTACATTGTAGTAAAAAGAAAAGAGCTTCCTACGTAGCTTTCGAAATGACCTTGGTGCTACCGTTGCCTCTTGGACTTGAAGCGTTCGACGAGCCCTTTGAATGCTGAAGATGACTTTCGTGTCCGGTTCATGGGACGTGACATATTCGCCCTGACCTCTGATCTAGACGTAGGTCGACTGTTCGATGATGATTATGCATTAGTATGACTACACACATATAATACACAAGACTTTGAGAACGCCGACGCCCTAAGATAATACAACGAAAGTACAACCTGATGCGCAGCGCAAGGAAAAGCGCAGCTGACAACTCACCCAGCAACAGAGGTGGCAGTTCGTTGCCCGCTGGCAACGTGGTCCCCAGTCTTAATGTTAACACCATTCATCGTTTTGCTTCTATCCTCCACCTCTCCATCATCCGTGTCAATCTCGCTGGCTGCGGAGTCCGTCGTGGCTTCTTCGTCTCCATCGTCTTTGTCAAAGTCGTCATCATCAAAGAAGACGCGACTTTGTCTTGTAAGCTCGTCGACCAGAGAGCCTCTTCTCTCATGACCACTTCCATAGATGGCGCTGTGCGGGCGTGAACCAAGATCAAGTGAGCCACGTGAACGATTCCACCATTCACCGAGGCGCATGCTCAAGCTAGGGCTCTCTGGTCTTGGGGTAGGCATGGCCGATGGGTCTTGTGGTGTTCGTGGAAGAGGTTTATTGCGTCGTTGCACTGGTGTGGATGCCCACTCAGGACTGGACGAACCACTCGCTTCATATTGTTCATGTTGCGTCTTTAATCGAGATGGTGCCTTTCTTGCGTCTTCCCTAGTCTTTGCGTCTCGAAGAAGTGCTTGTAAATCGTCTTCGCTCAGAATTTCTGCAATGCCACCGGCAGGAACCACTGATCTGGTCGCCCTTCTGCCTTCTTCTATCAGTCGCTCGACTTTGAGCCTGTTCTCGATAAACTTGAGCTTAGGCCATGTTGCAAGTTGGCCCATATGGATCATACGTGCAAGTCGCTCAACGCTAGGATCAGATAAGATGTAGTAGAAATCGCTTGGGACGCTTTTTGGCCAGATTGTGATGGTTCCACTGAATTTCTGTAACCATATCTCAGACCAATCACTGCCCAGTGGCCTCGGAAGAAGCTCCAGGTGCCGCAGCACCTTGAGCCATTTTGTTAGATCTAGCTTCAAGTACTGCTCAGTTGCTGATCCAAGAAAGCCACCACGCCAACCACGACCACGACGATGGGTTACGGGACGACCAACAGTGCCACGTGAACTGAAGAAGAACAGATTAATATGAGGATTAGCTTGCGAAACGATACTGAAGTTAACGTTGAAGTGAAGGTTGAGTGCCTTGAGCGGTATGTCCGTGCGAAGAGAGCCATCCTTCCACTTGTGACCAAATGAGTATGGCTCGAGCTTGCCAGTCTTCGTCTTCTTCATTAGGACGACAGGATTCAGGATGCCAGGCACAGCTGCAGAGGCGAGGACGGCCGACCAAATTACACAATCCGGGGCGGTAAGATAATTGGCGAGAATAGTTGGCGAATGTGGGTCTGAAGGGACGCAGCTCACATTGAGGATGCGACCCGTTCGCTGATAGGCTTCTCGAAATGTCATGCTGCCACGCGAGAACCAACAACAGCGTCGAGCCCAATCTACACTGTCGAACCTTGCACCAGTCTTCCACCATCGTGGCAACCACGTCCAAACGTCATCATGGCATGCCGTAATCTTGTGAGCGAGTGCTGGCACGAGTAGCCTCTTCAGCTCATCGTTAGTGCGAGTACCTAACAGCACCGCCACAAGAGCACCACCTGATGTGCCTGTGATGACATCAGGGAGTAAGTCCGAGTCCATCAAAGCCTTTGCGACGCCAAAGTGATAGTATGCAAAGGTAGCACCGCCACTCAGGCACAAGGCTGTGCGGCCAAAGTTTGTGTGAAGGTGTTTGAATAGCGAGCGCTTGGATTCCTTGTCTAACTGCCTTGTGTCCTTGAGAAATTTGAGTGATGCGTGAACTTCATCAATGAAGCTTTGCACAAGGTTTTTAGTTCCATAGTATGATTCGCTGTACAAGCGCGGATTTTCAATTCCAACAAAGTTGTTCTTTACGCTTGCTTCCACTAAGCCACGGAGTTCGTCGACAGCCTGGCCGTCTGAATTTTGTTTGACTTCGTCAGCCTCAGCAAGCTTCCTGAGCTTTGACATCTGAGTCCATGCACGTCTGACCGTCTTCGAGTCGTAGTATGCATATTCGTCGACCGTTTTCCACTTGTCGTTCCCCAAGTGTGTGTCCAACGCTTTTGCGGCTGTAATCCATTCTTCATAGCTGGTCGAACTTCGCAGTTGCCGTCTCAAACGGTTCCTCCAGCCCCTCCAAGTGATATAGTGTTCATATATGAAGATGTAAAATCGAGTGAGCAGGTAACTTATGCTCAGGGTGACGAGCCAGCCTAGGATACCGACGAGCAGCGGCCACTTGAGCAACGTATAAACGAATCCCTCTCTTGTCTCATCTTTGCCACGTCGCGGCTTTCTTCTTTTTCTTCGCACACGCTGACGGACGGGGCGCCAATCATTCAAGGCAGTGATGAACATATTTGAGGACTGCACCGTAGGTGCATTATAAACGGAGAGATCGTCCTGCGACGGCGACGGCTCAGGAGCGGATAATGCGCGAGCAAAGGCAGCGATATCATCTTCGCAGACAAAGTCGGTGTCGTAGTCTGGAAGTTCAGTAACGTCGTACGAGTAGCTGGGTTGGGACTTTTCCTTGGGTTCAGACATGTTGGGCCATCACAACCAGGAGGGGTTTCGCCCCGGGGGGGGGGGGGGGGTGAACGAAAACCGGGAGACTAGGGGAATTATAATTCCTCGAAGATATCTCTCACACAGATGTGATTTCTGCCGCGCGAACCCGTTCCTGAGCGTGGGTATGGGTGTGGGGGGTTCGATGTGGAGAGACCGAACTGGACGTGAGGGTCTGGCTTGTGATTTTGAGTCGTTGGGAAGGCGCAGAGCAGTGACGCAACCAATGGGCCAGGGTCCGGCGACCGGACGCAAGTCGCAGTACGCAGAACGGTACAAGAAGGCACGTAAGCACCCGGCCAGCGTGGCTGCAACGGGTTTGCCGGACAGCGCCGGACGCTCGGCTGAGGCCACAACCGCGACTGATGCTGCGTACCAGCAAGCACGCTCCGTACGCTGACTTTGGCAGAAATCTGCTCGTCTGCTCCTGCCGCGCCGGCATCGCGTTGAAAACGGACATCGCCATCGATTTTCTTTGCTCCCTCTCATTTGTCTATTTGAAATCCCTGCGGACCGTGTCGTCGCTCTTTCCCTTCCGACCCTCAGCTTGCGCTCTCCTACGCTCCTCGCCCAATTGCGCCGTCGCACGTTGGTCCTTTCTATATTCCACTTGCCTGTCCTCACCCATTTGGTCTACATCACCGCAAATCGCACAGATTGCTGGCACCGCTCCAGCCTGCTCCGCACGGCGTAGCCTGTAAACCAACCGTACACGTGAAGTCGAACCACGAAAGCGCGATGAGATGAGATAATATGTTCCCTCGCCCCTTCCCTCGATATCTCCGACCTTGCGCATGGAGCTGCAACGCACTTTCCCAATGTGCTGCACGGCCGTCCTCCGCATTCGCGGCTTCCTCGCCGCTCCCCCATCAGCCGCCGCCCGTGTTGCGACGTTCATTCAGAATCCTCGCCATCGAAACGTCTTGCGATGACACCTGCGTTGCCGTCTTAGAATTGAAGGCACGTCGTGGCGCCAAGTATCGCACTGCAAAACTGCTGTTCAACCAGCGTATCACATCCAACAACCTTCGCTATGGTGGAGTACATCCCTTGCGCTCCCTTGAGTCGCACCAAGAAAACCTGGCTCTCCTGCTTGAGAAGGCCAAGCGGAGGCGGGGATTTAGGACGCCTGATCTGGTTGCTGTCACCAGAGGACCTGGCATGCGCAATAACCTTCAGTGTGGCATCGACACCGCCAAGGGCCTGGCCGTTGCGTGGGGAGTTCCACTCATTGGTGTTCATCATATGCAAGCTCACGCTCTTGCCCCTCGCTTGCTGAAAGCAACCAGAGCCCCCGCCAGTGGAAGCAAAACCTCGCAGCCATCGGAGCCGAACTTTCCTTTCCTCTCTTTGCTCGTTTCTGGCGGACACACCCTTCTGGTACTATCGCGTTCCCTCAAGGACCATCAGATCATTGCATCCACGGCCGATATTGCCATAGGCGACTGTCTCGATAAAGTTGCTCGCCATGTGCTTCCCCCAGATACACTCGCGAACTCTAGCACTGTGGCGTATGGAAGTCTGCTTGAGGCCTTCGCATTTGACTTGGATCCAAACCCTTCCTACAGACGCATTCCGCGGTATGAGTACCATCCGCCTCGCACCATGGGAGAGGAGTACGAGAAGGGTCAAGTAAAGAACGATTATGGATGGCACTTTCCCACTCCTCTTCTAACGAAAGATGGCAAGAAATCGCGCGCCATGGAATTCAGCTTTGGCGGCATCTGTTCACACGTTCAGCGAATCGTTTCGTTTGGTGGGACACACAACACACCAAGGGTGTCCCCCATCGAACTGCAAGAGGCAAAAGTTCTTGCCCAAAGAGCAATGCAGTCAGCTTTCGAACATCTCGCTGGTCGCGTAGTTCTTTTCCTTGAATCACTGGCTGCAGCGGAGGTGTCTGTTCCCAACAAAAGAGCATCGAGTGGAAATATGCCCCAACATCTTGTACTTGGGGGAGGAGTCGCGTCCAATGGCTACCTCAAGCACATTTTGCAAAAATATCTCTCTGCGCGAGGGTTCTCAAAGGTCAAGTTGTGTTTCGCCCCGCAGTCGCTCTGTGTTGACAATGCGGCCATGATCGCATGGACTGCTGCCGAGATGGTGGGCGCCTATACTGCCGATCAGGACTTCAGGTTGGAGATGGATGACGCTAGTTCAAGCCTGTCTATGCGTGCGATACGTAAGTGGAGTCTAGAAAATCTCCTCACGCCTGAAAAGGAGTTAGAGAGAGAGATGCGGGAAGAAAGAGAGCGAGATGAACGCCAGAAGCAAAAGACTCCTATGACGGCATGTACGACCGCAGAGCAATCAAATGTTGAGAACACAACGTCGCAGTCTATGCAGCCTTGCCAAGACACTCTACTGGCGGATCTGGGCCATCCTGTCAATTCTCAAGCCTTGAGCGAGAAGAGTCGTCTTGGCTTGGTAACGAACAACTATCCAACAACTTCGGCTGAGCTGTCAAATATTTTAAGTTCTTTGCGAGCCGAACCCCAAAAATAAATCGTGAAAAAAATCCACCCGCTTCCGAAACTGACCAGTTGGGTGGTAAGATGTCGAATCGCTTGATATTCTCACTGCACCAGCAGTTATTTCGTCCCCGTCTTTGCTTGCGAGCTGTCCAACAGCTTGCAAGACTTACAATCAAGACGGAAAAGCAGCGGCGAAAGGTCTTTGGATGTATTCAAAGAAACATATATCTAAGGAGAATAAACACGATTTAGACTAGGGTACATGTAAGATTCGATGTGAATCAATAGATCAGCTTCGTTATGTCAAACGTGATCCGGTTATCTAGATGCATACATGGTGTAGTCTTAAATTGGCCACCGAGGGCTTGCAGTTCGATAAATGGGGATGCATTTGATGAGCCTCATATTTGACTTCGCTATATAGAGTACCTGGGCTCAAATGCGAAACAAGGAATTCAGAAGATGGTAAGACGAGATTCCGGAGGTTCGAAGCTTTCCGTTAGCCTACCTAGAAGCTCAATGTTGCACACATTGCAGCTTTTACTTGCGGGAGTTGTCCCATATTTTTCCGTTCATATCGGTGTTCTATCCCAGAACTTGCCCTTCAAGTAATCGGCAGGAATCAAGCGATCCAGACCTGTACTTCCCTGATAAGCGCTTCCCCTCGAATCCAACGTGTACCTGCCGTGACCGTCAACAGCCAACGTCACGAAGGGAGCTCTGAAGAACACATTCCGCGTATCGTCAAAGAACAGACGCGTCCATGTTCCTACGCGCAAGAAGGGTCGCAGTACCGCTGGCGCATCTTTGATTTGATGGGCCCGTTCTTGCGGAGAGTTTGCGGGGGCAATCTCTGCCAGCTTGCGGGCGAGTGTGAGACTTTCGAGTGGCAACGGACCGAGTGTTTTTTTTTGCAACGGCACGAGACCTGTCACTTCGACAGTTGCCTGTAAAGGTCCAGCCTTGCCCTGCGGTATCACTGTGATGCGCTTGACCAGATTGCGCGCCGCACCGAAACACCATACGCCTATTCCGGTCAAGGCGACGCCGGCCAACACCAGTCCAGACGTGATGACCCAATGAAGGCGATCCTCGCTCTTTCTGGACGGCGGAGAACCGAATATGAAGCTCACGCCAGGTTGCAACGCATTAAGCACGCCATATCCCACGAAAAAGACGCCTAGGCCAGAAGCGGCGAAAATGAGTGTACGATGTGATGGTGCCTCGTATATTACGGTTGGGCCCTTGAGCGTGCGGTTTAATTGCTCTGGCAACGAGCTTGGACTCTCTGCGCTTTGGAGCTGTGGCTTTCTGAGCCTAGGTTTTGGCGCCTGTTGAAGAGTACGAAAGACGGAAAGGAGACGATGTTGGTTGGTGCGAAAAGTTGCGACATGTGGAACGCGCTGCGCTCGACGGAGGCATCGTGAGCATATTTGCGAGGGCGGATTTTGATACGATAACCGAAGAGAGAGCAGGCCTTTCGAAACGCTAGCCATGCCTGCAGTGAGATGTGGTGATAGTGGGACAGTCGACAATGCGTCGAGCAAGAATGCTGAATACCAGTCGCGCGTAGCCGGCTGGTTGTGTCGTATGCTGTATCTATGCAAATTGTGCTGTGTGGCACAAGCTGCCGAAGGGATGGTCTCGTGTATTCGAAAAAAAAATTAAATAAATATTGGGTCAGGCAAGAGCTCAATGATGATTAGACGGGTTGTGGTGTAGCTTATGCTACATTTGTAGTGTGATGCTTGAGTTTTCGCCCGTTTTGGGTGTCTCCGAAGTCCGCAACCAGCAGTTTGGTCTCTCTGGACGCAGTACCGTGACTGCGCTTCGTAGTCCCAACTTTGGAAGGGAATCAAGGCTTTCTTTACGTGCTGTGATTCATGTTCTCTCTATTCCATTTCTGGCTAAAGTTGTTTGACGACAAATCTTATCCCACTGAAAGGACGTTGACCTAGGCAATGGTCTAGATTTGGACCGGGACGTCGTGGTAATAAAGCTCGACTCAGGCTGCAACGCAATACAAGGAGCAAGATAAACTTTGACGAGAATGTCCGTGCTACGTTGATTTAGAGAGAAGGATTGAAAGTATCCAGAATTAAGTCATGGGAATTATTCAGTGTGACTTACATAGCAACAATGTATGCTGGCTGGATCGATTGCTCGTGATCGTGTTCGATAAGAAATGCGCTAGTCTTATAGTCAAATTAATTGCAGCCCATGTCTTATTCCAGGCCATCAGCCTATGTATCATTTTGAGCAGCTACAACAACTGTCGGTACTGCTGACATCAGCGTACAAGTGATCTCGTAGTCCCGTTGAATATCGAAAAGCCTTGGCGTTTAATCTCCCAAACCTTCCACATAAGTTGGCACCATGGACGGCCAAAACCTTGACTTCTCGTGTTTTACCTTTCAAGAAGCCACGATCGAGGAGAGATATCAATGCTGGCGATCAAATAGTGAGTCATGGGCGGGAAAGCTCAGCGTTGAAGACCACGTAGCGAGAGAAGAGTGGAATGGCAAACAGAGCCTGACCCGGGATGGTGGGCAGCGGTACTGGGTCTTCAAAGGACCGAGGTATCGCGGAGCTCAGGGTGAAACAAACATTTATTCATCCGTTGAGACGTTAAAGAAGGAAGTTGTGCTGAAGTTTTCTGATGGAACGGTCAAGAATACCATCGCATATGGTATAGCAAGTGTTTTCACCGCGCCCGAACATAGAGGAAAAGGCGTTGCAGCAGCGATGATGGAACGCTTGGGCCAATGGCTTGACGGTGACGAAGCGGGGTGTGAACTCAGCATTTTGTATTCCGATATTGGGGTAAGGTGGTGCCCATTTCCGGAATGTGTTTTTGGATGCTGATAATTGTAGGAGTACTACGCAAGATTGGGATGGCCGTCTTATTCGTCGCTGGAGGTGATATTACCCTCAACTAGTAACGCCCCGTCCATTGCCATTGAAAGCTTGACTACCAAGACTGTGAAAGAATTGGCAACAGATGACGTGAAGCGAATGAACGAAAAGATTATTTCATCTCCAATTCCGGCGGGTATCGACGTCCTTGTGGGATTTCTTCCAACATACAGTCAAGCTGAGTGGCATTTCGCTAGTGAAGAATTCACTGCATCAAAGCTTTTCAACGATGTCCGAATACCGTTTGTCAAAGGAGCAATGAACACGGATACAGGAGTTTGGGCGTATTGGACGCATGACTTCAATGACAACAAGCTCACGATTCTCAGAATACACGCAGACAGCACGACTGGAGACAAGCTAGATCCAAATAATTCGTGTCTCCAAACGTCTGTGGTCCAAATATTAGGGGCAGCGCAAAAGGAAGCACATGATTGGGGATTGGACAAAGTTGTGATCTGGAATCCAAACACTATTGTCCTCGCTGCTTGTGCACAAATTATGGGGCGCGATATTGCGCCCAGGAAACGGACCGACAGCAGCGTTCCGTGCTTGAGATGGAAGCGAAGAGAGGAAAAAAAGGTTTCATGGTATCTGATAGAGAAATACAGTTGGTGCTGATGGCTGAAAGGTTTCCTGGAGTTCGTCTAACACGGCAGTTATTGGCTTTGAACAAACAATAACTCCTGTGAAGAGCAACAGACATACTAACGTTTCTAGTAGATGATTATATAACTATTAGCCTTTGTTTAAAAGGGACTATAGATTCACACATCAAAACATAAATTCCGGTTGACTTGTGCAATCACAATAAATTCGAATTACTCATAGACACCTCGAAAAGCACGCCAGAGCAGCAGCTCGTGTCTCGCGCTGCAACAGAGCATCCGAAGCGAAAATATTACCTTTTGTTACTGGGGGCAACAAATGGCTGTGATCCAAGTGGCTCATGGTGTTTAAAAAGGTTCAAATTGTTCCAAGAGGAGGATGTACAAAATGAAACCTTGTCTTGAGAAGTAATGAGTCGTTAGGCTAGTCGTATAAATAGACCCCGCTGCGAATAAAGAAGCCCACTGCGCTTTGCCTGTTTGGGGCTAGGCCTTGTTCCCAACATTTGAACGTCTTCAAGCTTTGGGAAGTGTACAATATATATTTCTGCATTGCATCAATAACCACGCTCTATAGGGCCAAAATGGCCTCCCTCGCTTCCTCCCACAGAGCACTAGCTCGCTTTGCGTCGCGCCAGCTGCGAAGCCAACGACGAGGTAATCGCCAATTGCAATTGCTTCCCAGGTCACTTCGAAAGGCTTACGAGAACGATGCATACAGGGTTTCGCAGCTCGCCCGCGGCGCAAGCTGCTCACAACTTCACCATGCCCGCTCTGTCGCCGACAATGACGGAGGGAAACATTGCGAGCTGGAAAGTGAAGGAAGGCGATGAATTTCAGGCGGGTGACGTGCTGCTGGAAGTCGAGACTGATAAGGCCCAGATGGACGTCGAGGCTCAGGATGACGGAATCGTTGCTAAGATCTTGGTATTTGTTTTTCGATTATGCCTGAACTACTTGGATGCTGATCAATTGTAGACGTCAGACGGTGCCAAAGGTGTCAAGGTTGGCTCGCGCATTGCGGTGTTTGCTGAACCGGGAGACGACATATCTTCCCTTGAAATTCCTGCCGAGGATTCCCAGACAGCTGCAAAAGTGGAGAGTGGCGCTCCTAAAGAAGAGCAAAAGGCCTCTGCAGAAGTTTCTCAACAGCCAAAGTCAACGCCCAAGGCCCCTGGCGCCGGACAAAAACAAAAATACCCCCTCTACCCCTCCGTGCAAGTTCTCCTCCACACGCACAACCTCAATGCTGAGGACATCCCGCCAACGGGACCGAACGGGCGTTTGCTCAAGGGAGATGTCCTCGCGTACCTAGATCGGATTCCTCCGTCGTATCCGAAGGAGATTGCGGATCGCATTAGCAAGCTCTCACATCTCGACCTAAGCAATGTCAAACCTGCTGCACCCAAAGACGCACCAAAGCAAGCAGAGGTTGCGCCGGTTGAAGAGAAGGCAGAGGAAATCCAGGTCGATGTTGCTGTGCCCGTAAGCTTGACTGCCGTGATGGATGTGCAGCGGAGAATTCAGGAAAGCTTGGGCATTACGCTCCCCCTATCGACCTTCTTATCAAGAGCAATTGCCCTTGCAAACGAAGACCTTCCATATACCCGCAAGACGCCAACAGCGGACGAGCTTTTCGATGCTGTGCTCGGTCTAGATAAAGTGTATGGGAAACCGTCCTTGACAAAGGACGGCTCTTTCGAGCCTCAGATTGTTGCCCTTCCGGATCCATCACTCCGCGTCACACGACCTGCTCCCTCACGACCAAAGAAAGCAGATTTATTCGACGAGCTTATTGCGCCGAAGCAAAGGAAGTCAACTACCACAGGCCGCAAGACCGGACCTATCGGCTCAATAGGCACAGAAAACATCTTTAGCTTGAGTGTTGGAAAAGAAGATGAAAAAAGGGCAAAGATCTTTTTAGAGAGAGTCAAGACTGTCCTGGAGGCGGAGCCAGGAAGACTGGTGCTCTAATTCTACTACATCTGGAATTGAAACCGCTAGGATGGGTAGACGCTATGGTGGATCTTGTGTGTATGATTATCAGGTAAATGTTCATAGATTAAGTTAGTCAGAGCGTTTAAATCAATCCTGGGGACAATTGAAATCCAACAGTGTACATTTTAACAGCACTTCAATCAAGCTCGCTCATTACTTACATATACGTGGCAATTACCAGCTATCAGCTCATTTGAATGACGTTGAATGACCAAAGTGCATTGGTAAGACTGGAAATAACACAAAGCAATGATAGCATCATATTTGATGGTCCAATTCCATCTGTACAGTACATGAACAGCAAAATGTCCCTACCCAACATGAGCAATCGCTAGTTTAAGATTGGAGACTGGAGGGCGACGATCCAACGTTTCTCCTTCCGAAGTTCCGATGAGATGGCGGTTGCTAAGATGAAACCTTACTAGGTTGATGGCCCCGAATTCAAAACGCTGTTGAAGTCCATGAAATCCAAGCTCCCGTCCATGCCTGTCGCGGCATACGGCGCCAATCCATCCATAAGGTTCGGATCAACCAAGAAATCAAGATTGTCAAAGTCGAAGCCTGGAAAGTCGCTACTTTCGAAGCTTGCGTTCGCCAAAGCGGTTTGCGCAGCAGCCGCATCAGTGCTCGAGCTCGGTGTCGAAGCAACATAAGGCTGCTGTGGCGCACCCTGCGGTGATGAACGTTTCGCTATGTCGAGAACTTCCTGTGTGACCTCGGCACAGCGGCGAGCCACTGCAACCATATTCATGGCTTGGAATATCTCTATGCTCTTCTGTACAATGCGCATGAGGTGTGCTCTGGTATACGTGGGGTTTGTGCCATCAACCTCGATGTTGATGTTTGATAGTATGACGTAAAGAAGCACCATGCTAGCGTACAAAGTATATGTTGTATTGTACCACCAAGTACGAAAGTAGGGTCTGTGTTTGTACATCTCGTAAAGGGATTCAATGGTATGCACTGAGGCATTCACGCATGCAGCGACGTGGATGGCGTATGGCCGACTATGATTGCTCAATTGCGGAGATGTTTCAGCTGCGGCGGCGATTAGGAACGGTCGATGAAGAAGGAGGCGAGTGTTGAGAAAACCTGCCAGTCTTAGCTAAGAACCTTGCAACCGAAGGACAAAAATCACGCACGATTGCGAAGGACCACCTTCTGTTTGCTCACCCACTCTGGCTCTACTAGGCTTGCTGAATCCCAATCAAGATTTGGCGGCAGCTGATTCTTCCAGTTGACCAGCTTTCTATCAATCTCGAGACATCGTACACTTTTCTCCGGCAAATGAAGGTTAAATTCAGGATCGGTGGTTTCCTGACTGAGCTCTTCTACAATTTGCGCTAGCGAAATCATATAGGTTTGAAAAGGCTGTTTTGGATCATCTGGCGCTGCGAAATGTGGTAATCGGATGCGATAGCGTTCTGGTTCACGCAACGATGATTCGCGCCCAGCAGCAGCGCACATCTCGATTTCAAATGAGTACAACCCCCACCATGTAGTGCTTGCTCGAACAAGCTCCGGACCTGTATAATTTGGTAAGCCAATGGCAAGAGCACCACGTACTGCCATTCCGCAGTAGAGGTAGCAGCTATGAGGCTTGAGGGCATTTTGGCAAAAGACTGCCATGAGGAACAAGGCCTGCGTACTCTCTAACGAACAAGCCTCAAAGACATCTCCCAAATGCGTCTTAGCTCTTTCAAAAAACAGTTTCGCTAGTTTTAGTGGCGGATAAGTAGGCGCCTTACGGTCTTGATGACCAGCGTAGCGTTCGGCCTGTCTCACGCTCATTGTATCCCGCATGAACGAAGCATCTTCACCAGCATTGATGGCACCAACAGCTAGAACTGCGTTGAACAATGCAAGAAATGGCGATTGGGACACTTCTTGTCCGGGGCGAAGACTCCAAACTTCGGATTCACATCTCTCGATGAACTGAGTTTGATCTAAAAATGGGTGCACAATGTGCAGGTTCAAAAAGTAGAGTCGAACACATTCACGCTCAATGTCCTGGTTCGAGAGTCGAGGAACCGTTGTGTGCACCGAGGATGACATTGATGGCCGCCTTGCTGATCCAGTTTGTGTAGGTGAAGCACTGGGCTGGCGCGTCCACGGCGACTGCTGGGAACTTGCGCGTCGAACTGTTTCGCTGATAGCAGGGCCGTCCCATTTTGGAGTTGTTACAGGAAAGTCAGAACTGTGCAGCAAGTTGACAATTGACATGTCTCGAGCGTCTCTGTTGCTCCGAGTCTCTGGTTTGTCCGCCGTTCTCAGTTTCTGACTGTGAGCTCGTGACCGAAGTCTCCGTAGGAAGCTGAATAGAGATACTGGGCCATAGTATTCTGTTCCACGAGTGTGGCGATTGACTTCTTCAAATCCTGATTCATTTTCCGGTTGCTGATTCGCCACGGAAACATTTGCAAACTCCGCCACTGGCTCAGTTGATGCGAGGGTCGGTTTAGTCACCGGCCGTTCGCGAATTTCGGGTTCACGCAAGTAAGATGTTCGCAGACTATCTGATTCTGCTGGAGACGCGGTAGGAGGTGTTCTACGCTTGATGGGATCTTCATATGGCAGGCTTGCAGCCGAAGTTGAGCGGTCTGGTTGCTGGATATCAGTGCGAGTTGCAGCACTTGGGAGAGGCACTTCGAGTGATCTATATTCGCATTGTAACGAACGCTCTTTGAGTGATCAGCTCGCAGCCATGAGATTCATGTGCACGACTCACTAGCACAGTTCGAACATGGAGTCGACTGATCGCACTGGCTCCAGTCAGCATATCCGCACGAGAGACTGCATGTATCATGTATTGTAGCAAGAACAGCACAGAGGCACTTCACGTGGCACACATGGTAGTACTGGACTACTCCAGGCTACTAATTTGGTCCCGGAATTGAGATGCATTTATGTGTTTATACTTGACTTGCGAACGGTTAAACCGAGGTGTCTTACTCGAAGTTTCCGAGATCTACAGCTCTCACAGGCTAGCAAGGCCCGGGGCAGTCGTTTACGCTTTTGGCCTTGCGATGAAGAGTTGTCCTGATTGTTTCGAGAAGCAGATGCTAGTTCAGACATGCTAAAATGCCGTCGGATGTTCCTTGATCGATGGAGGAAGTCCCGAAGATGGACGCAGCTGAGGTTCCGGCTTTGTTCCGGCGAGTCGAACCCTTTCCCTTTCGGGAACAAACCGTCGGCGGAACCTCCACCAACCCACACCATCTTGGTTCACTAACTACTGTACAGCGCTGTGCGAGTCCAGGAACGAACTGTTCTCGAGTCGACACGTTACGATCACTGATTCATTTCTTCTGCTCTTTGTTCTTCGCTCTGTCGCTAACTGCACTACTTCCTATTTTTGCAAGAGTTCCGGAAGGCATCAGATCTAAACAATCCTGTGTGGCAAAACGATTGATTGAACTTGTAGCTCAAGAGAAAAGCTTACAGAGATCGATGCACATCAGATCGTTTCTAGGCCTTTTGCGTACATGGGTCTTGAGCTTCTTAGACTTGGGCCGTATTTCAGCAAAAACAAGTAGCACGGAATCAGACCAAATACACAAACGATGCATTGGGCTGCAAACGTCCATGTGTACCCCGAAGCCTCCACCCACGGGAAAATGAACCAAGGATTGATGAATGCAGACAGCTGCGTAAAATGTTAACCAAAATTGGGAGACCAAATGTTTCAACTCACATTGATAATGACGGTGTAGAAGGTAATGACCTCATTCGCGTAGTCGGGGTAATTATCTACTAGATAAGACGACAGGACAGTATTACCCATCTGAAGTCCAAGGGCATCTATGAGAGTCAGTATTAGGCCCATTAAGGGTGACTTAGACCCACATAAAACAAATGCAATCTGTCCGGTGATCCAGTGCCATCCTTTGTCAACGGAGAAGCCCCAGATGAGCAGCCCGATGGACGAGACCACGGCGGCTGGAAGTCCAAGCCAGAGTCGCATTTCCGGTATTCTGTTGCCATGATTCTTCTTGGTTAAAATGAGCATCATCTTGTCACTGAGATGACCAGAGCATGCCAGCTCTGCCGCAAGAAGACCAATCATCAGTCCAAGTAAAAGGATCCCTTGTATGGCTGGACTATATTCAGAGTATGCATCTGGAACCAGCGTCGCTATGCTGCAGATCCACCAATACTGCAGAAATACATAGGCAAAAACACTGAGGACGACGGTCGGATATTTAAAGAGAACCAAAAATTGAACCAATGTGACCCACGGTCCGGGGTGCGGAACACCAGGTATTTTGCGCAAGTTCTATGCAGAAATTAGTGCGCTCCTTTGAGCATGGGAGCAACATACAAGATATCCGAGCTGCCTTGATCTGGGAATGTTCAGTTGGTCCGCATTTCCCCCACGTGATTCTGCGGATACCACTGCCGAGCGTGGATACAGAGTTTCTGGGAGGAAGAAACATTGGGCAAGTAGCTGGATGCTAAACATAATAGTGACATGGTATGCAACCCATTCCCCAGATGTGGCAAGCAAGCCACCAACTTAGCCATGTTAGGACAAATGGAAACTGTAGAAGTGCCAATGATACTCACAAACGCCTCCGAGACAAGTTCCCATGTTTGCTGCAATCGTCCACAGCCCGACACGGAATCCTCTTTGATGCTCCCAAGATATGTCATTGATGATCAGTAAGCCGATGTTCGCAGCTGGCCCAGCCCCGAGGCCTTGAAAAAACCTGACCGCCATGTATCCACTGAAATTTATAGACTTGATTGAAGTGCATCCACTGGCCACAACAGCGAGTGCGGTAGATCCTATCAAGACCGGACGCCTTCCGTACGTGTCGGCCAAAGCGCCTACGAGCAGTGGCCCCGCTGCCAGGCCGAGGCATGGTATGGCGAAAGTCCAGCTGACCTGATTGTAAGATATGTCCAACTGCTCTTCCAAATATCCAAAGGAAGGGATAATGGTGGTGGTGAAATAAGTGAGTAAAAAGTAGCTATATACGACAATGGCTATACATATGTACTTCTGCCAGATGGGCCAGTTGAGTGGATCCTCGGTGTCTCTGGTCGGTGTTGGCTGCAACGGTCTACCAGATGGATCAACCCTTAGCTCAGAGACATTCCCTTCGTCGCTGACAGTATCATTGACAATATCGAGAGCCACTTTCATCGTGTTGGCAGTGTTCCAATGATTTAAAAGCGAGACTAAAACGAGAGGAGAGCTTCTGAGAATCAACGGGTCGACTTGAGGACCCAAGGTCTTTAACTAAATATGTTTCTCCTATCTTCACAATGTCCCAATGTAGATATTACTATTTGTCTGTTTTCAAGTTGATATCGCTGATAAGCAATCTCTCCAGGCGCGGAGGCATATCGCTCCTTGATACATAAAATGATTTGATGTCGCCGACAGTCAGGAAGGGAATCTTCATCTCCTCCACTTGCCCAGAATGGCTTGTAGCTCATCTAGAATCCGAATATCGGAAGTTGAACAAGGTTGAAGATGAACTTCACCGCAGGACCCACTTTATCTCCTCCGACTGCCATATTGAGATAAGCGGCCTGATTGGATCCATCAGTTCTTTGCATTCTCTGGCGAAAGCTAGGTCTTGCATTCTAATTGCGGAGTTGACTGATTGTACTATGTGGCATTGCTATTAGCAAAGAAAATCACCTTTAGCTGAACGGATAGCATAGTGTCTCTTCGAGCTTCCTCTTCTGTTCACTATTATGTCGAAAGCTCTATTAGATAAATACCTTGGACAGGAACAACAAACGCTCAATCTTTTTCTGAGCATTCTTGCCGCCATGCTTGCACTCTACTTGATACCTCTTATCTACGTGACCTATAAGGCGCTCTCGGCAATTTCTCTAGTCAAAAGAACTCGAATCCCAGGACCCTGGTACACGAATGTCACGAGCATTGCGCTGAAATATCACGAATTTTCCAAGAATAGGCGACTCTGGATTCATTCGCTTCATGAAAAATATGGCCCGGTAGTGCGACTTGCACCAAATGAGGTATCATTCAACAATCTAGAAGGCTTGAAGGAGATCTACCAGAGTGGAGGGAGTGGTTTCGACAAGACGGAGTTCTATGACCTTTTCAAGCAGTACGGTCATAGGACGATGTTCTCTACATTGAACAAACACGATCATGCTGAAAGGAAGAAGCTCTTCGCTGATCGTTACGCGATGACAAACGTCATGCGCCCGGAAATCATTGACGGAATCCAAAAGCGGGCAATGGCAGTCGTGGAGAAATGTCGAGAGTCCGTTGGAAAATGCCTCGATGTCTATGTTACGTTGCACTGCTATGCTCTAGATGGTGCTTCTCATTTTCTTTTCAACCCAGGAGGAACAGACTCGCTCAACAACCCCGACGATTTCAAGCTCATGCAGGAGCTGACCTATCATGATAGCATCCGGGCACGCCTTGTTGCATATTATTGGCCAGCCATAGATAAACTCGCTGTTCTCTTCAATCACAAGATAATTCCTCTCTCGAGGAATTATTGCCTCGATCGAACCAACGCGGACAGTCCCGCGGAAACATCACTGATCAGCAAGCTCCACTCTAAATCTTCATCCATATCTAGAATCGAAATGGCTGCAGAATGCATGGATCATCTGGCCGCCGGCATTGACACTACTGGAGATGGGCTGTGCTTTCTAATGTACGAGCTGTCGCTTCCGCGCTCTCAGCATATCCAAAGCCGACTCCGAGACGAATTGCTTGCAAATCCCAATGCGAAATTGAATGACCTGCCATATCTTGAGGCGGTCATCAAGGAGGGTTTGAGGCTATTTCCTCCAATCCCAATGAGTCACCCGCGATACGTACCGGGGCCATCATCGCGGAAAATTTGTGGATATAATGTTCCTGCAGGCACCATAGTTAGTTGCCAACCCTATTCGTTACATCTTTTGAACGAGTCAACATGGGGAGTTGGAGAATTTGATCCTGCGAAATTTGTGCCGGAACGATGGCTTGACGCTGAAAGGGCTCTTGAAATGAACAGATTATTCCTCTCTTTTGGCGCTGGTGGACGTGGTTGCATAGGCCGCAACTTGGCTTTGATAGAAATGAAGACCCTGCTTCGGGAAGTATACACGAGGTTTGTGACAAAGGTAGCAAGTGAGATGGAAGGGGATATGAGCATAAGCGACCAGATTATCGCAAGCAGGCCGAAAGACCAGACTTGCCTACTTAATTTCGAACCAATCGGATGCAAGGCTTGATAAATGGTATTCATTGTGCTGACAGAGCTCTTACAACGCAGCTTTCTCCTCCGTACTGTACTTGATCTGCTAGGCTCCATGCGTTCGTGATCTCCTCATCTTCTGCCGAATACCTGGCTAATCTGCTCGTATCACCTATCTGATAAATGACCTTCCACTCTCGCGTTTCGGGCTGGAAATCCTGCCTTATCGCTGCGAACTGCGCGTCATGATTCCTCTCCTTTTTTTGAGCGGCGAGGTAGTACCTGCCTACCTTTGCGTAGAAGGTTTTGCACCTGAGGTCATCATTATCATCATGATTGTCAAGGGCCTCTAAAATCCAATTCATATCGGTGTTCTCTGGTGAAACCTTCCAGTTAAGTTCGCGCCATACTTCCTCGTAAGCCATCATCTTTCCTCCAGCTGCTGGGTTGGGCATCTGACCTGTTTCAAGATCGTCACCATTTGGGAGCTTGCTGAACTCGCCCACATCTGGAGCTGGATGAGGATCCCTTGGATCATGATTTGAGTCAATTATGTGAGTGAATTTAACTTTGGCTTTAATTTAGAGTTAGTACCCATAGAGCTTAGTTCTAAAGTCGCAACACATATGTTCTTCTGTGATATTTCAACGTACAAGTGTTTTCTGGATCAACTATTCTCTCACCAGCAAGCAACCAATCGATGGCACCGTCAGACTTGCGGACCCTCAGGTCGACATAGTATCCATCAACGCTTAGCACTAATGTGTCTGTCTCTTCAGATGCGGGATCTGGCAACCAGCGAATGCTCACACGCGTTGACGCTCGTGACATGGCAATGAGCAGGGAAGTTCTTGCACGAACAGGTATCGATCCGTAGATTTTTATGTTTGCAGAATATTTTCAGGTGCTGTACAGGAGAAAGTGTTGTGAATTGCCGAGCAATCCAAAGATGCATCTAAAGTTTGCTCGTCGATAGCGGCATCTCCTCGAGTTTCCAATTCGGGTTAGTACGCAATGAAGTCTAGCGTGTCACAGACTAGAATCATTCAGCATCGGCCTGAATTCCGCAGAATAAATGCTTACCATGATCTTCAGCATAGTCATTAACCTTTGCCCAGCGGCGGTCAAGAATCATAATGGCGCGAAGGATATTCCGTATTCGTAAAGTGTCGTATAATTGCTGGAGAAGGCTTCTGATGGCTGTTTGGTCTTGACCAATAGCCTCACAACTGCGTAGTTATTGTTAGCTTGACATCACGATTAGTTTTATGCACTTAAAAAGTCAGATTACCCTGCAGTGAACAGTGGTGTGGTTAATAGAACCCACGGACTCAATTCTCGAACTGGCAAAATGCTCATCGCCGCGGCAATGATAGCTTTGACGCAGCTCTGAACTTGTTCTGCATGATGCGGCAGCCCTCGTACCCTCCGATGAACATGGATCAGAGCCGTGAACATGTAAGCTTCGTTACAAGCTGCGAGTTGATGAAGATCCCCGTCTCGTAGTCGCAACTCAGGCGGTATTCTTAAGCCGTTGTCCTGATCACGCTTTCTCATGAAGTGAATGGACTGTTCCAAAAAAGTGGCTTCTTCTCCAAGGGCAGACTCAGACGGAAGCATGTTGTCCTGAAGGCGTCTGCGTTCCAATGCCGCAGAGCCGATCCTTCTGAAAACTCGGTTTAAATCTGAAGAATATCCACCATATACATCGTAGTAGAAGTCCGGATCGAACAAGCCGTCCTCACCGAAGGCTGTTTTTGGACCGAAACGTGCCGTGCTTTGTTCAGCTTCACTATTTCGTAACCCACGTTCTGTCAATGATGTCAATGCTTCGATAGACAAGAACCACCGGGAAGCCAGCCATTTATCGGGTCCTGAAGCGTACTGGACCTCCTGTGGACGTCCTCCTTGTAAGCCCAATTCCATGATGGCTTTGGCACCTTCGACATGAACACGCCACGATGAATCGGCTTTTCCAGAGAATATTTCACAGGTACAGAGCATTCGAATCGTGTGGATAATCGTGGACCTGGCTTCTCCCTTCAACTCATTCACTTCTTGTCGTAGATGTCTGACGCTCAGAGCTATTAGTTCGGCTGTTTCAGGCTGCAGCGCAAATTTCTCCGTTGAATATGAGTCTGACAGTGAATGTCGATTGATTGCAGACAAAGCCATGGTAGCGTATAACAAGGACGGCGTTTGAAGGGCATATGGAATTATTTGAGAGCAGATGAGGTCGCGAATGTGAGGATGAGAAGATATCATGGAGGCTTTCTCAGTGAAATGATGCAACAGCTGGCGGCTTGAGGCCGGCACCAGCTCCAAAGGCTGAAGCGATCGTTGAGGATGCTCACACAACGAAAAGCCAGGTTCGACGGCTTGAATCACTAACTCGTTACGGGCAATAGTGGGTGGTGTTTTCGACTTGCTGCGGCTCCGGAACCGATTCGAAGCATTTCTGCTTCCCGAGGGCACTCGAGGTGTCCGACCGTTCCATTTCAGCACAATTTTATATTCGCATTGAGCGCCGTTAGACAGGCATCGGCCACAACTTGGCTTGGTCTCATCGCACTTCTGACGTCTGCTCTTGCATCGAGCACAGCCATGATGAGACCTGATGGTCATTGCTTTGCATTAAAGATGCATAACAGGAGGATCCGTGGGGAGATGGGCCTGTGCAGAGCGGCTTATGGAAAGGCGTGTATTCTGTATGTATAGTTGCTTGGATTCTCTTGAAGCTCAAACCCCATTCGGTGGTGTGCTGGGCCCTGAATTGTCCGCCAGATCCGCGGACGGTCCTGGACCGTTTTAGTCCCCCAGCGGCGGGTCATGGGGGATTTTTCCACTGAACCTGGTTAAGCTGCGTTTCGTGAACTTTCTTGTCCTCCATCGCACAAATTTGCACTTCGCCACTGCGAAATGGGGTTCTCATTCCATTCCGGTTCAGCATGAGGAAGCAAATTGTGTCTCTGATCTTCAAACCAAAAAAAAGAACAGAAGTGGACAGGATCTATACCCTTGAACAATGAGCGTTCAAGTCTGCTAGTATGAATGTAATTCTTGAAGTTAGCGCCGCTGAGAAACAGCCTTCATTTGAGGCACAGATCAGCGTAGAGAATCTGCCATTGAATCTTTAAAAGTCCCAATTTAAGCTAAGCATATGCCAATTCGTTGAACACGTCTCGTTCGTGCGTCCAAATCCCTTGTTACGCGTTGCCCATGTTTTCTTGTCGTCAATTAATCCATATCCAGCCCACAGGAATCATTTTCGAGATATTGTCTCGTCAGTTGTTCTATCTTGGATGAACTCTTTAAAGGCTTGATCTGAGCAAGAATTCTAGTCTAGTCAATAGCCGACTTCCGTGGAAACAGCCAAATTTGTGCGCAAGAGTTCTCGAAGATGATCCCGGATGTAGGTTAGATCCGGATTCCAGAGGACCCCCGACGATATCTTCGAGTTTCAATTTTGGGCAAGATGGAATGTTCTAATATCTTCCTTCACGAAGATTGAGAGGGAGAGAACTCCAAGTGCTTGTGGAGCGCTGTCTCTCCCGCAAACAAGAAATTGTAATGGGCGCTGAATGACTATGAGGTGTCACTTGTGCACCCTGAGAGAACATATGGTGAGACCAAAAGCTACCGTGTCCTGAGCCTTGGGCAGGTTCAAGATAATAAACACCCAAAGTGTGCGACGTAAGTCTGTACCTTCCATCTGCAGAGTATCGCATTGATTGAGAAGAAGTACCTTCTCCGTCATGAAAAAGCGGATAGGAATTTGCATTCCTAGGACCCAAGGAAGAAGTATTGACACTCTGCAGAACGGATATGTGTGGATGTGACGACCGCGTTGTGGGGTTTAACCCTTGTTGAACATTCTGGCCATTGACCCGCGGTGCAATTGGAGTCATTTTAAGAGCTGTGGTAGGTAACGTGCAATCATTACTTTCGGGATACACGGACGGTGGTACGTATTGAAAATCCCCTACTGATTCCTCAAGGACAATGCATTGCCATCCCTGACCATTTGCAGAGGGTACGATTTGTTGCTGGGCTGTGAGTCTAATTCGTTGTCGCGGCTGCTCGCCATACGGTGGCATCCAGAGGTTCATCGGAAAGACAAGGCGTTCTGCTGTGTTTATGGATGCGGGGATGTCATAGTTGTGAGAAGCTGGTGGTTGTAGAAATGTAGTTGATCCTCGTCTATTGTCACTCAGAGTGGCATATGGTGGCATGTAGCGACACAACGAGTGGGATCGAGGATCCATGACACCCATACTTGTAAAATGGCGCAAAACACAAAGAAGATGACGGGCTTCTCCTGCTTATCTGGAGATGGAAAGATGATATGAATGGCTTGACGTAAATAATGTCACAGTTTGTGTACTGTAGTCATATTTCCACGGCAACATGTCGTCCTTCAAGTCACTTCAACACTGGCCTTAAACAATTACGGATCGTTTAACTAATCGCATGAAATAAATCAATGGCTCTGCTTTAAGCATAAGTCCTGGTTGCGCTTCTTGAAGACGAATTCATGCAGCATCTACAATATAATCTTTTATCCATATTGAGAAAAGCCTTTCTTTAACTTTTAAAATAGGATCACGATGGAGAAAGTCTAGATATTGGTAAGACGCAAACCCAATTGTCCACTATATGGCCGGAGTTCAAAATTAGGTCTCAAAATGTTACTGGAACATGCGCCGCATGTCTAGTCATTACAGCTATGTGCAACTATCCTACTGCACTTTCTAGCTTAAAGGCATCAAACAAGCTGAACGCGTTCCTCCTTGACCTCAAATTTTTAGGCTGCTCATATCTGCGAATGTTTCCTCATTCTGACGGATGTGCAAGACGACATGCCCAATGTGAATATTGATCGACTCGAGCACAGTGCATATGAGTAACACTTTAACCCGAAGTGCACAGGAAGCACTTTTCTAAAGGGAGGAATTGGTTACAATTCAAGCTCCAACCCTGAGTCACTCCCTGCCTGAAAACAGACCGTTGGATTGTTGGTAGTCAGTTTCCTTCTATCCATGCTGAAACGATCACCATTAGATGTCAAGATTGGGGAATGTGTGACGGCAGATCTTCAGAGCGTTGCCTGTGAAAGCCAAAAAGCAAAACATTACTGAAAGTTGGACTCAGATAAACTGTATACGCTGACGGTGCCATCATGCATTTACTAGCCTAGTGCGTTTGCTACGTTGGTTAAGCAAATTGTCGAGAACGATTACTAGTTGTAGCGCCTGTTCTTTCCGCCGCACACACAACGCATGCTGAGCTGCTGAAAACCCATATTCAAAATGTCAAATCCACCAATCCTGGTTGTAGTTTTGACATAAATATCTCAATGTTAGTCGTGGCAAGCGCTAGCTTCTACGGTTGGTGACTTCTTGAGAGACGTAGTGTAGTCTAGTAATGAAAAGAATAAGAAGCAGTGCTACTCTGCTTCTATGTCGAGCAGAAAACATGTAGTCCTCTAGTCACTTGCACGACGGGAACAAGAAAGGCAAAGTGTGCAACAGCGATTTGTCGTTGGCGCTGCTCAACGATGAGATTTTGTAGACTGGACAAAGTTTCAAGTACATATAACCCGAATAGCAACTTCGCATATCATTTTCTTCTTCTTGAAAGTCTGGCATTGCAATCTATACGCGGCGATCCTGACCTGAATAATTGCCATCCTCCATACCATGTTTTTTTCAGGAATATAGCTGCGGCTGCCATTCTAGCATTGCTTTTCACCAACGGGAAACAGAGCTCTCAAAAACTGACATTAGAGTTTGTTGTCTCTATATGAAAGCTCCGGAGAGGAATTCTCACGTCAACACAACTCTACTTCTGCAAGGGTAACCAATATATGCAACCGTGTACATGGAGCTTCATACAGTGGCGCGAAAATGCATTGTCCTCTTGGAAGACTGGTGGGTCCGAAAGTTCATATTCAGCATGTAGTGGAGCATAACATGTGCCAAGGAGAGGAAAAGTGCACAGCATTGGAGCAAATCAGGGTGTATGGTGTGAAGTATTTGAGTACGAATCAATTTAAATGACTTAATGCGCATCACCTGACCTCAGCGGGAACGATAAGTGCAACCTGGATACAGCCGAAATGCAATTTTCAGACACGTTCACATATCACATATCCTGGCTGGGACGCTCAAGCGCTGGAGGAGAATGGTTGGCTTCACAGAATAATCAGCATCGCATGTTATAGATGACTATCAGAGTAATTACATGTTTGCGAAAATTTTCTTAGTAAATGATCGCTGAAAAATTTTTCATTCCTGTTACCTCAGTAGGTTGTTGAAGGAAGGGCGAAATCTATACATGGTGATTGGAAAACTAAATTGATGGAAATTCTGAAAATCTACTTTAGAAAAAGAGCAAACCTAATATCCAAAGCTCATGAAACCATTACAAATTGGCCCACGCTAGGGATACCATCTACCAGAACGTACAGAACGTAAGGGCCTGGTGGGGCGACGTTGTTACTTGGTGGCATAGTCACGTTGACAATTTGGCTAGACTGTCCTGTCTCCCAACCAATCGTATCCAAAAACATCATCCTCTGACCCATGTGCAGGCTGTGTGTGACAAAACCTCCATGGTAAAGGCAAACTTTCAGCTGATTAGCACCAGAGGGAGCCTTGAAACTGAGTGAAAAGTATGAACCGTTTGCTTTCAATCTAGTTTCACTCAGAGTTACATTTATTGGCCTCTTGTTCGCATTCTCTCCGCTCAGATAAGGAGGAGTGTAAATCTCGACTCGAAATTCAGTGGTGAATGGATAGTCAGCGGTAGCCTTGAGCACAGGCTGTTCGACCGGGTTAGATCCAGCAATCATGATTGTACCGTCAAGCAACAGCAAAGCAACCGAGTGATATAAACGCGGGATGGAGCTTCTCGCAAGTGTTGTCCATCTTTGTCCTAGTGGTGCGTTCGGGTCATAGAGCAATGCGTCCAACGTCGGCTTCGTGGCTAGCAAGAATCCTTGGGCGCCTTGGTTGCAACCATTGAGAAAGACGATAGTGCCGTCTGGTAGCAAAACTCCTTCCACCATAGCCCGTCCTTCGGGCATGGCGTCCATTTCCCATTTTGGGTTTTCAGCCAACGGCGCAATGCGACCACATGATGGATCGGTAGGCGAAGCAAGATCTTGATACGCGCCTCCGCCACATATAATGACTTCGGGGTCCCAATGATTGTCGCTCGAAAGAGGAAGCAGAACGGAAGTGCCTGTGTTGGGGTATGTTCTATATTCGCCGGGAAGATCAGGATATACCAGCAGAGCACTTTTGATGACTGGTGACCAAAGCTCAGAAGACTTTGATGTGAACACGAAAAGATCGCCAGTACGTAGAAGATGAATGAACGGATACATATAGTAAGGTTGATTTCGTAACAAGATGTCTAGCGACGTCGATTGTGTCAATGGAGTTCCTGTCTGTGAGAGGATTTCATACGTCGGGTTGTTGTTGGCTGCGACAGTTGGGTCGAGCCCATTCAATGAGCCGGATGCGACAAAAATTCTTCCATCGCTCAAAATCTGTGCCGAAGCATACCACCGTGCAGACGATAAGTTACCAGCCTCCGCGAATGACTGCCCGTCAAAGCTTCGGTCATTAATAGATCGTCTCAATGTCCTTAGGCTCTTATAGCCATCACCAACAGTGGGATCGATAGACTCCAAGGGGCCGTTGCCGCCAATGGACAATAATGTACCGTCAGCCAAGAATGTGCCAGCGGAGCAGAACGCATTGGTTTTCATTGACAATGCGGTCACTTGTGCGGTGAGCGGATCCCATTCTGCCGCATAAGCAAAGCGACCATTTGGCAGGATAAGCTTCGTGTAATTCTCCACCTTATCTATAAAGACAACGTGTCCGTTGGGTAAGAGTGCTGCATGCATCACAGGAACTCCCGAATCTCCGATGACTTGAAATGTACCTGGAATCGGATTTGGAGAGGCGGGTTTGGCGGATGGAGCTTCAACCGCTCCATTCAATAGGCAAGGTCCTGACTGGCAACCGGCACCGCAGTGAGCTGTACTATGTTGCCTCTTAGCAAAGTTTTACAGTTTGCCAGATTTCCAGAAAGACTTTAAATCGTACCTATTTCCGCAGTATCCATACATAGAGCAACAGGTTCCTCGGGTCCAATTCCCACATACTGTATTTCCGAAATTGGCACCACAAGATCCATCCTGAGTCACTGGACTTGTGGGTGAGGGTTTAGTTGGCCCAGTCGGCAGTCCAAGGATTGGTTCCTGGGCGAGACTAGAAGCCGCTGCTTCTCCAAGCTCGGAGAAGGGAGACTGTATTGGTTGCTCGTTCTGCATAGAGCTGCTATTCGGGGCACAACCTGATTGACAGCCAACATCTCGTCGACAGTGGCTGTCTGTTGCTCCGCAGAAACTATATCTGATGAGAAACTTAAACTTTTAAATGAAAATACACATACCCATATGCAGAGCAACATCCACCGTAAGGGCCTGTTGGATCACATACTGAGCCTCCAAACTTGGCCCCGCAACGACCGTCCGCTCTGGGCATTTGGCGTTCGAGTATCACGTCTAATCGGCGAATCATGCTTACAGGGTTGAAGGGTAATTCAATAGCGGCGAAACATGTGCCATTTTTGAGGCAGGTCTGCCCCGGTAGACAGCCTGTATATGCCAAGTGAGAGTCGTTGCATTTTGGCTGGACTCGATGGAAGACAATGTTCGATGAAGCATGGGGAACAAGGGTGAAAGCCAAGAGTAAATACGTCCTCAGAGTCATCGACGCTAGAGTGAAGTCCAATGGCCCCATTATTGGATAATTGTTCGTCCGAGTTCGATAACAACAAAATACTGACGTACTTGAGAGATGGGAACCACAGAGAGGCGTTCGTATTCTCAACTACCATAAGTTCCTGTAGGAATCAATCAGGGCGGAAAATCTGTAGCTTCTGTTAGACAGATGTTGCGGGGGTGGACAGAAGGAAAAGTGACTGATCCGAGTTGGAGATCTGAATGCAAGGCAAATGTATTTAACGCACTGGGAAGGAACATTGCATGGACGAATGTATGGAAACAACGTATATCACTGAGATGCCAGTAAGAGCTCTCTTGTAGCCCAGTAAATCAAAGGAGAAAGCCGACGAAAGCGAAGATGAAGAAGCAACGAAGAGTAACTTCCTTTGGAGTAGCCCTGCTAGGCGGGCATTGACCTTCAGGCCGCTCATTTGATATAAAGAACCGTCTGAGGTCTCCGATATATGCCTGCGGTTCTCAGAATACTCCACTGACACATAACAAGGGCATAGGAATCTACGTTATTGAAACATCGTACTTAGGGAGTAATGTCCTCAACACCTGTTTTGCATGAGCGAGCCAGAGGATGGATGTTTGCCTGCGGTGATTATGTGCCACAACCGGGTGTCTCGCGTCTGATATGCATATTTGATGTGTACAGGATGAACTCGCGACATTTGTTCGGTATCCTTCCACTGAGATGCTATACTTGACAGAATCTTTCGTCGTGACGAGTGTGGTCTTGCCAAGTTCAAGGTTAGGGTAGAAGAAAAAACGCCACAGAATGCGTTGTCTCAATCTGGAAACTCCTGCACACAAACTTAAATGAGTCAAATGCAATCGATGATATAAAGCGTACTTGAATCGGAAGACGATAGTTTAACTTTCCAGAATTCGTATCAATTGAAGATGAGCTTCAAGAGGAACCTCGAAGCATCTGTCCCGTATCGAGAAATTCGAGCGCACTTTGACGAGCATACAATCACTGTCTATCAAGCATATTCAGCCGAGATTGGAGATGCTGCGGTCAAGCACCAAAAGCTCAGTGCCTCGCCTGCATTTTCCTTTGATCGGATGACATGGATTAAACCGTCCTGGTCATGGATGTGCTATCGCGCCGGATACGGTTACAAGGACGATCGACAGGCTCGTATTTTGGCCATCCAAATGAGGCGCGACACGTTCATTGGACTGCTTCGTCAAGCATTCGTAGGCCACGGAGCCCCTGAGCATAAGGAAGCTGTGAGGGTACAATGGGATCCAGAACGATCCCCTGCAATGGTGAAGCTTCCTTTCCGCAGTATCCAGATTGGAATACCTAGAACTCTGAGTAAGAAATGGGTCGAAGAATGGATCATTCATATAGAAGATGTGACTGAAAGAGCGAAATCACTAAAGAAAGCCATTGAAGAGGACCAAAATATTGCGCAGGAGGAGCTTGTGAAGAGGGGTCTGGTTCCCGTCGAGGAGCCGTTTGATGTGCCTGATGATGTGAAGGAAATTCTGAAGATGGCTGAAAACTGAGTCTCGACGCTCTACGACAACTTGTATGAGCGAATTCCTGAAAATCTCCACCTCTTTGAAAGTCTGAATCATCTTCCGTGGAGTCATGCGGCATATAAGCTCCATCATTAGTTACGCTGCAGACGGCTCGTCAAATAGAACATTCTGCAAGAAACTTTCTTAGAGACTCTTTTGTGCCCATCTGAATACTTTGCTGTTTTTTTGTTGCCGCTACCATCAGAGGACCTGTAGACTGCTTGGAGAAGAATGCAATCTGAGAAATGCCGGACGTTCGTGATCCAAGATGGAATACAATGTGTGGAACGCCTCCAGGACCAGGCGATCCTCGTATCTGGGAGGATGAACTCGAAGCAGAAGACAGAATGATCTGGCTAAATGGAATCCAGCGGCACAATCCGATCCATCCTATGGAAGTAGACGGCAATCGCTGTATCTACTTCAAACGCTGCTGCTCGGATTGCCTAGATAGACGTGCCAACCCCAAAGTCCACGGTTACCACAAGCTAGTTGGCGAAAGCTACGGTTTGGGCACTGGGCCAAGCGGATTCGAGAGCAAGCTGTACCATCCAGTGCCGTCTTATTTTATTCGATCCTTGCCAACTGCGAACATAGGGCACGCGTTGGTAAATATCCGATCGATGCCTCGATCCAAGGACATATGGCTGCGAAACGGTGACAGAATGCAATGGTACAAGAAGGGTATTATCAACAACTTTGACTTTGAAACTTTTGATAAGCTTCGCTAACAAACAGTTCGAGCCATGGAGTCAGAATTAGCCGCCAGAGCAACAGATGTCAGGCGGGACGTCGAGCCGCTCCCAGCCTTGGGAATATGGATGATCAGAGTTCGAAATAACCAGCAAAAAGCACTGCACCGGCCATACATCGAACGCTCGCGTACTGCCCTTGGTCCGACCGAGATGCCTCAAAGACTTGTATCCTTGAATGGCCTGCGCTCACCAAACGCGAAGCAACATCAGCGCCGAACCGCTCATATTAAGTACAGTGAGACCAACAATCCAGCAGAAGCAGGAAGGAACATCGTTTCCGTGTCCAAAGAGAATTCGGGTGCAGCTAAAAAAATCCCTTGGCGTTGGCGATTTCACGGCATCAAAGAAACTTGGAATTCTTGAGTCTTCGAGAACGAAAATTGAGATTTTCATTTCTTCAAATTGAATGGAACGGACGAAAATAAACATAAGACTTCATCGTGCCGTGCAGCCTCTGCTCAGAGGCAAATCTAGAATCTAGTAATTGTCACAAGATTGCTTTGTATCAAATCTTCTCCATTTTCTCCGTAATCACGATGTCATGAAACCATTTAGCACCGAATATATGTGCCGTCTTTAGCAGTGTTATGTTAGACAAGTCTGCTCATCTTAATCTGTGTTTATGATGTGGCCAATCCTCTCCTTCGTCCAGCTCTTCTTCTAACTCTTGCCGCAATGCTATCAACGTCTTCTTGTTCAGAATTGTACTCCCAACCTGTAAGCCATACACCATGGCACAAAAACCTTCCAGGCATATTGCCTAAGACCTTCCAACTATGTATCTTCCTGCCCTTGCGCATGCCCATGAAGCCACAGCGTACTGTTTTCAAATTAGGGAGCAAGCCTAATTCGACGGCGCGGAGCAAATTATCTAAGTAAGCTGTGAAATATCTTATTTCATTATTTGTCACTGCATCCAAGCTCAGGGTCTGTAGAGATGTTGGAAGACCGAGCCAGTCGAGCAGATCGTCAATATCTTGAGAGTGTGAGCTGACCAGAAAACGGGAGTCAATATCCAAATACTCCAGACTCGTGAACTTGGTGAATTCCAACTCGCCGCATATGAAGTGCTCCTGATAGCGAAGAAGGTCTCTCTCTAGGCGTCGACGGACCAAGCTCAAACTCTTCAGCGACTTGACCTGCGTAGCCAGCATTTGCCCAAGCGCCCTCAAAACACTCACACATGGATTCATGTTCTTCCAGGAGAAAGTGGTGATGCTGTTCTCGAACTCGGTGCGTGAGGTATTTAAAATAGAGTTAAAGATATAATGCCGCCCATTACATGCAAAGCCATTCAATGCGATGACCTCAGACTTTGCAACGTATAAAAATTTTTCACATATTTCGTCCGAGAATGTATGACCATGAAACTTAAAAACACGTAAGGAAGGAAACAGAGGCCAAGAACCCCGAAGCACGAGAGTGCCTTGAAATATGTCATTGTGAGTCGTCTGCAGCGCTGATGGAGTGCGAAGTTCAATCGATCGTAGAAAAGAGAAATGATTCTTTAAAATGTCGTCGGTACGAAGCGAGACCGGTTTCGTCTTCTCGATAATCACGGCGTCATGACCTTTCGAGGTTTGGGACGAAAAACATTGAGTATTCCAAAGCTTCTGACTTGCGTTTTTGATTAAGATATCGAAAAGAGAGTGAAAAAAATCTTCCTGCTCCGGTAAATCGACAGCTAACGTTCGGATGCCACGAAATGCAGCTACTATACCGGCTTTATGCTGCGACGCATTCATGTCGCTGATCCTACCTTCCGAGCTGGGAAGAGAATTGAAAGCAGATTTCAATCTCTGCTTGATCTCTTCATGGTAATCTTGGTCTGTGGCGCTCTCAAAGAAGTTAGAATCATGTGGGAACTCAAGCAATTGCATGTTCTTGCACGAAAGCTCTAGCAGATCACCAGACGACGATCGCATCTGCCATGAGCTCCGCGACAGCGCCTGTAAAGAAGGAGAAATGGTCCCAACTGTACTGCGTGGTTAGTGAAACAAGATTTTGAACAGCAGCACGAAAAGCTCGCGTACATAAACCGATATCCTGTTCCGCAAACAACCTTGCAAGGTCTCCATTATCAACCTTGATATTGTCATATAGCACTCGCGATGCTGGATCTCGGGTGCTTTTGCAAACTCGACTGATGGAAGCAAGGCTGCCAGGATATGCTGCAAGATTATCATAAATGATGAACTGAATCTCATAAGGCAGATCTGGCAAGCTGAGGGATGAACCTGACGGCGATATTTTGACCGCCTCAACATCCATAATCAAGGAATACGTAAGGTGCCACGTTTTTGATCCAGGGATTTGCCTCGTTGGAACAGGTTGAACCAAGGTGACAAGCGGATTGAGCAGTACGAGTGAAGGGTGTTTAGAAAGACTGCGCAGATTGTACTGTTACAAGGCAGCGTGGTGACAGTCTGCTGAGATCTTCCGTCCTGTTGGCAAGAGACGTCGAGTCGATGATAGCTTATGATTTAGGTTGATTGATTCAGCCTTGCTGGGCATGAATGCGGGGTGGCTTCCGCTAATAATAAGCTGACTGCCGGCTTTCCTCGTTGTGCTTAAACAAAAGTAACAACCAGTGTGTGAATACTGAGGGATTTCCGATGGTATCAAAAGGTGACCTGGTGGTGCGAGAATGAATTCGTGGATTCCAAAGAGTGATGCGATGCGATAGCTTGTCGGGAGAGTCAATCAAGAAACCAGCTTGCTTGCTGACACGTGATTCTACCCACTGTCACGACCTAGAATCAAGCTGGAGCTCCGAACCATCAGAATTGAATTCTGAAAGACGTTTGCGAAGACTTTCTTCCTACATATTGCAGATCCTTATACTCTGACGACTCATTCGGTGGGGCAGACTCACTTCTATTGGACATGATCCACTTCCGTCTGTGAATTGTCTATGTGGTCATCACACCCGAGTAAGGATCCGTCATACTTTCTTGCTGGCCATAATAAGTTTAAGACGATAGATCAAGCTACAACCGATTTTGTCATTACAGATATCATCACTGTATGTCATATACCTGGATTAATACTACGCATGAACGCAACAAGTACTCTTCATGCCAAATATGCCCTAGTCTCAGCCCCGGCTAAAATCAATTACGCTCAAGAATAATGAGAGTCTCTAGATACAGAGCTCGTTCGTGGGACGCGACTTCAAGGACATGCGAAATAAAGCGACATGTTAGATAAAACATGTGTTTTTTTTTCTGCCTGCTCATTGTCTCGAGAAGACATCACGCGCCCATGACCCCATCAAGGATCTATTTTTACCTTCTTCACTTCCCCTTCATGTTCATCCGCGGCGCCTTCCACCTCTGGACTTCTAGCTCGCTTCGTAGGAACATTCGAAGCCACTGCAGAAAGATTTGGTGATGCATTATTATTTACCTTTGGACTTGCCACAACCGGTGGTGTTAGTGGCTCCACAGCGGGTCGAGTCGGGGTCATGGTCCTTGGAATGCCATTTGGTCGCTCTAAAATCGTGTCTTTTGGCAGAGAAGTGTTAATATTTAAGCCAAGTCCTTCTGAAGTTGGAGCGGAGGCAGGAGTGGATGTGGTCTTTTGGGTCAGCGTCTGTGTCGTACTTGCTGGTTGAGGAGGTACAGTAGCCTGTGATGCAGCGACGCTGTGATTCTGTCTCTGAACTGGATCTTTGCTGATCCCTTCAGGCGGTGGTCCTGTGGGACTTGTTGACCTTGGCACGGGCGTATTTGTGCCAGATCTGAAATTTGGCCCGCCCATCAGCATTCCTAGCAGATTTGCCTCCGCAGGGCCCTGAGGCTTCGGGGAGGCCAAAGCTTGAGCTTGCTTGTTCTCACTGGTTGCACCCGCCTGAGAAGGTGGAGGTGCGGTGGCAGCTTGTGAGGCTGCGCTGGCCGCTGCTGCTGGTGGGATTGAAGGCACAGATGTGTTACCTGATGGGCTTGAGGCAGCGACTGAAGGTGGTGCTTGCACACTGGAGGCTGGTGCTGATGGAGGCTGATGTTGCGGGGGAATTTGAGCCATCTGAGCCGCCTGAGGCTGTGGCTGCTGACTCTGTACAGACTGGCCCTGCGTGTCTTGACGCTGTGTACTTCCTTGATGTGCTGCTGCATTTGATGGAGGAGCGCGTGGGGGGAACTGACCTTGTTGATGTGTCGCGTTTGCGGGCGCTTGGCTAGGGGTTAGTTGTCTTGGTGGTCCTTGACTCTGTACCAAAATGCCCTCAAAGGCCCTCATAACGTTCTCTTCCTGTGTATCCTTGGGTACACCGATCATCGTCTCTGGTTCAAGAACGCGTTTTATAGCATTTGTAACAATCGACTCTGCCTTCGCCGTATTATTGTCGTTTCTGCTTGCATACGTCGAGATGAAGACTTTCTTGAACGTGTCGATGACCTCGGCGGAGGGTGGCTTGTAGCGCTTGAATTGCTGTGGCGGAAGTTGCTGAGCATGTGCTGGATACGGTGGCCGTCCATGCGGTGGATAAGGAGGACGATGTTGGCCATTAGCTGAATGGGGTTGACTGCCAGCATGGACATGAGGGGGATAGCCATTTGGTGGAACTTGGCCTGGAGGTCGCCCTTGCTGCGTCATGTTTGGAGGCATGGGAGCACCTGGCGGGCGTTGCTGATACTGGCCCGGAGGATAAGGGGGATATTGGTGGTTGCCATATTGTGGGTATGGATAACCCTGGCCGTAGTGAGGAGGTGGTTGTGGTGGCGGGGATTTTTTCTTTCGCTCTCGTTCGATTGGAACGCCTTCTTTGATGCCCCATAGCCAGCCTTTGCCCTCTTTTTCGACCTTTTTGAAGGCCTGAACTTCTGTTAGTGGTGCAATATGCAGAATTTAAATTAAAATGTGCATATACCTCATGCTGACCCAAATTGTGGCGCACGCTACTTTGCCATCCATTGCTTCCTGCTTTGAATTTATACCAAGGATATTTGCGCTCGATTGCACTGTAGATCTGTTGTAAATTCATCACTCCAGCCTTCGAGTTCTTGATAGCCTCGTAAATCAGATAGACATAATTGGCGCTCGGACGCTGCAACTGTTCTTCAGTATAGTCTTCAATTCTCATCTCCGGTGATGGTGAACGCGGAGGCCGAGGAATCTTTGGACGCTTCTCATCGTCATCCCCATCGCCTTCGACCTCTTCGCCTTTTGAGTTTCTTCTTGGTTTTGGCTTCGGCGGTCGAATCTCTGGAGGCGGAATTGTTGAGGGGTCCAGGCCGAGTTTGATAGCCTTTTCTCGCTCCTTTGCTTGCTTTATGAGCTGTGCACGCTCACGTTTCGACATGACACCATCCTTCGGTGGCCGGCCAGGTCCTTTCTTTCTTGCCGGGATGATAATACCGGCAGGTAGGCCAGGGACGTTGATATCCTCACCATTTTGCAAGGGGGCATCACGAGCAATACGTGGAGCTGACGGTTCCTTCGGTGCCGGAGGCTCTCCAGTCGGCGCCTTTGAAGTCTCTTTCGTGGTCTCTTTGGACGTCTCTTTCGAAGTCTCTTTGGCAGCTTCTTTGGTAGCCTCCTTGAATGGTTCCTTATTGGATTCCTTTGCACGAGCCTCGGCCTCCTTTGCCTTTTTAGCTTTCTCGCGTTCCTTTGCTTCGGCTTCAGCCTGCGCCTTCGCCTTGGCTTTCGCAGCTTCCTTAGCCTTGATTTTTGCGGCCTTAGCTTTGGCCTCGGCACGCTCGCGCTCTCGAGCTTCAGCTTCAGCTTTGAGTTTGGCGCGCTCTTGCCGAGCTTTGTCCTTGGCACTGATCTTGAGTGTGAGCTTTGGCCCCTTGCGACTTTGATTTGCGACAGTTTTTGATGAGCGCTTGTCCTTTGCCTTTGGCAATGATTTACGATCATAGGTCTTTGGGCGCCCAGGCCCTCGCTTCTTCGGAGTATCCTCTTCTGATGAGTATTCGTCCTCCTCTTCTTCGTCTTCTTCTTCTGCAATGTCGCCCTCTTCTTCTTCGTCAAGGAAGTCTTCATAGCCGTAATCTTCGTAATCTTCCGCATGAGCCCTTGCTCTCGCGCTTGGAGAGGAAAACTCGTCCAACTCGTCTTCATCAGCAATGATGCTTTCACCGCGGCCATCTTCAAAATTGAAGCTCATGCGTCCGCTCACGCTGTCGAAATCGTTCTCGCCAGGGTCCGCAGTTTCGAGAGCAACGGTTGGGAGTACAAATCTGAGCGATACACCACCAATCTGAATGACGCTGCCGTCGTGAAGAGGTACCGTGGATCCGGCGGGGTAGTGTTGGTCGTCATGAAAAGCACCATTACGACCGTAGACAATCATCTCAAAATGACATCGGTCGAAGTTGTAGGCTATCCGAATGTGCTTGCGTGAGATACCCTTCCCCGTTGAGAACTCATCCTCACCATTCATGGGGGGATGCACTGGAATCAGTGGGGTGAAATGAGGATCGGGCATATGGACCATGGGATCTAACGGTGCCGTTACATTTGGGTCGACTGTTTGCAACGCAGCCTGATTGTAGTCGAACTTAGGTTGTACCTGGTTGATGGAGTTCTTGCGCGACATGCTTTGGCTTCTGCTAGAAGACGTGTCCGTTGACTTCGACTTTGAGCTCTTCTTCTTTTTACGCCTCTTGAGTTTAATGTGGCCATCGTCATCGCCAACAATACCTCCGCTCTCGCTCAGGAAGCTACGAGCCGACATCCCAGCAGTATCATTTCTGATCGGTCGAACTGGCGTACCAGGTAGACTCGTGCTTCGCTGACTTCTCTTTCCACTCCTTTCTTCTCTGAGCTGCATGCGTGCCTGATATTGTTGTGCCATCTTGTATGCGCGCATGTCTCGACCAAGCTCAACAGCGTAGGTCGTCATGTAGAAATGTCCGTCTTGGAACTCGAGTTTTGCAAAGCCTGTCGCGGGCTGCACTGGGATCGGTTGCTCGGTATATTGGTCCAGCAGGCCGTCCGAGGTGTAAGGTAGTGAATCTAAGGGTGCCATTTCGGCGTCCATGCTGAAAGGTGGTGCCAGAGAGGCGACCGGCAGTTCAGCACCTACGGGCAGCTCAGACTTGATGCTCAATTGCTCTGCATGGTGCTGCAGTACATCGACGCGATCTGAGGCCGGGATTGCATTGCCATCGCCGGTGCGGACTACGACGTCTTGGTCGGCTGGTTGCTGAAGGCGCGTTGCCTCTGTGATTTCGGGCTTGATGTCGTGGGGGATGTCACCTATGGTGTCTTGCGCCTTTTGGTCACTGCCGGTTGCTCGACCTTCATGCGCAAACTCCTGCGTGCCACCATTCACTCGTGCTTGTTCGTCGTTGTGAACCTTGGGCGCTGCAGCCATTGGTTCGAGCTTCTCCCTGGTAGCCGCGACCAGCGCGCCATCGTCGGCAACGGCGGCGGAGGCGTCGGGCGCAACTTGGTCGGACAGAGGGATGGCATTTGCAGCCTCTTCCATTCTGTCGTCTCGACGGGTGTTATCGCTTTGTGACGTGATTGCGTGTGTGGGCGCATCTTGAGCGCCGTGGAAGAATGTGCAAAGGCTTTATGCCTCCATGTTCGCGGATCGCCTCGTCGTTGTGTGCGGTCAAGATATAGCTATGCAGATCCTGCTACGATGACAGTACGTATCCGTAACCAGTCACGGCGTCCTGACTGCTTAGAGTCTCTCTCGAAGCGGCGTCTCACGGTGGTGTTGAGCTGGAGCGGACCTATGTCTGGTGCCAAGACTTTGGGATCACCCGTGTGGATTTTTGCGTGACCCACAATACTACTGCGCTACAGTCCTTCGCTGTACATAGAGAAGCCCTGCAGCCGCACAGCCTTCGTTACCGTGCCGCTCGATGTCACAAACCCGATCTTTGGAAACCGGAAAATGGTGGACTCGTTGTCATAGTCTGCCATTTGCGTGCCTTGCGTTTGTTCTCGTAGCGGAGCGTACGCAGCCACTGCTGTGTTTCCCGCAGCCGGGTTGAACGTGTCCACCATCCAGACTAACTTAGTGCTGTGCTGAGGGCCGGTTCGACGTGTAAGGTAGTTGATTTCGTGCTTGGTCTACGGGAAAAATTCTTCTGATCTACGCCTAGTCCGTAGCTCGATCGATGGTCTTTACAAAGCCTTGCAGGCGAACACTGTGACACGCCCCATCTCTGGTACACACTCACCCTAAATGTATTGATTGACGAGCCACTCATTATGGCTCCAAAAAACAAGAAGAAAGAGGTAACGGCGCAGGAAGTGCCAGGGAGAAATGAACAACCACCTCCAGACTGGCCAAACTTCGCACCACTGGTATCGCCACTCGACCTATCCTTGGAGGAAACAGTACCCAAACAAATCATGTGCATACGCAACCTCTGGACCTCCACGCTTTGCAGAAATTACGTCACGTTCCTCTCGTCGCTCCCGCTGACCACAACGCCTGGAAGACCAAAGAAAGGCGATGCAGTCCGCGTTAACGATCGCTACCAAATCGACGATCCTGTGTTCGCCACCCGGCTCTGGAACGAAACGGCTTTGAAGTACCTTGTCAGCACGGATGAAGGATCTGGAGTAGACGAAAACGAAAGGGTGAAGCTGTGGGGTGGTGAGGTCGTCGGGTTGAATCCGAATATCAGGATATATCGTTATAAGAAAGGGCATTTTTTTGACCAGCACTGTGCGTTTAGCTCGATCTTGGAAATGGGAGAGGAAATCTGACTGCTTTTCTAGATGACGACTCGAATAACGTCAATGTTGCCGCTGAGAACGGACAGCTTGTGCAGGCGAAAACTACATGGACGCTCTTACTCTATCTTACGTCGCCGGCTACTGGATGCATCGGCGGCGAAACAGTCTTCTACCCGGATCCACCTTCCAAGAAAGCTGCTGCTCCAGATCCAATTGCCATTGGGCTAGAGGTGGGCATGGCTCTGCTCCATAAGCACGGTAAAGACTGCATGCTGCACGAAGGACGCGAGGTGACTGCTGGCGAGAAATGGGTCATCAGAAGCGATCTTTGCGTCAAGCGATGATTTTTTCATATCTGCCTTGGTGCGTTATATTTACACAGAGGCGCGCAAAAGCATAGATGGCGCGTTATAGGTTCTTGGCGGCTAGAAGTTTAGCAGCCCGCAACAGCAGCGTAATGCTGCAGTACACGCTACCACCCCATACACCGGTCCGCAGGGTTGCTAGCAGATTGTTGCTACTGTTGGCGATGTACACAACGACATAAATAGCCCTGCAGCGGATATTAGCCGTGTACATCACAACGCACGAACGAGCCGACCAAAGTATCACGCACCTAAACAAAAGATAAAGCTTGGTGAACTTGTCGACTTCATCGCCGCTAACCCCAGCGGAAATCGCAGCCACTACAGCGGGCGCAAAGAGCAAGAGAGATTCGTGCCCGTTCTGGTGTGCAGCGTCGGCACGCTTTGCACGCGCGAGAACAGCATCGTCTACCTTGAGGTCACGGCCCATATTGTTACGGCCTAGGACGGTTTTGCGTCAGTAAGAGGCATGCACAACGTCGAAAACGTAGGGTGACCAGTTCAACTGACCCAGTCTGTTGTCCCACTTGTAGCCACCAGCGCCCAGAGATGTGACTTTGAACACATGTGGCGCGAAAGTGAGAGCCCACGCGTAAACCACGCGGTACAGCGCGTCGGAATATGGTGACATGGTGCAGCAAATGTTCTGTACCGTGTTGGCACGGACTAAGCAGGTATCTTGGTAATTATTTTTCTTTTTTATGGATGAAAGAATGCAGCAGCGTTAATATGGGGAAGTCAACATCGGCTTTAATGTTCCTTAGCGACACATTCGAAACCATCCCCACCTCCTCATGATGCCGAGGCAGCCAGCTTCATTTAACCTCTCGTTCCCCATCGTGAACAAATTGGCGCTAGTGGCGCACGTAGAAACGTTCTAGTCTGGCGATCATGACACAAAGCGGATGAATACAGACCTCCGATGACGACGGGTTCAGGAAGAGTGCGGGAAGCGGGCTCGAAATGCCCAACTAACCCGATTCAGGAACCGAGATGGGACTTCCGTCAAAGCTTTTATCGAAGTCGAATGGTTGAAGACACGGAATGGCCCAGTGAGTTCCATCAGGAAGCCGATCCAGCGAACCGTCCGTTCGTGAATCTGGAATTAGTTTTCGGTTCCCTGCAGTCCTAGCGGTGCAACGCTACCAGCGGCAACCTCTTGTCCAGCCTTGCACGAAACCGTCCCATAGTTGAGAAACTCTGCATGTCTGGTAAACGCACAGATGCTCGATTGGTGCATTTCAATTTGGCACAAGGCTCTTTACAAACAGACGTCGTGGGAAGATCAGGACCAGACAAGAATATCCGAAGCAATGTTTGAACAAGTTTGGAGTACCTGAAGCGATCGAGAGTCAAGGAGTTTACTGGAAGACAAACCTAGAAACTTTGACCGTACCTCTTTCTCCAAGTCTATACCTGTGCGGACGGTCTAGTGAGGTCTATTATCTTTGGAACGAGTTTCGAGCTGCCCAGGCCAACGAGAACGGGACAGCTCTTCTCATGCTGTTCACAATCTCCACGGCAAGGGCTATTCGATTGCAACGATCAGACATTGTTTCATGTGAATTAACAGTTACTAGTAGGTTGTGCAAGATATTCCCTCATGAGCGGACAATCGTCGATCGATTTCTTCTACCACAACAAGTATAACTTTACCGATTATATCTAGAAGAGCTAGGTGCTGTAGTCTATACCCTGCGATCGACGAAGCGTAAAAAGTATAGATATATAGCATCTGAGAAGCACTTGCACGCACAGGGACAACACAAGCTTCTGCAGCAGGTTCGTCTCTCAGTCATGCGTTGCAGCTCAGATGGCCCGTGAGGACTACTTGTGCAGTCCTGCAAACGTTCTGCGAATGTGCAGGTGTCATGGCTTGGTATAAGACATCGAGTTCACGTTGGAAGAACGAACAAAAGAAACGAAACAGAGACAACCACGGCAATGTCTGCGGTCTCACGATGGGGCTATCGGCGTGAATTGGCAAGCATTCCTGGCTTGCCCACTGGGCTGGCGTTAACTTTCTGCGTTAACAGCGCTCCGTCATGAACTTGAATGCGTGGAAAATAGTAATTTTTTGTTATTTAACTCCTGATGCGTATGTACGTAGTTTTCTTGCAGGTTTCGTCTCCTACTCCGTGCAGCAGATGTCAACCGTCCGTGCCGTGCTTGCGTTGCCAATGAATCGTCCAGCCGACGCTTCCGTACCCCACGACGCCATGGGCTTGAGCCCACATCGCCCGGAGATTTTCTCAGATGTCGACCATACCGACAGCTTCTCTCAGGCGCCTTGCGTCCGGCTTTGCGCCCGTCTGAACGACAGAGAAAGGCTCCGTGTACAAGTCGCCCAAAACACTCGCGTAGACCACCCTCTTGCCGTCGAGGTACGTGGTGTAGTCGCTGACGCCGGCCGCGATGGCCTCCTTCTCGAACTCGGCGTAGTCGCTGCGTCCGGACTTTGCCTTGTCCTGGGCCTTCTTGATGGCCTGCTTCAGCTTCGTCTCGGACCACTTGATGGTGCCGGCGTCGGTCGCGTGGCTGAACGTGTAGGTGTCGACTTCGGTGCCGACGTACGACGTCACCGTCTGAGCGACGAAGTCGACGCGGTAGCGGTTGACGCCGAGGGCGGCGAGGGCGGCGATGGTGGCTGGAAACGTGGGCGTGTCGATTCCCGCGGTGGGGTTGAAATTGCTATCCCAGATCTTGGCCAGGGCAGCGCTGGTGGCTGCGTCGACGGGCATTGTTTTTTTTTTTCTTCTTTCCGGCCTAGTCGAATGAAAGAAAAGGAAAATTCTGTGGGTGCGAATCTCGTTCTCCAGTCACGACGAATCGGCCTTTTGCACGAACTGTATACAGAGCGAGAGAAAGGTCAAACGGTGTGTCGCGCAGAACAAGGCGTGCGTCTTCAAAACGAGGGGCAGCTCGTGGTGGCATCAGGCTTGCATAACTCGACCTTGAGCTACGCGAACGTATGTGGTAAAACAGCTGACAGCTGAAACCCTGCCACAACACGCATCGAGCCTGCAGCGTTACGTCAATCTCAGCCAAGCGCTTCGAAGGCTCGTGGCGTGTTACGCTACTGTCAACACGTGGTATCATGCCGCATGCTGTGGTGGCAGACACAGAGAAACACCAGGAGCCGTTGTGCAAGGACCCAATGGCCAAGCCGCTGAACGACAGCCGCCGGAGATGAGGACGACAAAGGGGCGGCTTGTGGAATCGAGGCATTAATTGTTCTGTCTGTTCAAACAGTCTCTTGCTCATGGAGACCTCCTCATCTACCGGTTCGCACTACTCATGACCATCTGAAAAAGGCGGTGTTCTCTTTCTTGACTTATTGATCTGATTAGGACCACGAGATCGCGTCCATCCCACCTTGCGTCCACGGCGCGCTCGGTCCATGCGATACCTCTTCCACAATGAAATCATCTAAAACATAGTATAATCTAACTTCTTCTTCATTCCAACCAACTGCGCCCAGAGGACCGTTGAAGATGTTAGAGTCCGCTATGGACGACAGGGTTTCTGTCTCCCACTTGCTACTGGAGTATCTCACCCGTTGCAGCCCAGTCCTGTCAAAATAGTAGACCTGGGTAACGTCGGGCGTATCGGAGCGAGCGACACCGATCGAACGAGGCAACTCGCTGGGTGTGTTGGCTGGGATATTTTGAACTGTATCTCGTTAATCCGTAAATCTCCACGAGCAAGAACGGTCAACTTACCTGGTGACCACTTCGAATCCGGCCACCTAGATGTTGCGAACTGTAATTGCTTCTCGTCATTGTACCAAAACAACCAAATCTCGTCTCCTACCATGGTCACACCCAAGGGCGACGCCGGATGTGCTTTCGCGCCATTGTCTAGGCTCCCAGCCAGGCTCCAACCACTTTTAGGGTTGAACATTCCTTCTAGAATCGAACCGTTGCCATTAACAACGTAGGTGCATAAATACTTAAGGTCTGGGGTTAAGTGAGCTATTCCTGCACCCGCTGCGGGAGCCGGTATTTCACCAGTAGGGTAACTGCGCTGCTGGGTGCACCCAGTACCATTCGTGTAGCATGACAAATCGAGCGCATAAAGAACATCCTGCCCTTCGGCGGCATATTGCAAGCGAACGTACTGCAATCCTTGTTAGTGTTTGTAAGGTGTCACTTTCAAATTGGCCGTGACTTTACAATGTAAACATCATAAACCCAAGCCGTCGCCGCGAGCGACGTATTTGCAATGGGCGTGTAGCTTAAGTCCAGCTTTGTGTTTGGTGACCAAGTTTGGTTTTCATAACAGAAATTCTTCATGTAGATATCTCCACTAAGATCTTGCCAGAAGACGAATATGTTTATGAGGCTTTGCGTCGCCACTATACTGCGCATTGCTACCGGCGTGGAAGCGGTGGTATTTGTTCCGCTCGTAATGTTCATATTACCAGGGCTGGCAGCACCGGAAGCTGTAGGACTTGCTGATGCGGGACTCGACGACTGTCGGTTTTGGATTCAGCCAAGACAGCAAACATATCTCATAGAGTGATGACAACATACGGAACTGCGTCTTGTCCCGAGAACTCCACCTAAGACTGCTCCTACGATCGCAGCGATAATAACGAAGCAAGTAGCGAACATGGTGAAAAAGACCTTTTTGCTTAAGCCACTCACTCTCTCGCTTACGACAGCGGGCGCTGCGTCTCCTCTGCTCTCCACATAGGATTTGACAGGAACGTCCCCATAGGTCGGCATGTGCTGTTGCACATAGACTTCATCTGAGATAAGCTCTGGGTAGTTTTCGTAGGCCCGTGACGCAGAAGCGCTGTGGCCTTTAGGTGAGGCATTGCTTGAATGATGTGCACTCTGGAGGTACTCTGTGAGCGATGTAGAATGGCGTGGAGATTCCGCTGTCTGGAGTTAAGAGGAGACGTTAGACTGATTTAGCGGACTGGAAATTCTGCAATCTATACCGTATTTCTCAGAGCCTTCATGGCGACTTGGATGAATACCAGGCTGTATGGTCACCAGTCAAAACCCCAGCGTCAAATTCCGTAGTGAATTATCTTGTAGTGAGTTTATTCGTGGAAGCCGACAATCAGTCGCATTCTGCAATGAGCGAGATCTTTAAAACGTCGTACAGAGGGCAAGGCTGGCTGCCTCAACCCGGGTGGCGCTCTACAAGCCATGACAGCCACCGTAGATAACGAACCTTTGCATGGAAACATGCTTTTGCCCCGGGGGCCTATCGCCGGATATGGATGTTTATCACGCAAAGGATGCAGTCTCTAGACCCGAAAAGAGCGCCTACACAGGCCTGAACGCTATCCGACTTTAACCTTTGCATGCGTGAAGTCGATGAAACTTGCTCTCTCCTATCAACGGCTTGATTTGATTGCTCAGACAAAATCAACCAGGCATTTAGCCGAGCACGTCGAATCAATATACCTTTTCGATTACAAAGGTCAAGTAGATCCTGTGAGGCCGTATCGTTATGTCAGCCTTGGCTGCATAGCAAGGACATCGCACAGCCTTGTTGCTCGCGTGGCACCAAACTTGCGCAAGCATCACGGTCAGAGAGATTGCCACGGCCAGACTCATAGCCCCGCCCACCAAGCAAAAGCAGTCGTCATTAAGATTAGCGCTGGATCGACGGAAAGGACGGATATGGAAGGAGATATCCCTCTCTGGAACAATCGCGTTAAGTTGAACATATATACATACAGATACAGGAACAGCCTTAGTGGCGAACATAGTTGGCACCAGAACAAGTGTTTTGATCTAGCCGCTGCCGAAATGCTTCCAGATCTCGCCTCTCATGTCTTCCGCAATCATTTCGTGCACCTTGGTGGTGGGCTGGATATAGTTCATCCAAAAGTAATCGCCGGCGTTGCCGTCAACCATGCAGTCCTGCCAATTCCAATTGCTCTGTCCGTCGCAGAAGTTTGTCACTGGCTGGGTGAAGCCATTCGCATACGCGGCATTTGCGAGGTTCTTGATGTATGAAAAGCTGTCGTAGTAGATAACTTGCTTGCCAAATTGCTGCAAGGCGCTTTTGAGGGCTGCGTTGGCGTCGCTGATGACTTGCCCCCATGTCTCCACGCAGTTTGTGTCCGATCCGCAGAGGTACGCTGCAGTGACGGGAGCAATGTGCTTTGGATAGATGTTCGCTACCATCACGTAGGGAACGCCAGCATCTAGGAGTGTCTGGACGGCAGCGGCGATCTTGGAGCTGAAGTCCTGAGCAAACTGGGCATTTTGAGAATCTTCAAGCCAAAATGCATCCGTGTGCTGGCTCAGGTCATTCTGACCAACCCACAGGAAGGCCAGGGTGTTGCTTGTATAATAGACGGACGTTCGCGAATGAATGTAATTGTGGATTTGATCCACCAAGCTTGCAGCGCCAGCACTTGACTTCGTGTAGGTGTTATCTAGAGTTGCTCCAAACTCTGCGCCGCCGTTCGCACCGCCGAATGCATAATCCCGCAGACCATATTTACCTAGTGACAGCTTATCGTTGAGATACGAGACCGCCACAGGGCCATTGGTCCATGTACCATATCCGTACACGTTGGCCGGACTGCCTGTGATGCCATGAGCGTAGGAACCATTGCCGTTGTCACTAAGCTCATCGCCAAAGGCAACAATTTGATTGAAAGGTAGGCCGCTGCCATAAGTAGGAAGTTGTTGAGGTGCCGGCAGGGGAGCGGCTGCAGCAGCAGCAAGGAAGAAAAGACCAAGAGTAAGAAAGGAGTTCATGGCGAAGTTGTAAAACACACTGGATCAACCGTGCGATGAAGTATAAAGAGCGAAGCAAACGAATGGAGTCGACGACGCAGCGTCAAGATAGCGAGTGAATTTGGGCAAGCCCAAGCAGAATACGAGAAAGTGATGGATGAGAAAAGCGAAAATTAGACGTGAATGCTGAGTGAGGGGAGCACATCTTGTACATAAAGCTCGCGGCTATGAAAAAAAAGATGTCATTTTACTTGCAATCTCACCATAGACGGGACATAGATGAGAAGGGAGCGAGTCGGCGTTCTGGTGGCTGGTCTGTGATCGCTAAGCGGGGGATTTAGTCAAACGCTTGATATTCTTCTTGTCGTTGTGTTTGGGTGCCGAATGGGCTAGCTGCTCATGAGAACATGTCCTTAGCAGGCAATCGATGAGCCAGATGCCCCAATGATCGATCTACGGGTCGATCTTGTGAAGCTGAATTGCATCCTGTAAACAAGCCAAGATTGGGAATCATGGGGGAAAATCTTGAGACCGCCACGCGAGATGGAGATCTTGAGTGGGAGATTTTGAAACAAGCCACATCGACTCGCGATCTTGGCGTAGAAGAAATCGCATCTAGCATTCTTGCGCATCATTGCCGATAGGACATTTCAAGATGCAGGTCAAAATGATGTACTATCCGCGCTCTTCGGGTGCATATCTGCAGCCGTGCTGACCGAAGACAAACCCCTTTGCGCCGTCATCCTTACATAAGCTGGGTCTCTGCGCTTGACATTTGGAAAACGGGCAATGGCTTTGACGGAAGAATTTTCGTTCGAGTCCATTCTACGTTCTCTCAAGCAACGCTGTGTGGAAGACAGGCGGAATGGAGAAGGCAAGCGTCAGAAAAGAAGCACGAGGTTGGCATGTGGTTGCACGTTTGAGCGAGAAATTCTCCAAGTCGGGCGAATGCTTGCCGATCTCGGGTGTCCCACATCCACCATTCTGACGTTGACCCCACCTCATACCACGAGCGCTCCAAATTGTATGCATAGCTGCTTTTCGAACAAAAATGTGTCAATTATCCAAATACACAAGTTCAATACAAGGACGTCATAAGGGCAATATTTTGGAGAATGGCTGACAAACTTTATATGGGATTTGACCTGAGCACACAACAATTAAAAGGTACACCACAAGCCCCGCATGCCTGAGTAGCCACCTGGTGCTCACTCTAGAGCAGGAATTGTGGTGCAGTCCGATCTTAAATTAGTGCACGAAGCAAAAGTCGACTTCGATGCGGACCTGGGAGCCAAGTACGGCATCCAAAAAGGCGTCCTGCAGAACAAGGCCGAAAATGAAATCTTCGCTCCGGTTGCAATGTGGCTCGAGGCTATGGACCTTGTCCTCACACGCCTGAAAGACGATGGCTTGGACTTTTCAAAGGTGAAAGGTGTCAGCGGGGCGGGCATGCAGCACGGGACAGTCTTCTGGAGCGAAGACGCAGACAAGCTTATGAGTGAGCTGGCGCAAGGTGCTGGCAGTAGTCTGCTGGAATATCTAAAGCCGGGAGACGTTGGAGAGGCGACTGGTGCATTTGCGCATCCTCACAGCCCAAACTGGCAAGACGCCAGCACTCAAAGGGAGTGTGACATGTTCGACGCCGCGCTGGGAAGCCCGGAAAATTTGGCTGAGGTGACGGGGAGCAAAGCGCATCACGTATGTTTGCTTGTTCAATGTTTTGACCGCCCTCGCTGATCACATGTACAGAGATTTAGCGGTCCTCAAATCCTACGCTATCGAACGAAGTACCCCGAGCACTACGAGAAAACAAGCCGTATATCACTTGTCTCTTCATTCCTTTCCTCCGTATTGTTAGGAAAGGTGGCCCCAATGGACATAGGGGACGTGTGTGGTGCTAATCTCTGGGATATGAAGGCGGGGAAATGGAACGAAGAACTGCTGGCGCTAACAGCCGGCGGGACAGAGGGCGTGCCTAAGCTCAAGGCAAAGTTGGGAGATGTGAGCGAGGATGGCGGCATTTCGTTTGGTTCTATATCGAAATACTTTGTTGCGAAGTACGGTTTTGCACAAGACTGTCAAGTCATCGCGGCAACTGGAGACAATCCAAGTACGATCCTCAGCTTGCCGCTTCGAGAGAGTGATGCCATGGTCAGCCTGGGCACCTCGACAACATTCCTCATGTCCACACCCAAATTCTTGCCCGACCCTGCATATCACTTTATGAACCACCCAGCGACGGCCGGGTTATACATGTTTATGCTTTGCTATAAGAATGGAGGTCTCGCGCGCGAAAATGTGCGCGATGCTGTCAACGGCGACTCTAGCTCCAATTCGTGGGATAGATTCAACGAGATTATCACAAATTCGCCGCCGCTGAATCAAAAGAATGCATCAGAGCCGATGAAGCTGGGACTCTTTTTCCCACGACCGGAAATTGTGCCCAACGTTCCCGCGGGAACTTGGCGTTTCTTGTACGAACACTCTTCGGGCAGGCTGGAGCCGACCAAGCTGCTATCGAAAGACTGGCCAAGTCCTGACGTCGATGCACGGGCTATTGTGGAGTCTCAATTCCTGTCTTTGCGTTTGCGAAGCCAGAATCTTGTATCACTGCAGAAGGACGTGAACGGTGCAGAACTACCTCCACAACCTCGTCGTATATATCTCGTCGGCGGAGGGTCGCAGAATGCCGCTATCGCTGAAGTTTGCGCAGACGTGTTAGGCAGTGCAGATGGGGTCTACAGGCTCGACATAGGCGGCAACGCGTGTGCCCTGGGAGCAGCATACAAGGCGGTCTGGGGTTGCGAACGTACGAAGGGACAGACCTTCGAGGAACTAATTGGTAGTCGCTGGGACGAAAGCAAGTTTGTCAAGAAGATCTGCGACGGCTATCGCAAAGGAATATTCGAGAAGTATGGCGAGGCGCTCAAAGGCTTCGAAGCAATGGAGAAGACCGTTCTCAAGGAGACCGGCCTGCGTGCTGAAGATGAGGCAATCAACTCAAGACCGGAGCAAAGCGGCCACTGAATTAAACCATATTAGCCATGGACGTCAGATTATACGTCTCTGAGACGCTTCGTTTTCGATACGTAGCTAGACAGATCATGATGTGACAATCACATCTTCAAATGCGCGTGAATATTGAAGGAAGCAACCTTATATTTACATCGTTATGTTGTTGGAGACTTGACTAGACAGTGAATAGATTTATTCCAGCTACAAATTTCGAAAGAAATCTAGCTGAAAGTTGATTTAGACTCATCTTCATCTCGACTGTTCAAATCATTTCTTCCTCTTACGGCTGTCTGCTCTTGTCAGATATCCATGGATATCTTCTCGGGGCCGAATCTGATATCAACGAATCCGACGCTTCACCGGTCTGTTTGATGTGGCTTTCACAGTGATTACGTTAATTATGTACATATCTGGCACACTTGAATCTTTGACTCACAGCGTGGAGGAACCCAGCAGTTCAAGTCCAGTGCTTTTCCGCCAGTTGTCGTGGATTTCCACACATAGCTCATGGACGGCCCCTCAGAGCTGCTAAATCAATGTTCTTCAGGTCGTTTGAGCTAATCAGGCTGATCCCTCTGCGATTGCCAATCTTCTGCTTCGCCTGCTCGTAATGCATCTTCAGCATCCCTTCCTTTTCCCTCCATTCTTTCTCCTCACGTTGACGACGTGCTCTGGCCTCTTGGCGATGCTGCTTTTGTTGAGCTTTGCGGAGACGAATCTCGGTCGAAACTTTGAAGCGCTCTTTAAAAGCCTCGAGTAGAGATGTGTCAGAGCAGGTCTCGAAGGCATCGCGGAAGGATTCATAAGTTTTGACATCTTTCTCGTCCGTCTTCCGTTCAACATACGCGACGGTATTCCAGACGACGTGCTTGCGCAACTTGATGTCATCTTCGGGCGTAGCTTTCCAAATCGCAATGATCTCTTCGGGATACATATCGTGAGACTCGTCCATAAAGTACGCCCACATCTTGTTGAGCAGTCGACCGGAGCTGAACGGCACTTTGAGGTCGAGCCACTTTGCAAGCTTATACAACGCCGATATCTCAATGATGTCGTACTGGATGCCTCTCGAATCCGCCGTCGGGAGATGCTTGACGCCCAGGTACGTGTTTGGAAAGGGGGCACTGATGGTGCTCAACCACTTTGCAAACTCCGTGATTGCATAGCTGGATGCGTGTTCTTCCAGAATGACGAAGTTGAAGACATTCCTAATTCTGAAGCTCGGTACGCTGCGGACCAAGGCATCGAAGCGTGCGGATGCAGAGCATAGCTTTATTGCCATCACGGTGGCCACAAGGTACTGCCTGGTGACTGGGAGTCCGCTTTGATCCGCACATTTGGCTTGCCGAAGGATCTGGACTCTGGCCGAGTGGCTCACCGGTGCGGTCTCCGGTATTGGCGCGGTTATGGCGACCGAAGCTTCGCGATCTCGACCGGCGCTTGTTTTGTTGTCACCTTCCACGGTGCGGTCGTGGTCAAAAGACTGTATGAGTTTAGCCGCGGCCTGAACAAAGTAGAAACACACTCTCTCACGTTACGAGATGCTGCTTGGAGGGAGTTCTCTGTAGGATCATCCACCGGTTTTCTTTTCGCAGTAGTCGTTGGCGTCGTAGCAATTCCGTTCGGACCAAGACCACGGCGCCGTCGTCGAGATTTCGAACCCATATCGGACTGAGCACTTAGTCTTGGACAATAGAACAGATCCAAATTCAATACTTCATCTAGGATATTTTGCCACTTTTGAATTTGGGTTTCACTACACCTATGATAGCTTGGTATTTTTTTTCTCCTATATTTCGATGAAGTTTATGATTGACGTCGAAAGAAAATGCTGATCAATAAGCTGACGCAAGCTTCTTATATATATATTTTTTCCAGATATCCTTTAGGCACTCACTACCCAGTGAATAAGTGCGCTGCGAAGTGATTTGCTCATGTCGTCTCTGTCTCGGGAGGATTCACAATTCGACCCAGCAATTCGTTTAACGATGTTACGTCCATGAATGGCAAGAAGTACAATATCTAAGCTGAGTCAAGTCACACAAACGGACGGAATCTGAGTCAAACGTGGCTCTAGTTCTCATTCCGGCAAACGGCCAAATGGCATGTCACTTATGCCTAGGATCTGCTGGGTGCGCGAGCGCCAGTCGACAGTTCAGAAATTCTGGGCCATGGCAGACTCGCTCAGGATTACGCACGCAGAAACCAAGAGGTTGGACATTGGGCATCGCGGTAGGCTCATTTGGTCTGCGTCATCGCCTCACTTGTTCGATGTGTTATTGTCCCTGGATTTGTTTACCCACTGAAATCAACGCAACTTGAATCCAATTTTGCGCCTTCATTAAAACTCACAACTGTAGCTTCTAAGCCACATGCTTCATTTCTCATACAGTCGACCGAGATTTGGTCAGTCTGTGTTCAAAGCAATACCGAATCCGAACTTGATATGGGCAAGTTCCCCTTACACGACACGAGCACTTTGGTTTACGCCAAATCGTGTTGGACATTGATGACCTGCTTAGTTTCAGTGAATTCAGTGAATTCGGATTTTATTCACCAGTTGAACCGCATCGAAATCATCCTATACGACCACGTAATTCAGACGGTCTTCTCAACGTAAATTGGATTGCATTCTCTTTAGAACTAGACTTCTCAGAAATCGATATCGACATTGCCAATTTGCTGCCAAAAGAGAGTGCACTAACTCCGTCCTCGCTTTCGAGGTTCTAGCTCGTTATTGACACACTGCTCTTGCGCTAACAAGCTTATGATTTGCCGCATGATCCTATGGTCGTCCTTCAGGAGCTGCTGAATTAGAGGTGTTCGTCCAGAACGTTGGGTTAACTTACACAAGCAGGTTTTAAAAGCCAAAGATGCCTGACTTGTCAAGTTATTACCAATTGAAGCACATCTGTAACGGGATCAGTTGGGAACGACTACAAACATATGATAACAGGCATAATCGAGCGTAGAAGCTGGAATTATAATATTGATACATCTTCGTTACTACATTATTCATGAATTCGTCATGCCAAAGTGGCTAGCGTTCGGCGGAAGATATCCCTCCGTCCCTTTGGACGAGAACGCGGTCTGTTCCCAGCTGCCAGTGCCGTTTTCGGCAACAGAGTACGCATTTGGACCAATCAAATTGCCGAAGAATGCGGTGTCGACTCCTTGAAATGCCCAATCGTCAACGGAAGCCGTCAGATCTGGATAGGGTATCGTTGCCGGCTGCAGGGAATCAATGGCGTTGATGTCTACGTCAGGATGCAAGGAAAAATCAATATTTCCTGTGCTGACGAGATATGGAGCAACGAAGGCCTTTTGGCCTGTATTCTTCACGCAGCCGGTGCGGGAGTCTGCGACATTCTCGCTGCATTGAGACGGACTGTTAGCGAGATCCTTCCGCGTCGTGACATCTGTCGAAGGGCTTTGGCGAGATATTTTGATGGTGCCGTAGTATGGGATGAAAATGTGTAGAACGTGACATTCATCTTTGTTACATCGGTCTTCTGCGCCTCCATCCACAGCGTTGTGCAATTTCTCGGTCAGATAACAATGTCCCTGGAATGCATCGGCCTCAATATGCATCAATCGGCGGATTAGACAAGAACTTTGGTACGTCATGGCATCCTCGTTAAGATTCGCGACCCTGTCCATCGTTTCGGCCAGCTGTTCAACGAGGGCTCGATCACCTGGTCGCTGATGCTGCAAAAATCCATATGGCGCTCGGTTCTGGTGCATGTTTAGATGCCCAATCATGAGACTCAAGGCCGCAATCAACGCGACGAAATCCATAGGCCTACAACACGACAAGACCGGCTTCGCATTACGAAAGCTGTTGTAACGTCTGATGATTTCTCTGCTAGCCATCAAGCAGGCTATTTTGGAGTACTCGTATCTGCGATTGGGGTCCTCGCGCAGCAGATACGGCAAGTGGAGGCAGTTTACCAAGCTATAATGCTTGACCTGATTCGTGGCTCGAATACTTCGCCAGAAGGCACTGTTGTTCGTATCGGGCTCATCGAATTTGGGAAGTGACCAGAACTCGTCTGGTACGCTCCTGGCGGCATCGAGAAGCATGGTGTCAATCTCCTGCGTGACATTATAATCTTCCATTCCATTGCGACGCTGAAGAAGTCGATGGGCCACCTGAGAGTGCTTAAGCTCGAGGGTCAACCTACGGGTGATTAGCAAGTGTTCCTTTTTTTTCATTTGTTTCATTTTTTCCAAGTATTTCGCAGGCTAAAATCTGGAGAGCGGATACCCATTCTCCATTATGTCCTTGACAGTATGTGAATTGGAAAAGGAAGAAAGCATGTTCAAGGACTCGTTGACGAAGGGAAACACGTGACTCTACGCAGATGATCAGTTTCAGCTGCCATTGGGGTTCTTTGAACGACTCACAACCAAGAGGTACCCGATTGTTTCTTTGGTAGTTGGCGTTCAAACTCAGGAATCGGGGTAGCACCGCTAGAAGGCAAACCAAGAATGAGGCTCAAAAAGCGGTCCGTGTATATGAGATTGTGCCAAATGTAGTGGGGCTGCAGAGACCGACTGGTGTCAATGACCAGCAGATGAGGTGTGCGCCAGCGATCGATTCCCATCATCTGGGCGACCATGATGGACCTCCGCGTCGCCAGCCAAGCCCTGCGTAGATTGCCGTGGTTTGAATGATACATTGCCTCGAGCATGATGCATTCCAGAGCGTCCATAGTCCCATGCAACTCTTCGTTCGTCGTCACGAGCTTGATCGCTTCGTCTGCAAGTCTTCGGTTGATGATACGAGGATCCTCGGAGAATTTTGACGATTCTGGCGGAGGGAAGTATTGGAGCATCAGCGCCATTTCTAGCATCTGTCTTGCCAGTACCGCTGGATGCATGGAAGGATGTGGCATCCTTGAGATGTACTCGATTATGTCGCGTCCGCCCTTGGACAGATCGACGTCTGGCTGGGTGAACGTCCGATGATTATATATAGTGCTGTCGTATTTGATCTGGCACAGGGTCTCGATATCCTTTCGCGACGGAAAGGCGGCACACAAAGACTGCGAAATTTCTTGAAACCTGCGAGCGTCTCCTCGTTCATCACGTGTAATCGCAGGAAGGGAGTTGATCTTGCGGTACGCCTCTTGGTCAAACAACGGCAACGTCTGCGGCGACACACGGCGTCAGGAATTGGCGACAAAACAACGTGCAGATTCAGGCCAAAGGGTGATTCAAAGAGATCCAACAGCGATCTGACTTGAACGAGAGAGCGACGGTCGCCAAGATGGCACAGCCGTGCTCGATTCTGACGGGCGAATTGCTGGAAAGGAGACCGTACTTACGGACGACGCTTGAATGCATCGGTCAGGAAGAGCTTCTGACCGCACCGTAGGACTCGGAGTGGGAACACCGGGTTCGCTGATGTCTCCAGACGACGAGCTGGGGCCGACCTTCTTCACCAGCTGACTCAACAGCGATTCGACTCGAGACAATCGATCGGCCAGTTGATTCTGGCTCTCGTTGTTGGCCTCCTCGTACGCGATCTGCTCGGGAAACTCCTGCGAAACACACGTGGCATTTCGTCGCCGGCATGCGACGCACACCTCGTCCGATGGAAGCGAGAACTCGCACTTGACCTTTCGATGCTTACAGTTCCAGCAACTGCGCGTGCCTTTTCTCAGCTTCCGTCTCTTGTTTGACTCGACCTCCACGTGACCGGGCTCCGGATTCATGTTCGCGACGATCTAAGGATCACGGCCAACAGGCAGGATCTCTTTGTCCAGAAGTCACGCCGGCCGCGCTTGTCGACCACGATGATCGAGCAGGACAAGCGGCTTCGACGGCTGGGAAGCATAAGACGGCGAAGCAGCTCCGCCGAGGCTTCGGTCGAACCGATTCCTGCTAAGTCAGCAACGCCAGAGGTTGGTCGCACACGCCAAGCTGACGGAGGATTGAGAGTCCGCCCTGACAGAACCGATCACAGCCTGGCCACGCATGTCGTCAGCGGACCGGTGTCGCGAACGCGAGCGGACGAGCATCACAAACTCAGACATCGTTTCTCTCTTCTCGAACCACACACGCACACACGCACAACTGCGCGGCACGGGCGAGGGCTGGCCAGCGCCCTGGCGGCAGCCCAAGCCTGCCCTGTCCTAGGGCTGCTTTAGCGGGTTCGCTCCGCCGCCCGTCGTCCTGTTGCAAATTTTTTCTTTGCTTCGCTCGGAGTCACTCCGCATCGGGGACGGCGCTTCTGGCCCAAGTTAAACGATATCAGCTTATCTCCACCTGTCTCTGGCCGTTGGCTTGCTCCCCTATCTGATTGCTACGCCTGCTCCTGGTCCACTGCGAGAAGCATTCGCGGTCGCTGGAAGTGCTGCTCCGTCCAGGCCGACCCCGCGACCAGAGGCACCACCACAGTCCCCTTCCTGACCTCTCGCAGGAACACACAGTGCGATTTCTGGACGTCTCGACACCGATGGCAAGGAGGCGTCGCTCGAAATTTCCTGGTCCTGCGATTGGAGCACGTTCGCAGAGCAATCGATTTCTGTGGCTGCTGGCCTTGACCCGTTTCGGAAGAATGCGCGGATGTCGGTCGCGCACGTTGACCTCATTCTGTAGCGGTAGGATTGCATTTGCTCGCGCTGTCTTTTTTTCCATGTAACGCCATTTCCGTACGTTCGTATGACTCTTGTCTGCTTTGTTTCTCGTTACTCTCGCCATGTGTTTGATAGCATGTCATGCTCGCTTTCGCATAGTAGAGCCGCAGGCCTGACAGCCACCATGTTTGCCGCCTGGAGCATCCTGTAAAATCGAAGAAGCGGAAAGTCTCGTAGTCCGCAAGCTTGCAGGCCTGAACCGGTGTCCAACTTTTCTCGCTCATCGCCGCTGCGCGGCGGCATCTTGTGCCCTTTTGCTCTCGGCGACCTCTTGAGAGTCTGGCGGGCATGGAACATACGAACTCATGCGCGTTGCGCTCACGGCAATTCGACCAGCCAACTTCAGGTCCAACTCCAGCCCGGTGCAACGCCTCATTCTTGGATGTCTCGCAGCATCTGACTGAGACAGAGACTCCTCCTGAGACGCCCACACGCTCCGACTCTGTTACATCGACACATATCAAGCGGACGACGAACAGGCTGCCTGCTTCCGAGCAGAGGCAAAAGGAGTCCAACGCGGCAACGGAAGGGATTCTTCATTTTTCCGCACGCTCGGGAGACTATGAAGTCCTCAAGGGAAGCAAACTGGGTTCTGGCCGCTTCAGTAGTGTGTATTTAGCGCGTATCATCCCGCCAACCACGCAAGATCAAGTCCAAGGTCCTTTGACTCCTCCTGCCACGCCTACAGGACCGCAATCAAGAGGTGTGTGGTCCGGGCCACAGCCATCCGTCTATGCCATCAAAGTCGCTGTCGACAAGAGTACTGCCAAAACTTTGCGGGGAGAAGCACGCATCTTATCTCTGCTTTCCCAGAGCCCCAAGTCCAGCCAGAATATCGTGTGTTTTCACGGGTTCGATCCGCGCTGCAACTCCTTAGTTCTCGCGGCGATGCCGGGCTCATTGGAGGACCTGGTGAACGGACAACTCCAGTTTCTTGATCTGGCCACGCGAACGGCGAAGCTGGGAGCTATTTTCCTCCACATTGCTCGCTCCCTCACATCCGGCCTCGCTTGGATGCACTCCTTAGGAGTCGTACATGCGGACATCAAGCCTCCAAACATGTTGCTGCGCCCCGATATGCCGGTTCAAATCCCGCTCTCCGGTGGCCAGCAACTGCTTGATCTGTCCTTCACTCCCGTCTTTGCAGACTTTACGTCCTCGTTCACCACGACGGACGATTCGAAAACGATTTCATCCGTGGGCGGAGGAACGTACGATTACATGGCCCCTGAACAGCTCGCTCCTCCTTTCCCGGTCCCCAATTTCAAGATGGACGTGTATGCACTTGCAGTGAGCTTGTTGCAGGTGACCACCGGCTTCAGCCCGTTCAGGGAGGCAGGCTCAAATCGTCACATGAAGATGGCAATGATAAAAGAAGGCAAGGCACTTTCTTGGGCAATGAGAGATGCAATTAGCGCCGCGAGGCTAAAGGGCGTCGCTGATGTCATGTTGGCAAGGCACGCGATAGACCTGAGAGCTTTGCTCGAGCTAGGTCTTAGGAAAAATCCGAACGAACGACTCGATGCGGCCTCGTGGAATCGACTGTGGTAAGACCCTGTATTTAATATCAGCTTAAAAAGCATGAGGCGTAAATATTGAGCTTTGGTTGGCGTTTTGTTGCTAAATTTCCAGAGGAGGGCTTATATTTGGACCTCAAAATGTTCATGTATTTTACGCCTCGTGATCTCGACCATAGGTCTTGCGAAGACATGGGACGACGAGACCTCGCGACTTAAACAATGTAAGAATACTGTAGACCTTTTTTTTTTTTTTTTCTAAACGACCAAGTTCCCTGCATTTATTGCGACCTTGTTTCGAATCTGTGAGAAAACGGTGCTTGTCGACCGTGCTCTGCTACGAGAAGTGTGAAGTTCATTGCTGACTCTATTATACTTTGGATCTATTCCTCCATCCCCACGTAAAGGTACTCTTCATATTCCCTTCATGTAATCTTTGTTTTGTTTAATTAACGACTGTCGAGTTGATTAGAGCGACGTTCACACGATGTCCACGTTATCTGGACCTCAGCACCATCTACAGCAACCCAGCGGCATCGGACGTCCTCAACTGCTGTCGTGTCTCGCTCAACTGCACGCAAACTGCATCTTCGTACCACAAATGTGACGGCGACAAGAAGTGCACGACGCAAGGTCCAACTTCAGCTGCTATTGAGCTCTCCGATTCGCCCAAAAATGTGGAATCAGGGTAGTAATGGATCAGCACCGATAAGGCGACCCTGCCATGACGACCCAATGACAACGTTTGGGCATCTGACCAGCTTGCTGCGTGACAGAAGTGACGGTGTAGCAACCATGCCACGGCAGTGATGATATATGGCCGTAATGCGGTGTCTGTTGCGTAAACGACGATTCTCCGCCTCCGTATTGTTTCATGAACGCTGTGAACGACATCGTGACTGCAGAACACCATGCCGCACGCCACAGATCTCGAGGAATCAAGTAGCGGACACGTTCCGCCGACCCTGAACGAGGCAGAGAGAACCACGGATCTGTCTCCCGCAGATGCCGGCCCAGTGTCACCTAGAGACGTCAAGGCGCAGCTTCACTATTTGTCACCGTCCGTAGAATACTCGAAGAGTAAGCCGCCAATCCAGATTGTGACGCGGTCTTCCACGACGCGCGACCCGCGCACGACGGTGCGAATCGCACAGGGACCAGTAGAGACCATCCATGACGTTCGTGGCCGTGAACATGAGTTTACTCTGGATCAGAACGGGTTCAGATTCGTAAGGAACCGTTGCCGGTTTCAGGATTGGGAGAGCCGGGATGGCATTTGGAACCAGTACGTTGAGGAGCTAAAGGATGTTGTCGCCGAGGAGTTTGGTGGCAGAGAAGGCGGCGTCGACGAGATCATCGCGTTTCACGAAGGCGTAAGTATCCGAAGCTGTCGATTACACGCCCCTTGGATTGAGACGGGGTTTTGACTGTCGGTCAAAAATCGTTGACCAACTTGATATAGAAACGCGGCTCGAACAAGGAATGGAAGCAGGCTAAAGACGGGCAACGCACGAATCCGTTTGCTCGCCAGGTACACGTTGATCAGTCGGAACCGACGATTCGCCGTATCGTCAAAGAAAAGACCGACATCAAGGGAGACTGGCTGTGGAAAGGACGCGTGCGCCAGGTGAATGCGTGGAGACCGCTGTATCATCCCGTTTATGACTGTGGCTTATGTGTCGCCGACGCTACCACCGTGCGCGACGAAGACCTTATCGAGGCCCATAGACTGCGCGAGAGCGACGGCACTTTCCTCGACACCATGGGCGTGGTCAAGTATCGCGAGGGAAGGGATTGGTACTACAAGAGCCGCATGGATCCCGACGACGTGGTCCTGTTCATGGGCTACGACAGCGACTGCAAGCGTGGCTACAGAGAGGGAACTGGATTCACCTTGCACTCCGCCTTTGACATTCCGGACCCTCCACCTGGGTCTCCGCCGAGGGCGAGCATTGAGGTCCGTCTTTTGATCTTCACCTGGCCCAGAGAACCGCTGGTGATACCACGGCCCTTGGCTGGGATGCTCACCACGCAAGTTCCACCCCGAAGCGAAGAGGTCTACCAGACCCATCACACGGCCAATCTTGAAGTCGAGGAGGCTCCCCACCACGTCGTCACCTTTCCGGACGACGACGGCACCGACGTGCAGATCGACCTCAACGAGTACGATCCGATCGAGTCCGACCTTCTCACTCGCCGCGACTCTCGCAGCTCGGCGTCGTACTCGCCGCGGCGGCGGTCAAGCTCCTTCACGCGCTCTTCATCCATTTCGCTCGAGGAAGACGTCACAGAGTCACAGGTGCTTGCCATGGCCGACCAACGCGTTGTAGATCTCAAGCGCCAGATCGAGGAGATGAAGCAGCTGCTGCAAGGCGCCATCAAGACCAAGGCCATGATGCAGAACCCGGAAAACAGAAAGAGGATGGCCCTCCTGATCAACGCGCGGCGATCGGACGAAATAGGAAGGCAACGGCTTGAACTAGCACGGAGACTTCGATGCAGTTTGAGTGAAGATGTTTTCTTTGATCTGTGATGCACTAGGCTGGACAACGAGCGTGTGAGACGCAGGACCTCAGGTTGAAGGTTTCTTCAACGTGTAAACTCTTGTCAGCAATTCACTGCCTCTCCGTGTATATAAAAAAAGATTATTCATTACTCTACGCCTGTTTCCGTCAAAATTTTGTCTATGTCGAAATCTAGTTCTCTATTCCGCACGGTCTAAGCAGCAATGACGACGTCTTTGCCCTCGCGATTGGCAGGAAGTGGTCTAAAGTCCAGCATCAAGCTCACGAGCACAGAAAGACTCATAAACGCAATGACCAGAATGAAGGCAACTTTGATGCCCTGCATGTAGGCCTCCACGATCCCAGGAACGGCTTCGGGAGGGAACGAGCTGCGAATTTGCGTCGCACCGGTGACAATGACCTGCATGGGATTGATGCCTGGTGCTGTGCGCCGAAGGGTTTTGGACATCTTATTGACGAACGCGGATTGCGCAGCTGCTACTCCCAATGCACCGCCTAGAAGTTGAAGGACTAGATTTATCAGCAAGGTCGTGTATTGAAGCAGAATGCTGTACTCACAGAGGTTGATGGCTGTCGATGTTGAAATGTCTTCTGGCTTCGAATACGCCTGAACGATGACCATAGAGCACATCCAAGCAATGCCCCATCCGGTGCCACCGATGATCTGATATCCGATCCATTTCCCGGTTGACGTGTGTACGTCCATGCTATATAGCAGACCGGCGCAGATTGTAGCCAGGACCGATCCGAAGACGGCGACGATGGCGACACGGCCTGTTTTTGTGATGAAAATACCGCCAACCATCGAAGCGATCACGACTGGGATAATCATGGGCAGGTTCCGTACCCCTGAGCCAATTGGGCTGGTCCCATCGACGCTTTGGAAATAGATTGGAAGATCTAGGTAGATTGTAAGCCGCGAATTGCTTTTTTCCCAGGACGAGAAGCGATAGTCACTTACAATATAGCACAATGAAATAAGACCCGCCTAGAAGGAATTGGAACAAGCCGCCTACCCAGACGGAGCGCTGCTTCAACAGTCGCCAGGGAATCATAGCACGATCGCCCATGTACAATTCCCAGGCGACGAATGCAATCCACATGAGCGGTGATCCGACTAAAAGTCCGATTACGACGCTGCTGCTCCAGGACTTGGTTTGACCGCCGTACTGCATTCCCAGTATGAAGGAAATGAGAGCGCCCATAACAAGAGCGGCTCCAACTGCCCTTTGTTAGTGAATGAACATAGCCTTGGATCTATTGAAGCTATTTACCAAGGTCCATTTGAATAACCTTCTCTTTGAGAGTAGCCTCAGCGGGCTTCGCTGCGCTTGGCGTACGGAAGAAGATGAGAATCAGACCCCCAACGAGGCCACCAATGGGCAAGTCTGTTGACGTCAACAAAAGGCCTTGGTACTAGAAAGGATTGGGTCTTACTGATGTAAAAGCACCACCGCCATGTGACTTTGTCTGAGAAGGCTCCTCCAAGCAGAGGCCCGGCGATAGCAGAAACGCCATACATGGCAGCCATCATACCATTGTAGGTAGCACGAGATTTTGGCTCAACCGCAAAAGCTACAATGACATAAGCACCTGTAGCGATACCTGCGGCTCCCAGCCCCGCGATAGCTCTTCCTGCGATCAACGTATCTGCATTTGGAGCCACGCCGCAGATTAAAGAGCCAACTTCGAACAGGATAATCGAAGTCAAGAACGTGATCTTGAGCGGAAAGTATTTGAAGATCTTGCCCCAGGTGCTTTGAAACCCGCCAAAGGTCATGAAGTAAGCAGAAGCATACCTAGACAACGAGCCAGTCAGTCGCTAGCGTAGCATCACCAGGTCAAAGACACGTACCAGCCAACCTGATCTAATCCTTTGAACTCGTCGGTAATTTTGGGTATGGCCGTTGCGACGATGGTCTGATCGAGCGCAACCAGAAACACATTAAGTAACAGTGCAGCTATCACGGTGAAGAACTGAAACCCCGTTGGATACTCGATTGCTGGCTCGGGAGCAACATCCTTTTCATCGGCAGACTCGACGTCAGGCGTTTCTGGCTCTGATTTTTCCGCGAGGTCCTCAGAGGAACTGCGGCTCTTTTGGTCAGGCAGCTTCTCAGCCTCGTGCTCGGAAGACATGTTGCAAGAAAATCGGTTGAAGTAACAAGAACCAGCGGAATGGAATAAGGGATTACAAAGACTTGAGCGGGACGATTGAACCGGAAGCAAGAACAAAAGAGCGACGAGGAATGTCTAAATAAGTTGTATGAAGACGAGTGGGAAATCAGTCGCCATGTTTTCAGGAAGCATCCAATGTTCGAAACAGCCTGCAAAATTAGGCTATGGGAAAACTATGGTCCGATTCGGCGCAGTGCTGAGGCTCGTATTTGCGATGGAGATGATGACCTTGTCGGAGTTTGGCTGGTAAAAGCCGCTGCTTCCGCCGAGTCTCGGGCTGATGTGAGGTCAGCAACTACCCACTTGATCTCACATTATTGGGTGCGAACTGGATCAGTTCAAAGATGTTATTTTGATGGGGGTTGAAAACTGGACACGGGGGTTGAGGTGGTCGGCTCCAAATACTCGATGCGTGCACGCTGCTGCAGACTTTCCTCGTCTTCCTTCTACTCAATGAACGACACACGTACGCCATCGTGTAAATCGTTCCAAAAGCATGAGAATAGAAGTCTTATATTTTCTTTTGTCGTATAGTACACTGTCTTCAAAACATCAACCTTCCGTGCTGCGATAAGGGCTGATGTTGCTCCGACAGTAATGAATCCGAAATCTCGGTGTTGATGCTGATAAGCAAAACTACGCGTTTCCACCGAAACTGCACACGTGAGGATGTACATCAAGGGATTGCAGCAAAATAAGCACTGTCTGGACACGAAGAGAATATCCTGCCCAAACTTAGTTCCAAGGGATTACGATGACTAATGTGGATCAGCCTTTCTCCGCCGAGTGATGTGTGCTTGGCTAGCCTTCGGTTTCGGTCTTCGCATCACGTTGCCAGGCCTGGAAAAACTATGACTCGTTTTACTCTCAGCTGGTTGAACTAGAATACGGAAGCAGCGCATTATAGCAAGTAGCGTTGTGTGGATGTCTAAGAACGTATATTGCTTGCTCGTAAACATCGAGCGGTTGAAATTCAAACGGCCGATCGCATCATGGCTTCACTGATGTTCATGTTGATGAATAGCTTATTGCTTCAAGGCCCACCATTCAGAAGCTTATCTTGTGCTGGGCACCAACTGAGAAGTACATCTAATTTATTAATTTTTTTTTCACGAACACAAATTCTCCCCGATGATGGCAAACAGTTGCCTTTCAATTGATCTCAAGCTCTTCTCTGCTCCCGATCCTGGAGGAAATTCCTCATTTGAGGTGAGGAAAGAGACAAGCAATAAGAAGCAATAAAAAAAACTATGGGATTTTTTTTAACCAAATAAAACTGGACGTGGGCAGAACCGATTGCTTCCTTCACTAATGCTGCGAACATCGTTGTGAGCTGTTTGGTTGTGACTCGTCCGTTGACAACTGAATGCCAAAAGATTGATTTGCGGAAGATTCTCTGCTTCAGTATTTTAGACCGAATCATTGGACGAAATCCGTGTCGATGGTGCCTTAGATTTAACATTGATAGTTTCGTAGCATCTACTACTATGGCCTTGACACATGCAGCCACACGATTTAATTGACGCAGAAGGGAGATGCCAGTCACAACCGAACTGCTTGTCACTACTCCGCAGAGGCCTGAGACTTCTCCGGTAAGACTTGATGATAAGGTGCTAAGGCCACATGAAATGCATCACCGCAACATGATCTTAGCGGTACGAACGGACGTGAAGAACACCATTATGGGCCCCAACAATTGACGCTTGACAAGTGCGTGGGAGGATGACCAAGCCATGTTCAGGAGTTGATTGAAAGTAACGGGCGACAACTTCCAGGAGTGGCATACGCGTGTGAACTAAAACTCCGTATCCGTGCTGTTTGATGAAACTTCTCGTCAGTTAATCTAGCGTGAGAAGCTGTGTGAAACGCGGACAGAAATGAGAATTTCTGGCGACACAACGACAATGCCACGCCGTGCGATACTCAAATTCTCAGAACAAACCCGGCTGGGGAAGTTGAGGTCGAGACCATTAAGTAAGATTCTTGTACGACGGCCATCGCGTTACGTACGCCGTTACCGCGTTGCTTCACTTGCGATGTGCACTCCTTGGATTCCATTGCCGGGCAGTAGATGATGGGAGTATTCTTCGTAAGTCGGCGCGGTGTATCGAAACGAATGTGAATTGCAAATGAGCTGTTCCAGCTGGGCGAGCAAAGAGTCAGTCGTAATACACGAATGCGACGCACTCTGCACTCGTCAGGTAGCCACACGGTCTCGGCATCAATTCTTTGCAAAAATGTGATCAGAGATGACGCTTAAATGACGCGTAGGCCGAGGCGAGCGGAACATGTGTATGACACTCATAGGCTATCGCGTACACGAATTTGGGTTTTCTGGATGTGAACGGAGTCGCAGCAAGCAAAGTTTCGGAGTAGAGAGTGGAGAGCCTGTTGTTTCGCAGATCTCTGGATGCCGAATGTATAATGGTTGGCTTCATTGGTTGGGTTCCGTCAAACCTTCTGCAGGTCATTGCCATCGCGGCACCATTCGCTGGCAAATCAGCCGCTTATCGCGACGACCAATGCTGTACAGCATCACTGATTCGAAAGAACAAACGTGAAGCACTGCATTGCGCTTTATAGCACCTGCGTTCGTCTTTTTCATTCAACTTTGAAGCTCAATAGTGGAATGTCCCTGTAAGTGATGAGCGGTGAGTGCTGATCACCAAACGCCCCGGTCCTCAACCCCGCGGAACATCCCATACGAGCCAGCAGCCTACCGCCACCATCATCTCGTCATGATTGACGCGGACTTCGGCTCATCATCGTGGGGGATGTGCGGAGATCTTCAACTTGGGAAAGAAAAGCATACCTTGTCCTTGTAGCTGGGGAGGTCCGTCTCGGAAATTCACAATACTCGCCAGGATGTCAAATGCTTGGGAAGGAGTACGATTTCTTATTCATAGTCGCACCGTGAGCCAGAGCGAATCCATGTCGGAAACCCAAAGCATGTAGCGAGTCAAACAGCAGGCTGGCAGCGGCACCAAGTACGGCCTTGCGGTGTGGTCGATGTCGTGCTTTACAATCGCGAATATATCGATTTTGGGAGAAACGACATTGAACAAACGTATGTATAAAAGACCGCTCTTGGTGCCGTTATCTAGCGATGAGCGAGCCTTGATACACGGCTCTACGCTATCGAAGGCACTGGTTATTTTGATTGGCATCAGGCTCGAAGCGTGAGATGATTCGTCTCCAGACAGGGGAGCTTACCGTATGCAGCTCGTCTCCACACTCTCTGCATCCAGATCAGCCCGCTGGCGCCAGGCGGAGCGCCGATTCTTGCTCAAAAGAGTCTCAAGCGGCTTGTCCAGTAGTGCCAAACCAGATAAGTTTGGCAGGTCAGGACCAGAATGGGGCCTGTGTGCTGCTCGAAAAAGTCCCGACGTGAACGCCAGCTCCCCAGCATCCAGCCTCATAACCGGAGCTTTGTGGTAGAGGGCGGCTGGTGTTGTGATTTGACGGGCCTGCTGGTGGGATGCTTTGTGGCTACCTTCGAGCATCGACGCCGGGGGTAGATGATGATATTTTCCTCCTTTCCCCCAGATCTCAATACAAGTATTCCGCTTTTCCGATTCTCTGGCTCCCCTCTCACTGCGTCTTTGTCTTCAGCATTCATAAACGTTGTGCTATCCTAGGATGTCACACCCCGGGATCGACGCGCAGCTCCGTCGGTAGCTTGCTGTGCCGGATAGCTCATGCCCTTGTCCTGTTTCCTTGAACTCGTCCAATCGCAATGGAGTTGCGCAAGTTGACTCGTCGGAGATCGCTGAACACTGCTGCGGAAGACCGGCCTTCGATGACGCCCTTGGCTTCTGCAGCTGCAGCCGAACGGAAGACAAAGCGGTATACATGGGCATTCAACCCCCCCAAAAATCAGAATAATGCGGAGCCCGAAGATTCTGGTTTGCATCTCAGCACTTGTGAAGCACGACCTGTAGCGCCTGCCAGGAGTTCTTCGTCTGCGTCGTTACGTGCTGGGCCATTGACGCTGAGCGACTTCAATCCCGACTCAACAATACGGCCAAGGTCCGCAGGGAGTGCATTGGGCTCCAGAGTTGGCGCGACGAAGTCGCTTTCACAGCGATCCGGTACGCTGGCTCCAATCATGGAGAAGAGGCACGTCGAAATATCGAGTATACTACAACCTCGGGATAGTACGCCTAAGGTCAAGAGATGGGATGCCAAAACAAAAATTACCAGCGTTTGGGATGGGCTTCGAAGAGTAGGTCAATGCAGCCAAATCTTATCCGAATGGACTGACAGCTGTGGACTAGGATTCGGAACTATTCTCTGCGCGAGGCAATTGTTCCATACATTTTTACGAGAAGGGTCAATCGAGACGGGGCCCGTCGTTGAAGATACCCCTTGAACGTATATACGCTTCGCGCTTCGCCTCGCTTTTCGTCCTGGTTCATACTGAGTTTGGTCGTGGGGACTTGCAATACCATCATATGCACCGGCAATGTGATCTCTATATACCAGCTCCCGACGACTCGCGCCGAGGAGATGCGTTCACATGGCACATTACAACACGAAACTTCTTCGCTTTCATAATTGGGCGCCCTCTTGTTGGTGTCTCTCTCAGTCAGTCAATGATAGACTTGCGGGAAAGATTGAACATTTTCAGGCCAAACGACGCTAGGAACCAACATGATATGATGGCTTATCTACAAAATCTCGGGTACCTGAATTTTGCGCACTGCCCGGACTATGCCTTGGCCATGTTAAACTTTGCAGAGCATTATAGGATTCGGGACTTATGGGTGGACGCGTTCGTGCACTGCGTGGGTATGCATGACATGTTGAGAACCACCGAGGAGTTCCAGTTCGTATCTTATGGTGCAAAGTTACTCATCAACAAAGCCGCCCAGGAGATGCGCCTGCACATTGGACGAGTTACTTGTGCTGTCGGCAATTTCTTGGAAGAAGAATTCTCACCTTCGAAGTTCGGTGTTAGCAGTGGTGCCCGAGCTCATCTTGACCGCTTCCGAAGCTTTTTATACGAGTATTACGTCGAGAAATTCGGCTACTGGCCACCCCCCGAGCATGCTCAGTTCTGCAAGTCTTTGTACAAGTCCATGTACTTTGATTTCAGAGCACTGTACGACTACCTCGTGGACCTCGAATCTACAAATTCTCTCGCGCTGCAGAAGCCTGCGTCTGGAGGAATTTGTGTCTGGCAACATGTCAAGGCATTTGATGAACGGCACGGTTACACTCCCCTGCCACATCCACACCCATTACTTCCACAGGAATCAGCGCTTCATCAGAAATCCTCCTCTGCCCAAGCTTCCTTTATGCGCACGTTTTCTCTAAGCAGCAAGTCAGACGCCGTTGCCGACCTTGCGTGGGCAAGAGACTCTTTGGCAGCAGCAACGAACCAGATTGACGTGTCACACAAAGCTGCGCCTATAGTTGCAGCTTATCAGCGCTTCGAACGTGATCACTCGCGCAAACAAGACGAGAAGGTCTCCATCGCCGACGCTCGCAAGCTGCGATGGTTGCTCATCTATGGTGTGCTGCAGATGCTGATTTCTGTCATCCGGGCACCAAAAGAAGTGCGCATAACCGAAACAAGCTATCCTCTGTGTTGTCTCGTTGCAGAATATCCGCCGTGGCAGACTGCGGCTAAATTGTCAACTGATCGAAAGCACTCGGTGACTGTTCCATTAAAGTTGGATCAAAGCCGCATCGACACCAACTCCGAATTGTTGCTCCAGCGAGACACTGGGGCAAATGATAACACCTCCACGACTTCCGCCTCGCCGAGGAAAGCACAGTCTGTTCAGCCAGACGATCAAGTGTCAGCAACAGTCTCGAAAACTGACGTCTCGCCGAAGTCTTCGCGGAGATCCAGCATCTTTCGCCAAACGTCTATTCGCTCTGTCAAAAATCTTTCAACTTCTATCAGCTCGATCAAGTCTTATCGAGCTACATCCAAACGGCGCGGAGCAGGTCAAGCCTCAGCACAAGAGTTGCCTCCAGTGTCTCCTACGCGTGGTTCGAACACTGTCGTCGGCAAACCGTCTCCAAACTTTTGCGAGATCATGGTGCGTGGATATGGCAACGGCCTTAACGAACATGTGGGATCTGAATTTTTGCGGGCGCTACCCATGGAGTTGACCGAGGAGAGTCTACCGGAAATTGTGGTCAGACCTCAATCGTCACCGACGAGGGCAGAATTGCCACGTCATCGTGAAAGCCAAGCCCTTGCGAATCCAAACAGTGGTGGGATAGACAGTACGACACAAGATGTAGTTGCTGATCCTTCCTCAGTCAACGCTGTCAAACTGAGCTCCAGTGCTTCAGAACGTAGTAGAACTCCGTTGATGGACAGATATAACCAAGTTCTGCCTGGTCTGGAGGAACAAAATGATTCTTTCAGCACCCAGTCCTCATCGAGTGGAGTGCCGCCACCTCAAGCATGGGAATCGTCAAGATCGAACAGCCCACAAAGTTCTGTTTCGAGCCAGACTTCTCCGAATGCTGTTCATGGAGATTCAAAGGACACGTCCACACCCGATGGGCTTTCGCCGGTCTCGCTAACGACTTCGGAGTCTTCATTTTCAACTCAAACATTACCGCAAGTTTTTCCCAGCTTTGGATCCAACGCTTTGACTTCTAGAAAATCCATGGATCTTCCCATGGTTGTCGAGATTGAGGAGATGAGCGTTTACCAGCCGACTGGAATTCCGCCCGTAGGCGGACCAAAGATTGCTGATGAAGGGGATGATGATGAGGAAGAATTCCCAGACCGAGATGCGAGCAAGCGGTGGAGCGTGGCTTATAAAACTCGCGCGCCGATCGTGAGTGTGCCCGTTTCGCTCAAGAGTACTCTTCGACGCACTCGAACTATTGCCAGTCAAACCACGAAAAGGAGGAGTGTGCGCTTCTAGGGGAAGCCTTTGGAATGGCTGCACAAATTTAAGAACGGCGGCGACAACTCGAATCGAGAGATGCCTCTCTACAAGGCCACGTAACGGATTTCTACGTCTACAGTAATACATCTCTTACTCTTACACGTATGTCGCGCTATACACTACAAATGTACTGTTTGAATACGGAATGGCGACGAAGTTGATATTATACCCCCACTTATGACACCCATGGTTCGTGTACCTTCTTACGAGCCAGATTTGCAGTCTTTTAGCTATGGGAGTGTCAAAGTCGTAGCCGACTTGAGCAATGATATTTGACCGATTACCAATCTTGAAAGTTGAAGAGAACTCTTATGCTTGGGTTCAGTGCCTTTTATTCTTTCTTTTTCCAGCTTTCCGCCTAAGTTTTGACAAGAGGCTTTTGACTTCCCGTAAACTCTCCTCTGATACGTTGACATTATACGTGGTAGGAACTGCTTAACATGACCTTTTTTTCCCCGAGCTTCACGTGGAGCTGGTGTCTAGCGAAAGGTCGATCCCAAAATCACTTGTGCCTAACTGTACGGCCATTGGCACGTCGTAGTGACTGTGAGAGGTGGACATAGCGTGACGGACATGGCCTTGGCTATCCGGTTATGTTCTCTTTGCCTTGGTCGCGGTGCAGAATTATATGACCGTGATAACAACTGCTGTGGTCTGACAGTCTTTACAGGCAACCAGATCTTCAGTGCGTCAACATTGGACAGTCTGGAGGAATTTCGCTTGAGAGATGGTGGGCACGAGTCGGAAGTCAGATTGGATCTATGAGGGATATTCAGAATGGTTCTATTTTGCTTCAGCACCATTATGAGCAGAGCATACGCAGAGTTGAATGGCTAAAATTACAGGCTTCTATATCTACATGCGCGATGTTCCTCAAAGGGAGAAGAAGTCTCCTTGCCTCGCAGTCGATGCTAAAGTACAGTTCTATCCACAAGAATTGTCTACTCTCGTTCGCTCTCAGCACGGGCTTCTTGTTCACTCTCAACATCCTCGTCTCCATCCTGTATATCGTCGCTTAGCATTTCTTTACAGTCGCTGTTCAGGCCTCCACGCCTTCGACTTTCCTCAATCCGCGACCACAGCCCGACGAATCCACCGCCTTGGATCATTTTCCCAACCTTCGGCCTGCACGAGACCCACCATTCCTGGTCCTTTTCTTCCTTGTCGCCGTCGACGCCGTTCTCGCCCGTCTTCACAGACACCTCTGGCGTGTCAGCGTTTGCACGAGCAGCCGCTCGCGACTTGGAAAATATGATCCTCCACTCTCGACCACCGCTGAGACCTTCGCCCAGCTCAACAACCCTCTCTAGGTACAGGGGCAGATTTCTTTCTCGCACCTCGCGCTGAGCATCCACGATCTGTGTCACGCTCGGGGCGAATAGAAGCAGCTTCCCGTCTTGGTGCAGATAAGGAGCTATGGTCCCCATCTCCGCGTGCGAAGATGGCATGTCTAGGATTGCGTGGGTGAGGAAGGGCTCGTCTTGCTTCCTATTTGCGAAGAATGAAGAGGGACTGCCGACGTGGAAGTCGACGCTACGTGCATACAAGCCGTTCTTGAAGTTGTGAACGATTTTTTTGGCGTGTTTCGAATGCTTCGCCGAGACGTCCATTGTGTGTACGATGGCTCGTCTTTGAAGGGATATGTCGCTATCTACACGTTTTCCCTTGCGTTCTGCCTCGCTGAGAGGGGGGAGATGAGCATTGGCTGCATGAACGGCCCTCGCAAGATGCAATGTCAACGCCCCATGCCCGGTGCCACATTCAAAGATCTCAATTTCGGGGCCTTCACACTCGCTTACTGTCCCGTCACCATTTCGCGGCGGTCCCGAGGGGTGCAATTCTAGCAGGTTGACAATGACGTTCGCATCGTTAGGATAAATCTGCCCATCGCCACGATCAGTCTTCCTGTCGCAACAACTAGCTCAGTACGAAGGGTGGGAAGCCATACGGGAGCAACTAGCCTTGGAGTCATCCGCACATATTCGTCCAAGGTAGGCTCGTGCACAGTGTACTTCACACCCTTCTTCGTCTCCACCACGCTGTTGAGCTTTGCGCCAATGATGTCGTCGTGTCTGATCGCGCCATGCTGTGTTATGAAATTCTCGCCAGGCTTCAAAGGCGACTGGATCAGTTTCGGTTTGGGATCTGTGGCCAGTCGCTTGACGAGGACGAGGTCGCCTTCTACACGGGGCCTGTCAGAACAGAACAGAATCCAAAAGGCCGAACACATGCTGTACCTTCAAATGTGCGCGATCGCGTGATCGTTCTGCATTGGAAGCAGACATAGCTTGGGCGAGACACAAAGGGACGTGAGGAGCTCACCCTCCTTGCGAGAGGCGTCCTCATGGATCACGACGGGGGCGAGACGTCAGCTCATCAACGCGAAGAAGAACACTTGGACAGGCACATGAAAAGAGGCGACCAGAGGATGAAATGGCGTGCAGAAACGGCTAGGCGCAGATCCGCAAGCGATGGGCCCGCCAAACATACCAGCGCCTCCCGCAGGTGATGGGCCCGGTTCCGGCAGGGATCCCGCATTGGATCGGGGGCGGCCAAGGCTTCGACTGTCCGCGCGAACAAACTCCCCATGCAGCGAGTGGCCGGTGCGGCGACAACGCTGGTTGCCGTCCTGACGAACACCACAAGCCCGCTTCCGCATCGACTTGAGCATTCCTCTTCAGCCGTGCGGGCTCGTTCTCTTCCTCGTTGCATTCCTGCTGCTTGGACGTTGTGCCGCGCATTCCCAGTCGTCCTGTTTCTCGGACCATGAATATGGCCTGCGTCCTGCGTGATCGACCAACATACGGAAGATAGTACACACATCGACCGCGCTGTCGCGCGCACAGAAGAGAGAGCAACCATGACGCGGAGAATCGTACGTGCTCTTCCCATCTGTCCATCATACGCCTGGCCCTGCGTCCTGCTTGCTGACCTTCACCGACAGGTGCGCACATCTAGCCAGCTGGGCTTCCTCGTACTTCTCCTCGTCTTCCTCGTATACCTCCTTGACACACGATATCGCGTCCTCCCCAGCGCGATCCACACCCATCTTCCCGCACACCACCCAGGACTGGTCGTAACCGACATAACTGTAAAGACGTGCTCTTTCTCCAGCTGCAAACTCGATCCGGCCGTCTGGCATCGCATTGAGAAGGACCTGTTTCTGAAATCAGGATGGATCACGAAGTCGTACGTGCACATCCAGCGCAAGAAGGAGGAGGACCTCAAGCCCGAGGACAAGGTCGTCATGGATGTCAAGGTCGGAAGACTAGATCCAGGAAAGCAAGACGGCGCCGAGAACGGGGAGTTGTGGGAGAAGAGGCCCGCTGGCCTGTGGATCAAGCGCAGTGGGAAGCGTCAGGATAGCGATTCGAAAGATGTCGTCACTGCCGTAGACGTCCTCTTCGGTGCGGACGCCGTGGAACCCCGTCCGGGCTGGTCCATCCGCGAACAAGCTCTTCTGCTAGATTATCCACGCGACGCCCCCGAAGCACGCATCACTATTCGGCGCGGCAGCCCCAAGAAAATCGACACGCCAGTCCCAAGAGTACGCAAGGATGGCAAGTTCAAGATTATGCAGCTTGCAGATCTGCATCTCAGCACGGGGCTGGGGACATGTAGGGACGCGGTCCCCCCGAGCCCTGACGGGAAGTGCGAGGCGGATCCGAGGACTCTAAGCTTTGTCGAACGGCTGTTAGATCAGGAGAAGCCGGATTTCGTCGTGCTTTCTGGGGACCAGGTGAATGGGGAAACGGCGCCGGACGCTCAGTCGGTAAGTCCAGCTAGCCCTCCTACTATCTCCTCGAACGACTCGTCCGTAGCAACGCATCTAACAGGACATGTTAGGCAATTTTCAAGTTTGTCGACATTCTAGCCTCGCGTAAAATCCCCTACGCAGCTATCTACGGCAACCACGATGACGAAGGCTCCCTGAGCCGACAGGCAACCGCTGACCTACTTCAAACGCTCCCGTATTCCATGACCCAGTCTGGTCCCAACACCATCCCAGGTGTGGGTAATTACTACATACGCGTACTAAGCCATACGGGACATCATGCAGCCTTGACCATGTTCTTCCTAGACACCCACTCGTACTCGCCAGATGAGCACAAATACAAAGGTTATGACTGGATAAAGCCCGAGCAGATCCAGTGGTTCAAAGCTGCGGCGGAGAGCCTAAAAGCGGATAACAAGAAGTACAGTCATATCCATCTGGACATGGCTTTTATCCATATACCGCTCCCAGAGTACAGAGATGGAGGCGTGCTTGTTGGTGAACGTCGCGAACCTCCGACAAGCCCTGGCTACAACTCCGGATTTAGAGACGCTCTCGTTGAGATGGGTGTTCCAGTTGTGTCTTGTGGACACGATCATGCTAATGACTATTGCCTGCTTTCCGAGAAGCAAGGTCAGTTCGACCTTCCAGAGCGTCGCAAACGCGCCCCGCCTCCAGCAGCAGAAGACTCTTTCCCCCCAGGCGACGCAAACAAGGATGCTGAAACTGGCGACTCTACGGATGCGCCCGTGCAGGAGAACAAACCAACTCCAGCGCAAAGAAAGAAGGACGACAAGATCTGGCTCTGCTATGGTGGCGGTGTTGGCTTTGGCGGCTATGGCGGATGGAACGGCTACATTCGCCGCGTGAGATTTTTCGAACTTGACGCAAACGAGGCGAAGATCAGGACGTGGAAACGAGTCGAGTATGGAGACGTGGCAAGCAGAATTGACGAGCAGGTTATAGTCGATGCTGGCAAAGTTGTTCGTAATTAGCGGACCGCGGAGAGCATGCACTTATTGGTGCGGGCAACGGGATAGCATTGGGAGGCGCATATATGGATTGAACGTGCCTCTTTGGGACATTTCAGAGAGACACCAAAACTCGCAGGGTTATCACCTAGCTAGATAGTCTCGGTGCTTGTGTGCTTTCTTGGGCGTTATCATGCATCAAGCCATCACCTAACCTATGGATCTCTTTGGCCGGCGTGCTTGATGATTGGAGAGGCATCTTTGCGCGAATTCAAGTTTGTCAATGCTTTGCTCTGATCCTTTTGGCTGACTTTATAAAACTTGGGGATGTTTTTTTTATGATCAAAGTAGAATCGGTTGCGAGCTAGCTACGCAATTCACTCGACTGGTTTTCATGGGCTTGAGCGAAGTTCTGTCCCGCTTTCGTCCGTGGAGGAAGTCGAAATGGAAACAAGCATCAGAACAGCGGGCAACCCCCTTTCCGCCGTGGGTGACTTTGTATGCTCCACCGGTCTCAACTTCCAGAATCCCTACATCTCCGCTCTACTCTCCGAATGCGATATCGCGACGAAATGTCCAAGACGACGCGTCTTGATACGTCATGCGGTATCCCAGCACACTTTCGACGAAAGCCAAGATCAACGGAGGACTCAGACCATGCTTGTAATCGTGCGAGTTGAGCTCCAGTTCAAGACGATCGAAGAGGAGTCCGAGGCCAAAGCACGATTCCTTCATGGTGATTTCTGCCGCAGGCGGCTGTAGAGCGCGACTTTAGCCGAGCCCGGTTTAGAGCCAAAAAAAGGGTGTGGAACCACTAACCTTTGTCGTTTGATTGTGATTGCGCTTCGTCCATTTGCTAAAGTAGTCGCTGATGAGCTGCAGGCTTGGCTGGTGACTGCATTGTATCGAGATGGATTTCCCGTACTGAACGTGCGTCAGAATAAGGTGGTATGGTGGCCTTTTCATCAGCTCTTCTGGTCGTTCCAGCATGTTCACGTTCGGTAAGACATCCGAAGATGGCGTCTTGGGCACATGCTGCTCCCCAGCTTTGCGCGTAGAGACGCCTAATGCATCAAGTTCGGAGACGTAGACTTCGGTGAACCCATCTTCGACGGCAGCACTAGACGGGAAAGGGTCGGTGGCCAACGTGGTGGCCTTTGGTTTCTGGAAAGCCTTCAGCAGCTCGGCATGGAATCCGGAGCACATCCTGGTCTTGCTGATGGGTTTTTGCTTTGGGAAACAGATCTCAAAAGCATTGTGATTGTCGACCCAGGACGTCGATGGCCTGACGTCGCTGATCTGGCTCGTGTCAGTGCAGATGAACGTTGGACGGCCATCGGAGTCGTCCCACATCAAACAGAATCTTCAGCACTTGTGCACTCTTGAGTCTCTCAAGGAGGGCTTCGATCCAGCTCCCGTTGCTGTCATCTTCTGCTATGTCGCAAATGCTCCTGGTCCAGGCAATGAAAACTCTTGCGATGTCAGGTACAAAGCCGCCTGGTTCGTCATAGTGCTGGTGGAGTTCCGTCCAAAGTATCTGCCATTCAGGCTCGACGAGAAGGTCATATCCAATCAGCTTCTTTACCTCCAAAATTGCCTTCTGTACGTCGCTCTCATCTTTGGACCACAGATCGCGAACGTTCACCCTGACTCTCGTCGGTCTGAGGACGAGTCAGTCGGTTTGCTGTTTTGGAAAGTTGGTTACCCACAAGGGCATTTTGGTTTTTGTTCTTTTGTGTAGACTCGGCTCTGAACGACCTAAGGGAGGAGAAATGGCTGGCACAAGAGCAACGCAAATATTAAGTTCCTCTACTCCTACAGGTTCCCGCCCTTTTCCAGCATTTTTAATGCGCGAAGATCGAGCCGTGAAGTGGCTCAAGCGAGCCCTGCTACGGGTAGCTCTACACACGTTGATCACACCGGTCAAAACGTGGCGTCAAGCCACATTCCCTGCTTCGACGGAATACTCCTTACAATTCTTCGGGCTCGTTGCTGGGAATTTTACGTGATCCCCAATAATGATCAGTTCCTCATCTTTTCATCGCTACGTCGTGTACGGCCGACGTTTTGTGAGAGTGAAATTACATATTACAACTTCGGTACTTGGCAAACAGCCACAGAAAAGAGATGTGCCAGCTCATGAAAAAATGCCGCCCAAATGCTCCGCCCGCGCCTCAAAGTAGTGGATCTTCAGCTTGCACGACAAGAAACTTTGTGGCACTCAGGCATAACACATGTCTTGTGGCCTATCCTGAGCGCCATGCTTGGCACAATGCACCAAAAGCCTCCTTCGCTTCCTGAGGTCAGAATACGATCAACCTGCGTGATGCTGGCTACTACAAGCTTCCTTAGCTTCAATCATTTCACCGCTTGCCATATTCTGTTCCCGGAGAGGTATATAGCTACAAGCAACACCTTCGAATGTACGGGGGTATATCCATCCTCGCACAACTTCCATACAGACTCCGAATTGTTGCCGGCAAAGTGTGTCTTAACAGAAACTGTACAACATGAGTGCAAAAGAGCCTGTCGAGAAGCTTCCGCTTGCTGTCAGAAAAAACGGTATGAAGTTTCGAGCTCCGGCATTCCTTTCGAATGGCTAAACTCGTGGAGTCCGTGACGAATTCGAAGCAGATCGAGAGGATCTTGAATCTCAGATTAGCAAGTTGCTGGGAGGGCAGCAGTGGAAAATCGAGGTTAACCCTAACCTCATTTATGCATATGCAGAAGAGGGGAGCTACGGTCACCAAAGCCTGGGTGATTGCATGAAAGCGTAAGTCCCCCTCTTTGTAACACAAAACCGGCACTTAGGGCAAAAGGTACATTGACGGTGCAATCTATCGTTTGAAGTACTTCCTCGAATCACAAGATCATGGGGAAGAAGGGGTGGCAGAAATCAACAAATTGGCTTCCACACACACAATCACGATCTATCCGGACTTGGAAAAAAAGAACTCGTATTGTGGAGTCGACATCAAGGGCGGTGTTCTTCGTATCCTGTTCCGCGAAGGGAATCTTGGTACCAACGTTGACAATGCTCTTGAACATCTCGAAAATGCCTTGAATGAAGCCGCACCAGCCGACTCTTCCGAACTAAGCTATACCGCTCGCAACAGCATCAAACGGGACTGGGACAAAGACGCTGAGACGCTGCGAAAGGATATTGCAGAGCAGGTCCACAACGATAACATCAAGCTGAATCCCAACTTCGCGGCTGTTGTCGAGAAACTCAAGACTGGAAAGGACGTGCGCGACGACTGGGCAGCGAACTTGGGCGCCTTCACCAAAAAGTACTTCGAGTCGGTTGCCTATTATCTGAAGTGCAACAAGTTCAAGGAGGATGACTTGATGTATGAGGGCTTCAATGAAGTCGTCACTGGAAACGAGATCATCTTCCGCGTTGTCGATAAGGTCACCGGGCCTTCGTCATACAATCAATGTTTGGTTGAAGATGGAAAGTTAGTGCTACAAACCACGCCGAGCAACTTTGGCACGAATGTGGACTACATTGCCGAGAAGATTGTTGATGTCTTGTAGATATTCTCCTTCTCAGAGGCGTGGAATAGACGAATGTAAAAATTTGTTCCCATTCGATGTTGTAAGCAAAGATCTATAATTTTGACATGCGAGTATGCTCAATGTCTCTGTATTTCTTGTACTCATCCAAGCATTCCGGGTTGGCGACAGTGGACGATACCTTGACATCTGTGCCTGAAATGATCTTCTTCACCACAATCTCGACTTTCTTGCCGTTGATCGTGACGGGAATATCTTTGACCTGCAGGATGAACCTCGGCACGTGTCTTGGGCTGAGCAGCGTTCGAATGGCATTTTCGACCTCTTTCTTCAGCTGTTCGGTAAGCACATGGCCTTCCTTCATCTTCACAAACAAGAAGACGACCTCGTCTTGGTCGTGCTTTCTTTTGCGCCCAACACAGAGCGTGTCGCCGATTCGTGAGTTGAAGCGGGGGGATTCGACGATGTTGTATATCTCAGAAGATCCGAAGCGTATGCCTGAAGGGTTGAGCGTCCCGTCGCTTCGTCCATGGATCTGCGCACCGCCGGTCTTTGGATTGAACTGGATCCAGTCATGTTGCGCCCACACCTTGATGTGGCTGTAGCGCTCAAAGTACGCTTCGTGATACTTCTTGCCGCCCTTGTCTCCGTAAAAGTAGATGGGCATGCTTGGGAAGGGACTCCTGCAGATGAGCTCGCCTGCTTCGCCTGTGTCCTTGATGCTCTCTCCTGTCTCTGGGTCGCCGACATCGACATCTTGGCCCAAAGCTGGGAGCTGCATTTCAGCCGCGTACACCGGTGCTGATGGATCTGAGGCCATCCATGAAGTGCATATTTCAGTGCCTCCAGCTACAGAACTAAGATGGATGTCACGCGGAAAAGCCGTGTAGAACCATCGGAACTGTTCAGCGGTCAAGGTGGCTCCCGTGGTGGTTACCATTCGCAGCTTGCTCAAATTGAAGCTTTTTGGCTTGATACCGGACATCTCCAGCTCGAGGAGGTATCTTGGAGACGTGCCAAAATACGTGCATTTATGATGCTCTAGCACCTTCAGCTTGGTGCTAGCATCCGGATACAGCGGTGAACCATCATAACAGACTACCGTAGCACCAACTGACAAATGGCCGTTCATGATGTTCCACAGCACCCACGAAGTACTCGAAAACTGAAACACTACATCGCTTTCAGTCAAAGAGTTATGGAGTTTGGCGATCTTTTTAAGCTGTAGGATGATTCCGTGCTGATGGACAATGCATTTGGGCGGTCCACTTGTTCCTGAGCTGTACAGGATAACCAGAGGAGCAGAAAACGGCACCCTCAGGTACGTAAGCTCGTCCTCAGGACTGGATTGGGCGAGGAAATCGTCTAGCACGGGATAGTCGAGCGTCTCTCCTGCCCCTCCAAGCGGTATAAGGTAGACTTTGGGAATCCGAGGCAATGCAGCAATCGTGCTCGCAATCTTCTCCCTCAAACTTCGTTTCTTGCCTTTATATGTTTGACAGCTATCCGCAAACACTACGACGGGCTCAACCTGCTGCAATCTACTCACACAGCCCTCTAGTCCCATGTCCGGCGATATGCTCGTGTACACCACGCCGATCGACGCACAAGCAAGGAACAAGGCAATGATCCAGTTCGAATTGCTCATAATCGCGCCGACCCTGTCCTCTCTTTTGACTCCGAGCCGTAGCAGTGCGGACCTGGCTTTCCGTACGTTTTCCCGCAGGCGCTGCCACGTCCACTTCTCGCCCTCGATTGGCTCACCCTCCCTCAGTCCGATCAGAGCGACGGCGTTGGGATCACGACCCTCGAGCACGTTTTCTGCGTAGTTTATATTAACGCCTTCGAACCACCTCGGATTCTGATCAATCGTTGCATTGTTGTCATAAGCCTCCTTCATGTTCGACGGCAACGCAGGCACCATCCCGACATATGACCACAGATCAAGCCAGAAGTCCTGTCTTCCGGCCTTAGAGACGCTCCATCTCTGGAGCTCGTGGGAATTTTTGAAGTTCTTTCCGAATTTACGATTGATATGTTGCCTATACCTAGCGATGGGTGTGTTTTCCGGATTTTTGGGCCGCCATAGCGGCTCGGTCTGTGGCAACCTAGACATTCTGTTGTTCTCAAGTCAAGAGGAGAAAATCTCCATCTGGTCGCTAATGGTTCTTTATTAAAATTGGTATTCGCCTATAACGGCTGTATGGTTACGATGCACTAATGATCCGCCACGGCGATGTGCGGGCGACTTCGGTAAATCTTTTCAGTGCTGGAAACTGTGCAGCAAGTTCCTCGGCGGTTACCTGATCGGTGTACACTAGACGTATAACCGTATATTTTAGCCTAAGCTTGTTATTTCGAGTGACGAATTTCTATGGAAGTGAATATTAAAGCCAAAGAAGCTGGGAATATATTTGGATATTGTACATAATCTTCACTCTACATGAACAAAAATTCAGCCTCCCTCCCCCTTAACATCAAATTACATAACACGATAACGTCTAAATAACGCCCAATAGAGCTTTTACTCATCCTTATATGGATCGCTGTTAGGGACCTTGCCCTCTTGTCGTCCCATGCGTCCCGCACTTGACCTCCAAACTCCCTTCCGAGCATCTGCAAGTACACCATGCACGCTCCCGTCCTCCAACGTGATCTGGGACTTTGCCAAGCCCATCTTTGGCGTTTGCAAGTACACAGCTTCCCAAGAATGCTTGGGAACATCGTAAGCCTCGTGGTATACGCCAAGGTGCGGCATGTTCTTTACGTTCTTGTTCCACCAGTTCCAGGCCTCGCGATGCTGCTCGCCCTGAGCGAAAGTATGCAGTGCATCCATGGAATCGAAGTAGCCGATCAAGGAGAGCGAATTGCTTTCTGTGGACATGATGGACTCGCCTCCAAGGTAGCCGCGAGCGCCTTTGTTTTGATTAAGGTCTGCAACCAGACTCGTGAAGAAGTCGCCCGCTTGTTTTGCACCTGGAGCAAAAAGGCCCATTGGGTGGCTGATTCGGATGCCGATGATGAGAACCACAAGACCGCGACCTGAAGGCGATCCCTTCGAGCCGTCAGGCTGGGGAAAGAGAGCTGTAGTCTTTCCGGGCGATACTTGTTTAAGCTGTTCGTTAGGTATCGAGCCTGTGGAAATAAGAATTGTAGGAACGACTTTAGCCAACAGAGCTGCGCACGCGAGGAGTACCGCTAGTCGCTGGGTCAGTAAAATACTGAGACCATGGAACACCAGCGCTCCAAGAACAAGCCAGGTAGTTGTGTTGAGCTGGGATTCAATTGCAGAGGCGTTCAGAAAGCCGAAGAAGCCTTTGAGAATGTTCAGTAGTTTCGACATGATGTTTTCGGACTTGTCAAGTGGTAGAACGTGAGTGGCGAAAAGGGACTATTGGCGTCAGAACACTACGAGAGATCGCGATAGACGAAGCCTTGAGCTAGGTACTGTTCTGACTTTTTTCTTGCTCTGCTGAGTATGTTCTGATGAACATATGGCTTCGGCGTGTACATAGTTATATATCTTAGTTCTGACCTACAAACGTCACCACCGTTCACCAAGGCCAGACAAAGGACACTGGCGACGGAGGGACTGCCCCGTAAGAAGCACAGCCCATCTTTGCACCTTGATGGCTGCGTATAGATCAGCGGCCGTAAGGGCCTTTTCGTCGTAACTTGGTGGACTGGTGGAGTTCGACGGAGTCGGCGCAGGTTGCTCCGATCTGGCGATGGCGCAAGGGCCTGGACCGGAAAAAACGCAGTACGTGCTCGAATTTACACGTGAGTCGGACGGTAAATTGCCTCGATGTTATCATACCATGATTATGGGTGAGAGAAATCGTGCTTGATGGGCTCAACTTCTATCCATTTCGTCTGCTTATCGGGAATGTGAAGCCCGATCTTGAAATGAAACCATTGTGCTTGGATGCAGGCACACCAACATGAGGTCCGCAATACTATGCGTTCTTGATGGATGCCCACTTCACATTTTGACGTCGGATTTTCAATGCCTCGCTTCTCGCACCTTGACCAAATCAGAACATGTGCAAGCTGTAGCGTGGGGGTTTCGTGACCTTTGATTGTGCATCAGACTCGCTTAGTACACCATTCACAATGGCGACGGTACGTCCCATGCGTGCTGACGACCTCTTCAACTTCAACACCTGCAATCTAGACCACCTGACAGAGACCTACAACACCTCGTTCTATCTAGAATACCTGGCGAAGTGGCCGCATCTATGTAGGGTCATTGAGGGCCATGATGGTAGAATTGAAGGATACAGTATGGATCGTGGGGAACTCAACCTAGACTTGGTTATTGACCGCATGAGCAGTTCTAGGCAAGCTTGAATCGTCGCCGTATGGCGCACCCAATCCACCGTACGATCCAAGTACCAACACAAACCCCAACTATCTCCCTTGGCACGGGCACATAACTGCGCTTACCATCTCTCCCTCGGCGCGCCGCCTTGGCTACGCGACTCTCCTCACTGCAGCGTTGGAGCAACAAAGCGACGCGCACAACGCCTGGTTCGTTGATCTTTTCGTCCGGGCAGAGAACAAGGTTGCACAGCAACTGTACAAGGGAATGGGGTACTCGGTCTGGAGGCGGGTGGTTAGCTACTACGCCGATGATGAGGACGCCTTTGACATGCGGAAACCATTGAGCAGGGACAAGTATAGAAAGACGATTCGAGAAGACGGCGAGAATCAGCTGGTCGATCCAGCTGAAGTGTGGTAGACGGGTCATTTTGGACAAGAAGCCCTTCGTGGCACGGAGCAGGCTTGCATTCGCTAGATACGTATGCGAGAGGCGCCGAAGCGTCCCGTGGTTAGTGCTGCGAGTAGATGATGGGCTCATGCCGATCGTGTTGTCAAGTACGCATGGCAAGCGGGTGCATCCTGAGTTTGGTACATTGTGAAGATGGTTCGAAGCTGTACATTCCTCCGGAATTCTCGAAGCCCAAAAGAACTTGGCTTACTGCGGCCTCCACAATGCTTCGATTTGCCTCGCTCGTAAGTAAACATAAAAAGCGAGACAGTACTCAATACTATATTTTCGTTACATTCCCTTGAATCACTGCATCAAATTTCCAATTTCTCTCGTCTCCTCGCAAACTCTGTTGTCTTTCCTCTTGCCCTGTTCTAGAATCATGGCGGTCACTCATTCCTCCAGCAGATGTCCTGAAAAGAAAAAGTTGAGGCTTGGTTATGTATATCCCTCTAATTAACTCGGACACTCAAGATATCCGGATCCAGTGCTCTAAAATGTTATTTACGATACAAATCCTAGATGCCCGTGTGAGTCATTTATAGTCTCTCACTTGCTCACCACACCACGACGTAAATGCTGCCGCATGACCAGATCCCCCCTCCTCTTTGGTCTTGCATGCATTTACAATATCCGGCCTAAGATTAGGATGCCTTCTTCCCCACGGCAGTAAGTAAGCCCCCTGATCTGAAAGTGTCAGATCTTCACTCAAGCCTCCCCACAGACAAGTGTAAGCGCCGAATTTGGCATCGTACAAAAGCGGCCTCGCCAGCGTCTTCATCAGCCAAGGTAGATATCTCACCAGGTTCGTTGCAAGGTTGCCGGGATTCTGTACGACATGAAGCACCTGCGTTCCCGTACCGGCTGCTTGCTTAGCCATCTCGGCGCAAAGATACACATTCGCCACCTTTGACATGGCGTAGTTCAGAAATCGATCGCGCGGCGGCGTCTTGAGACACTCCAGGTCCATCCCGTTCTTGGGCGCCTGGGCTTCAACGGATATCGAAGCCGTCCACACGACGCGTACTGATGCTTCCTTCGTGATCTTTGCCGTCGCCTCCAGCAAAGGCTGCAGCAGCACGGTAAGCAAGTACGGCCCGACGGCATTTGTGCCCATTTGCATTTCCAGCCCCTGTTTCGTGCGCAGCTCAGGCGGGCAGCTCGAAATGCCAGCGTTGTTCCACAGCACGTCCAGCCTCTGCTGCTTCGCTTTGAATGTTTCGACGAATGGCCTAATCGTTTCCAGATCGCTCAGGTCCAGCTCTATGAACTCGAGTCTTTGACCGCGTTTGACAGGGTCTGGTTCGATCGCTTCGATGACATGTGAGGCTTTGTCAGAAGACCTTCCGGCGATGTATACTGTGCCTCCAGCACGGTAAAGCATCTTTACTAGCTCCAGACCAATTCCTGAATATCCTCCCGTCACAATAAACACTCTTCCTGCCTGGGGAGGCAGATTTGACTCGGTCAGCGTTGGTGCAGGGGGGAACATCTGACTCCAAAGCACACCCATATTTGTCAAGCGGCGCAAAGATTCATGTAGCACAGGAAAGATTTGTAAGGATGAATTTTTCTTGAAAATTCGATTCATTCCTATCGAATATATATTATGGCGCGCGGTCTTTAACCGCACAATCTCCGTAAAGTTGGCGGAATTCCGCTTCCTTACAAAGAGTGCGACAAGCCCAATATTTTCTATGGGGATATTTCAGCGGTATTTTGTTTGCGTTACTTAAGTGTCCAGGAATATCCATTCGTGCACTAGCCTCTACTTTTACGTACCCGAGTCGATATCAATTTCGTGACTTCCTGGTTGTTTCGAGCGTGGTTTTAGTTCTAGACCTAGAAGCCCGAGCTCTTTTCGTTTTCAACACGCATCTTCCTCAACCTCGAAATCTTAATTAAGCTAAATTTGTGTCCATTACCCTCTGCACGCCCGTTCCGTGTCGATCTCTCGTTCAATAGGTTATTAACATGCTTAGGAGGCGTTTCAGGCCCCCTGTTATGCGATTCGGCCTGTTCATTTGCTTTACTAAGTCGGCGCTTTTGCCTTGCTCCCTGCCCCATTACACGTGGACGATACCATGTACTGATGGAATTTGATGTGTTCCTTTCGCCCATTTCAGAATTGTCACCCGCTGTATCATCGTGTCGCGTGAGCACTGACGAAGTTCGATTGCGGCAAGTCGCGTACTGCTCAGTCAGTGGAAAAAAAAAGTTATTTCCGAGGCTTCCTCGTCTCGTTTTTTTACTATCGGTTCGTGATGTAATCTCCGGTTGAACCGGTGGGAGAGGTTTATTCGAGATGGAATGCCAACTTGTGTACTGATTGCGCCCGTTGTTATGCACATCAACGTCTGTTGCTTGTTTACCGTCGTGAAAAGCGTGATGGCAATCCGATTGATACGTGCATTCACTACAATCTCCCATGAATGCTTCACGGGCGCTGAAAGCCTGAGTGGGCTCAGAAAGGTGACTCGCCTTATCTCTGAGTAAGGATTTACTGCAGTCAGGTGGTGCGATACTTGACCAAGCGGTGGCCTGCTTTACTCTCTCACCTTCCTCGGTACGACTGTTTAAGTAAGACGACAAAGAGGTGTTGTGTGAAAGCTCGATGGAATTTCCGCTTCTCTTTGCTTTACTGCTGCTTCTTTCAGATTTACCTGCAAGGCCGCAACTGGTCTGGCGTTTACCTCGCAAATAGTTTTTGTCGAGAGTTGCTGTGGATATACCTTTTCTTTTTGCATTTGCTTGTAGATTTGTAACTTCTTCATCAACGACGTCCAACAAGCTGAGAATTTGGCGACAGTAGGCAAGTTGACAATCAATTGTCATGATCTCACGCCTTCCAGCCTCGATTTTGTTGTTAATATGCTGTTGTAACTCCTCTTGACTCAATTTGCCAGGCATGAGACAACACATGCACGAGCAAACCGATGTACCTGTATGTGGGCGCTCATAATCTCGAAATGAATAGTTTTCATCCACACGGTCTAGACTTTCGAATCCATCGTTCCGGTCCAGAGATAGTAAACTTGTACCAGATGCTTTCTGGACTGACTGACTTATCGAGCTGACGAGGTTTGAAGGACTCATTGTTAAAAATTGGTGCTCTGAAATTGGAACAAAGGATGTTAGACGGAGATGAAGCTGACTTCGATGCGTGGTTGTGATAAGTCGTGCTGTGCTTGGAATGTTGCCTGATAAGTCCGACATTCAAGAGCATATCGATTGTACCAAAATATTCATTCTTTTTAACCCCAACTCTTCTATGCAAGTGCTTTTCTTATTTTTGTTTTTGTTTTAATTTTTTTGATCTTACCGGCTACTCACATCTACTAGGTTCTGTTTACTCGATTTGCCACAAGTGAAACTACACTTGTGACTGATTTTTCCCTATCTTGTTCAGGATTCTAGGTTCCGTAGGTCGATTAGTTTGATTTAGATCACGAATTCTGATGTTGCACAAAAGTTAATGATAGAGTGGGAGTGAGAGTATTGCAAGCTTTGGTATACAGTAATCTACTCGAGCAGACTAGCCGACAACCCGAGGCCACAGTTGGGAAGCTCATCATCTGTCTCTTGAGAATTGTATTCGGGTTGGCCTACTGACGCATTGATATATGAACAATGGGCAACACGCACGCTCATTTGTCTCGCCGCGATCTAAGTTCCAATCACGAAACTTGCCAAATACAAGGCGATATCAGTGTTTTCACTTGCGAAAGGGCTAAGTCCATGAACACGAAGTGAGAACATATTGCATCCTGTTTGGTACGTAGGTAGCATATTTAATACGTCGAAGAGTTGAAATCCTTAGCTTCTTTCGGCCCAACGAGCCAGTATTGAACTTATCTGAACTTATCATAGACTTGAAAAAGTTACCGAAGCAGAGGGCAGTCAAGATATGGGATCGCCTAAACATTCGTGAGGGTTTGTGGCAAACACATGTGATCGGCCACTACATCTGACAAATCGTTGTTCTATGCGACCATTTGCTTAATGTTAAACTTGAGAGGCACAGCAGGAAGAACGTTGATCTGGTCGTATCTTGTGCTGAATCCAGCCTAGGGAGCAAAAACAATGGTAGACAGGGACTGTCGCCCCAAGATCTATGTGAAAACCAAGCCGTGTCCTCATAACGTACTTGATAACATGAGACGTTGACTGCTTCATGGAGCGCAAGGGATTTGTGAACAAAAATTGCAAAAAAAAGCGAGCAGCAAGGGGCTCGAACCCTCAACCTTTGGTGTATTCGATGACCGAAAACCAACGCGCTACCATTGCGCCAACCACCCGTTTGCGCGATTACACGCTTCAACAATATCCCGAAGTACCTAATTTGGTATATAATATGTTCACAAAATAAGCTAGCATAGCATCAAAGTGGAATATTCTTTCCTCAGAATTGCTTCCTTCCCTTCGGCAGGCTTTCAGCATTCAGCTTCAAGCTTTTCACTCTCACTTGCATCGCTTTCCTTTAATCTTTGTTTCTATAGTTCTAATGGGTGCTTTGAGGCAGCGAAACTGTTGAGGAGATGGGGCATCGACAACGCTCTGGGTTAGCATAAGTAACACCTCCATTCATGAAATATATGTCTAAGCTCTAAAAGTGGATCTATCTTCAGACAATTCGAGAAACTAGATGCGGGACACGCTTCTCCTTACTTTCCAATCAAATCTCCCAGCTTATCGACGTAAGCAGAGGGAACCGTGGGTGCGTCCGTGGCCAGGATCTCCTCCTTTGAGCTGACTCCCGTGAGCACCATCAAAGTGCCACCCAGACCACCATCAATCCCAAACTGAATGTCCGTATTCAGCCTGTCGCCGATCATGCATGTTCTAGACCTATCAAGTTTGAACTTCCCCTCGATTGCGTCCATCATAGCTTGGCTGGGCTTCCCGAGGGCCAGTGGATCCTTCCCGTACGCTTTGACAACACCCGCACCTGTTGAACCGGCGCCAGGGAAGAAGGCATGAGCCATCGGAAGAGTGCTATCAATGTTTGTCGCCAAAAACACAGCGCCGCGTCGAAGATATGCCAAGGCAAGGCTCATTTTCAAGTAATTGATATGGAAGTCTAGACCAATCAGCACGCATCCAACGTCTGGGTCCAATGCACTGCCGTCGGCAATAGCTGCAAAATCAGCGGGTTCGATGTCGCGACGGAGGCTGGGGTCAGTGCCACCAATGTAAGGCACATTCTCCGATTCAAGTTCTTGCTCGATGCCAGTCTCGCCAAGTACAAAGACCTTATTCTTTGGAGCTGGAAGCTTCAGTATGCGAGAGATGTATATGGCCGCGGAATAGGATGAGCCGAAGATTTCATCCTGTAGGCACTATCAGCGATAAATCGTCACATGCGTAAACCGTACCACGAACAACTTGCGCCGATATCCCATTTGCGTCGAATTTCTTCTTGTAATCTTGACGTGATTTCGTGCTGTTGTTTGTCACAAAGACGAGTTGCTTTCCGCTGTCGCGAAGGAATTTGATTGTTTCAGCGGTTCCTGGAAAGACAGTGTCGCCAGACCATAGGACGCCTGTCCTTTATTACATTAATCAGACAGGTAAGCAAGTTCAATTGCAAGATGCAGAGTCTTACCATCGCAGTCAAAGAGGAAAACCTGCGGTGCGAACATAAGCCGACGTGAAGAGCGAGGGTTTCATTCAACCTACATCAAATCTATCGATGAATTCCTTGATTCCGGCCGCGTCTCCGGTTAGATATTTTGGTGCCGCCATTGCGTCGCTGGTAAGAAAAGTAGTTTGTCGGAAGGATGCCAGCAGATGTGCGTCAAGAGGTGAGTATGACTCCGATGACGGCAGTCATATCGATAAGTAACGAATGATTATCGATTTCGGCTTAGCGCATCATTGCAGCCTAGATGGAGGAGTACTCATAAGAAAGCTGCTTGCAGTCAAAAGCTAAGTTCCTCATGGCAATAATCTCATTAATAAAAGGATCGGATGTCTTTGCGTCGGAAATCTTGTGAAACTTGCTTTCGTGCAAAGCGAAAGTGTGACCTTGAGTTCCCAAGGTGCAGACGGTGTCAAAGGACAGGGAAAGATTGTCATTATGTGCGTAAACCCGCGGCAGCTACGGATTTTGATAGTGACGACAAAAACACCGAGAACGCGAATTACTCTCGAGGAGGAGTATGCACACCATATCTGCCGAGTTTTCTTGGGCCTTTAGGCGAGATCAGACCTATCATTGGCCAAAGTCGGAGCTGGTCCTGGACCGTACAACAGTTCAAAAACCTACCGGCACAGTTCGCCAACAATCTCGAAAATATATTCATACGGAAGGATTTGAGGACAATGTCATACGCAGCACTACGTACAGCCTTCGCTCTGTGTGCAGCCCATACAGCTACGGTGGATAGCAAAGAGAGCACGTCGGTACGAAGAGTCATCGATGTCGAAGTAGCGCATCTCCTGGCGTCTTCGTCGAATGACACACTTCTACAAGACCTTGCCAACCTACAGGCTCTCGTTCTTTACCAGATACTGCGGTTGCTGCATGGAAATATCGACGAAAGAATAACGGCGGAGCGACAAGAAGAGGTGATGCAGACCCTCTGCACCCGCCTTCTCACTCGTGCTGAGAGTGAAATTGGGCCATTACAGGCCACATGGGAAGCATGGGTTGTGGCGGAAAATATCAGACGCACCGTCATGTTGAGCTACTGCGTTTATTGCGTATACTGGCTGGATCAAATCGGCTGCTGCCCTTTCTTTCCCACGTTAAAGGAGTTGCCCGTCTCGACTCGTCCAGAGCTGTGGCAATCGGAAGGTTCATCATTTCTGCCGCAGCAAGACATCCCATTGACATACGAAGATTTTAGCATGGTCTGGGCCGCTGCACCTCGCAGAAAGCTCAGCCCTTTTGAGAAGATGATTCTAGTGCCTTGTAAGGGACTTGACCAGGTAGAAATGTACAGCTCAGAAGCTTAGAAGTTCCGCGGCATATTTCTTCCCTAACACAAAATGTCTGATGCAACGAATCTACGGTCCTCACGAGGCTGGAATTTTATGTTATAATGTCTAGGTCATTGTTAAGGGTCAGCTTCGAGACATGTTGCACAGCTAGCACACAAACGTATGGGTCCTCAGGATCCTGCACATTTGCTTGGTATATTGAAAGTGATAGTTCTGCATCTAAATGCTTTGGGATCGTCTCGCCACCATTCTTCTCAAATGGGTTACGGTGCGGTCAAAAGTGGATACATCTGCACGTGGGCTGCGGGATTGGTCATTGAACTCGGCTGATTCAGCCTTGTAGTCCACCGTTGTTTAGACCTGCCAATCTACATGTAATCCATTCATTTTCCCCTACAAGTATAAATTGAGTAATGGAGATCCTCAATTGGGTTTCATCATCCATTATTCTCACTTATATCTTAGACGGCCAGATTTGACAGCATTCCTAGCAGAGTCATAACATTTCAGCTGGAGTCTCTTACACTTTCTCTGCAGTCCAACATCCGAAATGTCAGCTTCTGAGATTATTTTCCCAACATTCAAAAAAGACAAAAAAACACAGGTTGAAATCAAAAACACTATTCCATCCATTATCAAGTTCTTCAGCAGCGTTGACGGCCTTGAGCATGCGTACAAGGGAATAATCATGGATGAAAATCATGCATCTATCACAAATGACCCTGGAATAGGGATTTTTGTCCTTGGTTCGGAGTCCTACTGAAAAGATTTTTGAGTGAATACTTATCTTGCATTCAGAGTGGGAAAATATCAAAGCTTTCCACGATTTTTATCCCCAGTCTGATCAATATCGAGACTTTTCTACGCTTGTTGGGCCTTTACTGGCGGCAAAGCCTGTTCCTCGGCTCTACGAACCTATTGATGGGACTCTGACGGCATGTTTAAATGCACCTATCACACAAATATTTGTTTTGCAGGCAAGTGCATCGCTTAACAGATGGAGGGATCTCGTAAGCTCGATCAAAAAGCAAGCACATAGCCGACCGAGCTTTTATCACGCAATGGGCATTGAACAGGATGTGGGCACCTTTATCAGCATGATTGGATGGAGTAGCGTGCAGGTATGTTTGAGAAAAGCAAGACGCCTGCATGGGCTGATAGCAAACAACAGGAATATGAGCTATTTGGTCGCGAAGCAAACATACAAGAATTTAAGAAGGAAATCGGCCATGCTTCAACGAGTATTGTAGTGCGATTCGAGCCACTAAAAGTCTGATTAACAAGCGCGCTATCACATGTAGAAAGAATGCTCTTGTCCAATCATTTGGTTTAGTTAAATACAAATTCTCCTCTTGGCCTGCGCTGGTCGTAATGTGAATCATGATTCAACGCCTCCATCACAGGCTGATATTCGAGTGTCCATATGCTTTATGTACAAGTTCACAATGAACCTTTTCACTTTAAACTATTGCGAAGATATCTAGTTTGCTTTTTTTTTTTTTTTTTTTTTTCAAAACGTTCTCACTTTTCCTCCCAGAGAATCCTTCCCAAGAGTAGTGAATAGATACACAATTCAATTCACAGAACCTGCTCATTTTAATCGTTTCGCCTCTAAAATTTTCTGTTAGTTAGGTAAGAAAATCATATCCTTAATCTCTGTGCACGATCCAAAGAGGGCAAAACTGAATTCAATTAAGGGTACTATAATAAAGCACATTTGAAGGTCGTTCAGCAACCATGGTGGTTTAAAGATGTCTAACCTGAGCAGACGTATTTGTGCTACTGTACATTTAATCGTTCCCCGCGATTCTCACATAAAGAGCTGGCAACTTTGACAACTCTGAGATCCTGCTCTCAATATGGCTAGTGCTGACCGTGAGCAAGCATGCTGCTTAATAATTATGCGGAGGCGAATAAACTTAACTTCAGGAGAAATGCTCCGCGAGCTGTGGGATGCCCTTATTGAAGTCAATTCGAAGGGAAAACATGGTACTCTCAGAGATCGTTCGATTTGTGCTGCCCCGATCGCAGAGCGCGAGAAGCAGCTTTCACGACCTTCGTGCCAAACTCGACCATGCTGGCGTAGTAAAGAACCAGTATTTCGGATACGTCCTTCAGAAAGAAGGGTATCCAGTGCCAAAGCAAGAAAATCTCATGTGCTGGTACATTGGTCTGTGTTTTTATTCATATCCTTCACGACCACTACTGCTTACATGCTATCAGAATGGCCCGATCGAAATCGTCGAGAATGGAGCCCGGAAATGACAAAGTCTCTGTCCAGTTTAGCTGGTGGCACACCGAATACATCTCTATGCGAATTTGTAGAGACCAAAGCCGGTGGGATCCGTGAAGCCCTAGAATCCAACGTCTGTCAATTTGTAAGTACCGACATAAGAGCTTCAGATTCACGATTGAGAAAAGGCCCTTCTCATGAGGAATTATGTCAGGCAGTAATAAAACTGGGCCCTTCGGCCCCCCGAAGTAGTCCAAATCTGGAACGATCGATGCACAAGACCTTTACGGACTGCTATCTAGCTGAAGGTTTTGTCAACGGTGGCTGGGGATATGTTTGTACTACCAACGATGCAGATGGCACCCCGTTGAGAGAAGAAGCCGAGATCCTGGAGGAGAAAGATCGACACTTAGCGTTCTATGTTCTGGGCTGGGATAGTTTAGAGGTAAGCATGAAGAGGACATCGATACATCAAGCTGACGTTTTCAAGTCGCATCACGCTTATTCTAGGACACAATTGTACGACGAAGAAATAGATAAACTAAGTCCATATTTCGCACAGGGAACTGGAGCTTGGTATGTGACCTTGCGTAGGCACGAACCAAATCCTGTTTCTTAAAAACTGGTGTCGGATGCAGTAAGAAAGCAGCATGGTTTTTTTTTCTTCTTTTCTAAATTCATCTACCCAGACATCCATGTGACTTTGAAGTGTAGCAGAAAATGAGAACTAATGTTGCCAATTTCCGAAGGGCCCATCGATTAGCACGATAGCAATCCCATGTTCCAACCGACTGTTGAGATCTGTCAACAAGAGCAAAATCGAGTTTACGGTGGTTGTGAGGGATCTTGTGAGGTATGGTGGATTCGCGAGTATCATCATGAAGATACAGCGGATGAAGCTTCTTTTAAAGCTGCTATGAGCTCTGCAAAGCCCTTCAGAATCTCCGGCTTCTTCTCGGTACTCCAAGCCTTCTTGCTCTCTTCTCCAAGCTCACCAGCCATAGCTTTTTGAACGTCCGGTCCAGACTGTCCGCCGATAAACTTTAGCTGCGGTCTGGTGTCTACTGGTCTCGTCTTCATTCCCGTGAGGACATCTTTCAGCTGATTGCTTGCATGCACACCTCCCATTATGCCATATGTTACGATAAGGATAGGCTTTCCAATCCAGGCGTGATATAGGTAGTCGATAGCGTTCTTAGTGGAGCCAGACATGCCGAAATTGTATTCGTTCGCGAGGAGCACGTAACCGTCGTACTTGGCTATCTCGTCTGACCAAGCTTTGGCGTGGGCGGTAGTCCATTGTGCCATGGCGGGAACCATTGCTGGAATCACCGTTTCGTCAAACACTGGCAAGTTGAAGGCAGCTACGTCGACCATGGTTATTTCAGCGTCGCTTCCGACATCTTCTAGGATTGAGTTGAGCCACTTTCCAACCTCGAGGCCGACGCGACCTTTGCGTGTGCTGGAAATGATCAGTGCAATCTTGGACATTCCGATGAATAAGAAAACGAAAATGAGATATTCTGCCTCTAATCAAAAGTTTTATGTCTATGGACTTCAGAGATATGGTCCATTCAAATTTATAAAAGAAATAAACACGGCCTCTTTGTTGCAGTATATTTACCGAGCCTCGTGCCATCAGCCAAAACCCTCTCCTTTAGCAGCTTGGTAATCAGAATCGGGTCTCTTCTCCATCGGAAAGTAACACTTCCGTTCTAAAATCCACGAAGGCTGATCTAAATGCTCCTTTGGGTGAAGCCAGTTGCGTTCGGAGAGACAGAAGTTGGAGGTTTTGTCAGCCGGGCGGGAGCTGATTGGCCAGCGGAATGGAATGCTCCGCCTCCCTTTGCTGCACGACGATCGACGTTGGCTCTTCCTAAGCGAACCCTTGAATACAACAGCGATCTATGGAACAATACCAATCCATGGTTGGGGTTGCATTCTGGTGTGAAAATTGAATATTCACTCTGAAACAGGTACATTTCATGTTCAGCAGATTCCACAAATCGTGCGAATGATGCAGTGTAAGAGAACTTTTTGCGACATCGAGCAAGAGCTTTCACAACATACCTTTTCGCCTACGGAAGCTCCAAACTAAAAAGCGTACTTGTAATTCCATCCCAAACACAAATCAGGGCAAATGGCCAAGTCAACATGCTGTTATACATTTGAAACACTAACCCTTCTAGCGGATATAGACGCTTCTGTCACTGATGTCCTTTCATGTAGAAGTTCCAAATATGCGTTGTGGATGAATCTTACTTCGAATCTTCGTCTCTACGCGAGCGATGTCCTCCTCTACCGCTTCTTGAACCTCTTCCCCTGGCTAGGCTGACTTCCATAATCTCTTCTCTTTCCACTACTCTTGTCTTTACTCATGCTCGCTCCCAACGTGATGTCCACTCTCGGCGGTGTGCTGAATCCAAAGCTTTTCGCCAATTTGACCAAGTCGAGCTTCTGGATGTCAAACACACTTCTCAGAGAATGTGACGCGTAAGCGTTAAGATACGAGCGGTACCCTTCCTTAGCCGATTTGTTAAGATAGTAGTTGCTGTTTATCAATTTCTCGAGCTGAGATTGGATATTGAGTATTTTCTTGGGTGGAAGATCAAATTCGACAAGGGGCACTGGCAGTTATATTAGCATTATTCCCGAATCTAGCAGCTTTTAACAATGAACTTTTCGTCTTCGTACCTCTTGCCTCTTTCAAGTGCTTCAAGAAGCCCACTTCGCTAGGCTGTAAGAATATCAGGCTCTTGCCTTTGCCGCTCACACCTCTCGCCGTCCGACCAACACGATGAATGTAGTCCCTAGGATCATCAGGAGGGTCAACTTGCAAGATCCAGTCCACAGCGGGAATATCGAGACCTCTGGCAGCGACGTCAGTACAGATCAAGGTTCCGTGGGTAGCGTTGCAGAATTCGAAGAAAGTATTCGTGCGCTTTTGCTGCTTCTGTTTTCCATGGAGGGATAGCACAGGCAGGTCAATGTAGTTGAGCAGGTCTGCGTAGTAGTCGACAGTAGCACAAGATGAAAGGAAGACAATTATCTGCAGTGGGTCAGCTGTGTATTTGTGATTGAGCGAACGAATGAGCGTACTTTCTTCTTCTGCATCTTGCGCAAGAAGGTAAAGAGCGTCCGGAAGCGTAGGTCACTATCCACAATCACATAACCCTGCTCCAGCCTCTCGACAGTGCTATGCTCCTTGCGGTAATCGACGTCGATATACATCGGTCCCGGTCTCAGCGATACCCTCGCTAGGTCCTCAACCTTCGTAGTCTGTGTCGCGCTGAACAAACTGGTCTGTCTCTCCTCTTTGGGTAGAATCTTCACAATCTGCCTCATTTCATCTTCAAAACCCACTTCTAAGATACGGTCTGCCTCATCGATGACCAGAGTCCTGAGGTTCTTGTACACGAAACCTTGTGTGTTCTGCAAATGATCTAATAATCGCCCAGGTGTTGCGATGAGCAGGTTGACGCCTTTGACGAGCTTTGCGGCCTCAGCAGATCGATTCGCTCCGCCCATGACGATGCCAAAAGTCTGCGTGTGATGTTCCATCAACTCCCTCGCCACGCCAAATATTTGCAAGGCGAGTTCTCGTGTAGGACTGACTATGATGACACCGGTGCCATTTCGAGGCTTGAATTTAAGGGAATGAAGCATCTCGACGGCCGGAATGAGGAAAGCAAGAGTTTTGCCGGAGCCGGTCTTCGCGGCACCAAGTACATCACGACCTGCGAGCAATGGCGGTATAGCTCTTCGTTGAATTTCAGTCATGTCCGTGAAACCCATGCCTTCAATCGCTTTCATGGTCTTCTCAGACAGCGCCATGTCCTTAAACTTCGTCGGGCCACCGTTCATGTTGGGCAGCGTGACTGCGTTCGTGGAAGGCAGGTCGTCTGTAGGCTTGACCGGCTCTGCGATTTCTTCTTTCTGTTCCGCTTTCTGCTCTTCCGCTCCCTCCTGTTCCGTACCAGCCATCTCCGTGTCCTCATGTACTTTCTCAGAGTCGCTGCTTTCTTGTGCATCATTCGCATCGTCCTCGCTCACGACCTTGTGCTTAGAAGATTCCTCACTTTCATCGGCACTACCGGGCGTTGACTCTGTGCTCGTGGACTCTTCAGCCGGCTCCGGCCCAAGTGCTCCGCTCATCATGTACTGGTCCTCCTTTCTCCTCTTTTTGCCAACATGCTCATCGGTGCTCGGTTGCGGCAGTTTTCCAATGGGCGCAGGATACCCATTGACGTAAGCCTTGTGCTTTCTCTTGCGCTTTTTGGAATGCAATTGGTGGCTCTGTACAGGCGCCATAGCCATGGTCAAGCGAAGAGTCTTCCTCGCGAGTCTATGAGGGGCAGACAAAGGTTGCGAAACTCTCGCGACAAGCAGTCTGCTGGCGGAGATGCTGGTGCACAAAGTCGGTCCCCACTTAATCTTTTTTTTTCTCTGCGGTGAAGTTTGCCCGCGCCCAAGTTCCAGGGTTCTCACGGAGCCTAACCCAATTTGGTGTCCGCGCTTCGGACAAGCCCTTGCAACGCGACCATGCCTCAAACGTGGGATGGTGATACGATTGATGTACCCGAGTCCGAGGGAGACCGTTTGAGAACTAGACACGTTTTATGGCAAAGGCAATCTGCCCAGTCGGGTGATTCTCCATTTCTACGCAGGATGAAGACGCCCACATCAACCACGCGACATGGAGCGAACCGTGGTAACTGTGTCGGACGTAACCTTCTCTTATAATGGAGTAGATTTATCTCTAAAAGATTTGAACCTTGGCCTGCTTGGTCTTTTCGGTGTTACGTTGTGGTGGTGGCTGTGGACGATGAGAGACGCTCGTGATAGCACTCGGACAGCAGACCTTCTCGTCTTAATCGGACTGATCGCATGGCATTGGTACCTGCGACACCATCATTACCTTCTGCTCAAGACCTTGGCTTGCATGGCCGTCTTAAAACTATGCCACAATTATGTCAAAAATACCTCTGATCCCCCACCGAAAGGCGAAGCACCTTTGATCATCCCGAGCTGGACAAGCCATACGAGGTTCTTTCCGCAGAAGCATTCTTTCGGTTACTCAATTCTGCAAGTCGCTTTACCCGTTGGCTCCGAGGGCCGATTTGGTCAACTCCTTTCAGTCGGTAATGTACAAAAGAAGGGATGGTATCACGTCCAAGCTTCAGACTACCTCCATCGGACCTCAGATGACCAAACACTGTACGGGAAACTTAAGGCATATCTACAGTCCCATGATGTCGAAGATTCAGAATGGGATCACGCTTATTTGATCACGGCACCCCGGTTCATGGGCTATTCGTTCAATCCTGTCAGCTTTTGGTACATCTATACTGCGGACAACGTTCTCACCATGATGATTCTTGAGGTGAATAATACATTTGGCGAACGCCGCATGTATCTGCTTCACGCAAAAGATTCGGGAGAGCAGAACGAAGACAGTGATGTTAACAACCTCACCACATCAACCGACGACTCCTTCCATCACCCTCCATGTTTGAGTAAGTCAGACGGGAAATTCAGAAACTCGTGGGCGAAGGACTTTCATGTCTCGCCGTTCAGTTCGAGGAAAGGCTGCTACATGCTCACAGCGAATGATCCATTTCACCGTGAAAAGGAGGGAGAATCAATAGATTTGAACAATACGATCACTCTCAAATCGTCAAAAGACCATGTTAAGCTCGTGGCGAGGATAGTTTCGGTCGGTCATTCAATCAACCCTCTGACAAGCACCTGGTACGAAACTATCAGGTTTGTCATGTCCTGGTTCTTGGTCGGATTCTTGACCTTCCCGCGCATTTTGAAAGAGGCCGCAGTATTATTCTGGGCGAAAGGACTGCATGTATGGTACAGGCCCGAGGTTCTGCCATCAAGCATTGGCCGTGAAGAAGAACCCATTGAAGCGTAAGTTTCCCAAATTCTTTCATTTTAGCCATTGATAACCAACCAAATCTCAGAGGACTGGCCCCATTTTTCGAGACCTATCTCAAACATATAGTTGCACAACACACGAAGCCGATAAATGTCATCTACACGTCGAATATACGTGGGAAATCACCATGTACATACTCCAACGTCCACGTAGACGAGCAGTCTCAAGCATCCTCCTCCAAGCTTGAGCTCCGCGTCCTTAGCCCAGCCTTTTTTGCACGTTTTATGCACTACGCGCATTCAACTGAGGCTTTCGACCGCGAATGCGTATTTACCGATGAAAAGAATCGCACGATATGGGTTTCACGACCCGAACTGTTATACGACTTGTTAAAGCAGGATCCATGCTCCTCACGCGCAAGGACCGAGTCTTTAAATCCCGTGCAGAGATTCAAGTGGAATATACACGTAATGCTACGGTGTGCTCCTGCAGATCCAGCGTACCCATTCTCTGGAGCAGCGACGCAGAAAAGAGAAGACATTAGAAAGAAAACCTTGTCACCTTTGGATCATTATGTGCTTACATATATGAGAGCTGATGCTTCCAGCTACAGAAGATTGTGTGCAAGATTGTTTCTAGCACAGAGAGTAGCATTTGGATTCGTGCAGGTTGTTGACCTGGTAGATGTCGCCGTAAGGGCAATGTTGATTTGGAAGGGTGTCTCCAACCTGAGTTGGACTGCTGGCTGGATTACGAGCTACGCTTGGCTAATGAGCGTACATTTGTGGGCGTTTATGAAATAGCAGATGAGCTACTTGCAACATGTGCCGTCTAGATCTATAGAGAAGACCGTAACTGTGACAATATTGAATATTGGCACTTCCTCACGGTTAACTTTCCAGGATGATATCGATGTTGACACGCTATGGCTCTAAATTTAACAACCCCATGAAGCCGTAGGCGTTTCTTCAGAATTAAGAGGTCGACTGATAACAACGTTCGCAAGGAGAATATTTTGTAGTGCCGAGCGATTCTGCGAGTGAGAGCAGTGCCGAAGAATCTGGTCAAAACCAGACAACGTCTGGGTGAAATTATTTCCATGTTACCATGGTTCACGGAAAGGGAACAGCGGAGTCACGGCAAGCAAATCATGAGAAAGAATCAGATATCGATAACGAATAGACAATCAGAGTTCTTTGGAAGCGGCAAACATAGCAAGGCAAGAAATCGCTGATGCTAAAATCTTCTTTTCCGATAAATTCATACTTGAGTTAGTCTAGAAATAAGGCTGCAGTCAAATTTCAAGGATGATTTCTCTAAACTTACACTGTCTACTCTGTGTATCTGGCTGAACTTTTCTTTTTCTCGGCCATTTGTTCGGACGATGAGGGAAAAGCCCTTCCACTGATATTGTAAGTATGCACGCCCATCAATGTCTTCTCCGTGAGCATATCGCTCACGTGCTGTGCTAGTCACACATCTGCTTCAAATGCCCAATGATAATGGAAAGCATTTGTCTGCGATGCTTGAGAGCCTGGTCCTCGTCAGGACGGCCGCATGTCGTTGGAATCGATAAGAGATCCTGCGCCAAGTGTGCTTATGGTCAGTAGACCCTTGTTTGTCGAGCTTCTCCGGTGATCTCATGCATCGCAGACTTGGAGAATAAAGCGCGGCTCGCGCTCGACGGCCTTCTCGATGCCAATCCATCATCCATTGTTATGGCCAAATTCCCAGAAGTCCAAGGCGGTGGCTCGCTGATTCTCGCTTGGCAAGTACGGAACAAACATGTTTTGGTTATAGGCGGCGGCGAGGTACCCACTGCGTCCAATTTTTTTTTTCCCGCGCCAAACGGCTGCTTACACTGTAGGGAATGAATAGGTCGCTGCCGGTCGCATTCTCAACGTCCTCAATGCAGACGCCCGTGTGACGGTTATATGCCCGTCATCAGGCCTTAACCCGGAGGTTGCCTACCGTATATCCCAAAACCAGATCACACACATCGACCGCACCTTCGAGCCCTCAGATCTCGATGGCGACGTGTCGATGGTGCTATGCGCCGTCGACGACCCCGCAGCTTCATCGGAAATTTATCAGCTATGCAAGCAGCGCCGCATACCTGCAAACATTGCCGACGTGCCTCCCGAATGCGATTTCTACTTCGGAAGCGTGCACAGAGACGGCCCGTTGCAGATCATGATCAGCACGAATGGCAATGGCCCCAAATTGGCGAACATAGTGCGTAGACGGATTGCTAGCATGCTCCCGAAAAACGCTGGCGACGCTGTAACGAAGGTTGGTCAGCTAAGGCGGAAGCTGAGGAAGCTTGCGCCTGAGCCTGAAGAAGGCCCGAAGAGGATGCAGTGGATGTCGAAGGTATGCGAGAAGTGGAGTTTGGATGACTTGTGCGCTATGACGGACGATGATATGGAAAAGCTGCTTGAGTATTACAAGCCAGGAACGGTACCCAGACTGGATCAATTGAGGATAGATGAGGAGTCCGTGGTGTACACGTTTGATGGCTCCTTCGGATGGTCAGTCTAGCTTCGTGGCTGATCATGCTACTGGGCTACGAATATAGATGAAGAATGAGACGCTGCGCCGTGTTAGATATAAACTATCGTATACGCTACTGATGCTCTTGAGATCTATGCAAGGTTTGCTTCATCTATGCTCGGAACGATCAGGCAGCCGGCGTGTCCCTGAGGCTCATGGTCGTAGTATCTAATCACGACCTTGGTTTGATCTCCGAAGTCTGCATGCAATTTGGCATCCTGAACTCAGTGAACTCAGCGTGCAAAATTGATGCCTCGAAGCACGTGATCTTTACCTTGAACGATCAACTTCATAGCTTGGAAGAGCCTTCCGCATGCATACTATACATTTTGCTACAGAGATATTTTCTAAGATGAGGCTGCGTCAACAATAGGCGCCTGCTCTTTGGCCATGATAAAGACTGCATCCCGCTCGCGCATAGACGATGTCGTCGTCGAAGACCTCTGCGGCCTTTAAGGCTCCAAAGTACGATCAACCGATCAACTTCCAGGACCTCGCACGGGTTAATAAAAGCTTTCGCGACTGTCTTGCAAGCAACCATGGCGTACTCAACTTCAAGAATGCGGAACACCTCCGGTATGTACCATGCGACTCATCGGTTTGCTCTCCGAGGTTTCATGATTTTATGCGACGCACCGCCGTCCAAACGAAGGCCCTTCCTGATCGAAAAAAATAAAGAATAAGAAGGAGAAAAGAATTAAACTAATTAGATTCGTTTAGATGTTTAACGAAAGCTCTTCTACTTCGTGACTTCAAGCTGCAGTTGTATCTACCGGAGAACAGACTTTGCCCGCCTGTGCCCATCCGTTGGCTGTACGTGCAATGGGTGCAGTCATTGCTTGACAGTACAGCTCCCAATGCTGTGCCTTCTGCCGGAATCGTTGGTCTCGACATCGGGGTTGGAGCCTCATGCATATATCCCCTCCTTGCATGCGCCTCGAGTCCGAAGTGGTGCATGTACGGAACCGAAATTGACGACACAAACTATCAGCATGCCATTCACAACGTGTCCGCCAACTTGCTTGACTCTAGAATCAATTTGCTGAAAACGGATCCTCAAGGCCCGTTGATTCCGCTTGATGTACTCGGTGTTGAGATGCTAGATTTCACAATGTGCAACCCGCCTTTCTTTGCGACAAGGGAAGAAGCGGACAGTACTTTCTTGAAGGGGCAACAGCCATACGCAGCTTGCACGGGGGCCGATGTGGAAATGATAACGGAGGGTGGGGAGGTAGCGTATGTGAAGCGTATCATAGCCGAATCTGTTCAGCTTAAGGATAAAGTGCGATGGTATACCGTGCAGCTTGGAAAGCTGAGTTCGCTCCAGACTCTGGTTCCGGAATTGAAGAAATCCGGATGCCACAATTGGGCCGTCAGCGTGCTGCAACCTTCTGGCCACACGGTGCGGTGGGTTCTTGGGTGGAGTTGGATGTCCTGGCGCGCTCCTGATCATGTGGGTCGACATAAGAGCCTGGTTGGCACGCACTTGCAAATGGAGCCAAATGAGCTCGTCGTCTGCGATGCGCTGGATAAAGACGCTTTTTCGGTCATAATGGAATTGCTTAAAGGCCTTCCCCTGAGCGTTGCGATCATCAAGGACTTCGACGACAAAAACGCTTCTAATACACGGGCGATCAGGATATGCACCAACTCATCAGTCTGGTCTCGAAGTGAGCGAAGAAAAAGGCAGCGTGCCAAGCAGCTGGCGAAAGAAGATGAAGATGCCGCTCTCGAGAATGATGTCATACAGAGAGAAGAATTTACGACTTGGATTACCATCGAGATCAAAAAAGCTTTCGATAACGTTTCTGGAACAGCAAGCTCGGCAGTCAAAGCACGTTGGCTCAAAGGAGATGATCGTTCAATGTTTGAATCATTTTGTGGCATGTTGAAAACAAGAATCAGTTCGAAGTGAATTTAACGGTACAAGTTCATTTTTCAATTGCGGCAGCAAACGCTGTCACTGGCGTCAAACCATCCTGATATTGCCGGAACAACTGCATCCAGGGCTAATTTGTTCATAATACAGGTCTCATGACTTCCTCCAGCCAATTGATGCATCTATCTATCATCTGCTCTTGATCCTGTTCACTTGTCGTTTCAACTGGCCCAAGATGCCTCTGAACAAGTTCTCGGAACTTCTTCCACTTCATGTGCCTCTGGTTGCCTACGTATCGACTTTCTTCCTTCCAGTTCGCTACGCCCTCTCTGTTTAACATTTCACACAAATTTACGCGGCCATTCTTACCAAGAAAGCAATCCAACAGATCGCCGTTTATGCCGTATTGATCTCTCCTTTTCCGCTCACCGACGGCACCTGGTACAAATTCTGGGTCGATAATAACATTTTGCATAGGCCAAGCCAGCACTGCCTCATCGCTGTCAGCGGTATGCATATCTGTATCTCGGGGTCCGATAGACTGTTGCTCAAGGTGAAGAATGTTAATTTGATTCTCCACTTCGTTCCATCGTACGAGGTTCTCCAAAAATTTGAAGAGTAAACGCGCCTCGTCTGTCAAGATGGTGAAATGGTAAACTGTGCCGTCTGCTGTTGCACCAATGATATCATCTCTGAGCACACCCTGTACTGCAGTGTCGCGATTATACCACGGCGCTCGAACATTAGCCGATGTGAATTTGACAACACATTGAGGCACCGAAAGCTCGAATATGGTCGATGCGGCTCTCCTCCAGGTCCGCGATTTCGGAATTTCAAGTGCATAGATTTGACCGTCTTTATCAGAGCCAAGGAGAATACTCAACACTTTATCATCTTTTTCTCTTTGACTTTGACTGGTGGTGGGGAAAGATGCTGTTGGCTCCACTGATCTCCACTGAATATCCAGTACGGTATGTGTAATACCTTGACGGGACACATCATCAGTGAGCAACTCAACGAGTTCGAATTTCTCTTCACCCTGCACTTCCTTGGCCTCGTATGCAAATGCAATTGTCGAATTGATCGACGTTGTGACAAAGATATGAAGACCTACGACAGTGATGTGAACAGCTGTACTTCGGAGTTCTTTCTTGCAGACACGAGACCACCTTCATTCGTTGTTAGTCACAGATTCCTTTATCCGTTTGTACGATCTACTGACTTGTTTGTTGTAGATAGTGTATACACAGAAAGTATGTGATCATGTGCAACGATGACCTTGGTCTCATCCAAGTTAGCAAGAGCCCGTACAGGCTGATCAATTTCCTTTATGCCTTTCAACTCCAATTTGACTGTCCCGTTACTGCTTTTACGTGCAGCGAAGAACCAGAGTCTACCGGTCTTATCTCGCTTATGTCCATCATTAAGAATTATTGGTTTGCCTTTTTTAATGCTCGTGCCGGCTAACAGGTACTCGTACGTTTTACCATCACGCTTGAAAACCCATTCACAGGCACTAAGTATCCGCTCAGACGGAGCGAAGTCTACCTGTGTCATCTTCTCATTCCATAGCTCCTCTTGAGGAGTTACATTCTCATTACTGTGGGACGGTATAATGCTAAGAAAGCCTCGGGTGACGCGCTTCCCTTGCCATGATGGCTCTGGAACTTTGGCATGTGGTCGATGTTCATATTTTACGCCAGCAACAATGTTTGCTTTTAATTTTTTCGAGTAGAATAGCTTTGTCGGAGTTCCAGATATGTCGTGGGGTGGCATGTCGGGAATGGAGCTTGGCATATACTTTCTCAGGGGCAGCCGTCGAGGTAAAGTCCTGCGCTCGAACAACAGCCTCGCGAAGATCAAATTCTGGCCATCGTGACACGCTATTGTAATCTCGAATCCAGGATTATTGGTGGTCTCGTTAATTGGTAAAGTCACGATGGCGGCGAGAGCCTTTTGCTGGAATGAGGTGTCATTTTCATCCGTGAAGATTATACTTGTAAACAGCATAACAGGGCTCGAAATTTCCTTATGAGTAATGGAAATTACCTCCTCGTCGCAGATAACGAACGCACGATCAAGTGAGCTGGTATCTGAACTGACAACAACCGGTCCATGGCCAATGCGATAGCTTTCGCGCTCTCCAAATCGAGGTATTCCCGCAGAAGTGTTCAAATGAACACAAATCAACTGACCATCTCGTGTGCCGCACGCCACAGTTTTCTCAAGTTGAGGCTGTATGCCATTGTCATATCTCTTCAGCAGAACTTGCATGCTTTGTACGACAAGATCGTGAACGTCGACGACCATGCTGCTTTGCTCTCGTGGGGTGTTACATGGTCTTCCGTCCTCGCTTAGTTGCAATATCATTAACTTAGGTTCTCGAGTCGCGATGATGGCGTACAGGTCTACGCCGTGTTGAAACATTGTTAACGCTGTGATTTCACTGCTAGTAATTGCCACCTCTCCATGAAGAGCGAGATGGCATGATTCTTGTCCTACCTCAAAGACTTCCAGGTGGGAAGACCAGGAGTGCTGCCTCGAAGCCACGACAAGAAAATTCCCGTAACAAACAGCTGCTGTAATATGACTGCTAGAAGTGTAGTGTTTAAAATTCGGTTCCAAATCCATCTCTTCATCCTTGGTAAGTCTTTGCAAAGTAATATTTGTCTCGGTAACCAGTACAATAGTCCCATTGAGAGTGATGGCAGCAAAGACTGTGTTTCGATCATTTTCAAGCGTAATCGTACTTTCCTCAAGCTGTCCATCAGTGGATAAGCAGACGGCTGTAGTTCGGTCCGGATATGAGGTGACTAAGTGAACGAGCTCTCCCGCTGGATCCTGGAGCACCCATAGACCATTTGCCCCGACAAATGATTCATCCAGCTGCGTCAGATCAGCAATAGATGAGATTCGTGCCTCGTTTCCAATTCTTAACTCGCTGAGGGCGCCAAAGGGTTGACGTCCTGTCGTTGCCAAAATTGCAGACCTGCCAAATCCCTTATTTCCTTCATCAACATGGAGATCCATAATCGGCGCCCAGTCCGGGAGGGTGGCCTGTTTAACGAGTTCCATCTGTTCATGCCTCGTCATCGACTCAGCATTTTTATTTCTCACCAAGTTCAAACCCATCGACGCGAATTCGCCGGGACTCATGTCACCTGTTGCGATCACATAGTCTGGCGTGTTTCGCCTCGGGTTGAAGCTCGCGAATGCAGAGCCAACATGACAACCCAGCTCACCCGAATTACCGACCACGCCGTAGGGACCTGTGCGACCCTGGGTCCGTTCATAGTGTCGGATCGCGCCGTCCTCACGGATTAGAAAGAAGAATTCTCCCTTGTGTGATGGTGCTCTGCTTGGGCGGGACCATGCTGTAAAGTGGGGTCGCCGTTTCGAGTTGGCAGGGTGAGCCGGTTCAGATTCCCAGTTCGACTTTTTGTTGATAATGTTCATCACACGGGGAGAACCGGATAATATGTCTATGAACAGGTTGATTGTTGAGCCGTGCACGAGAAGGAATTCTGGCGTGTGTGCCATAGGAATGATCATGTTGCACAAAGAACCTTGGTACCAACATTAAAAAGCGGAAAATAATGTCTGAAGCAAGTCACCTACCTGGTTCTAGGTATAAGGGCTTGGACTCGACAACAGCCCGGTAACGTGGTCCGTCATGATGATTCCAGGTGAAGCATGACAGAGCATGTCTTCTGCCGACAGCTGAAACAATGATCATGACCACGTCATTCGAAGTCTCGCCGGGGTTCAGAAACTCGACAGCAATAATGCAGCCAGGTATTTTGAAAATTCTTTCCTGGCGAATTGGATTCCACTCATCCTTGTTCGACGCTATCCGTGCCGCCAAATCTCGACTGCTATAATTATTGTACACGACCACATGGTCAAATGGGGCAACAACGGCAAATGCCCGTGAGAATGGGTCTACCGCTATTTTGAAGCCCGGTGATGATGCATGGTACTCTGGGAGAGGCAATGGTATCAATTTTGATTTGAAGTTGATATATTCCCCTTCGGTAGTCGAATCAAGATCCGGTGTAAGAAGTTGCAGAAAGCCCGAGCTGAGTGCCACCACTAGTACCTGTATGGGGAATTCCGGATGCTCCTGTTCAGGCACGCCAGAGTGGAACATAAGGTCGACAATGCCAGGCATAGGGCTTCCCTCACGCCACAGTTGGGATACGCGGGGTCGGCCAAGCAGAGCCACAGACCTGATGTGATCGTTGATGTACGGTATCGTCTTGCGATGTCTAAGGCAGTAGTCAACCTTGGCGTCAGGAATGACTTCTTTGATATGTATGTAGTTCTCGCCAACGAATAACAGCTGCATGTTGGCACCATGCAGAAAACGCGCGGGTATTATCCACTTGATCATGGAACTAGGTATCAATGTGCGACTGAGGATACCAATTCCGGGTGGCGCTCGTTGCCTTTGCACGCTGTTGTCGTCAGGGGAATTCAGTCGGCGCTCTCGTTCCAGGAGCTGCTCGATAGACAGTCTTGTGGTCCCATGACCATTGGCCAACTCGAACGCCATAGTTGCTTCTCGATCAGAAGGACACTTCCAGGGTGGCTCGGTTTCCAATCGATTGAAGCTATGGATTGAAAATTTTTGGAGTTATCCAGACAACAGCAAAAGCAGGCTTGGGGAGGAAATCCGCGGGTCTAGCGAGACAAGAAAGGACTGTTCGCGCGAATGCTGGAAAGAGAAGATCGCTGTGTCTTGGAATTTACATTGGGCAGACAAGTCCCAAGCATCACTAGCAAGTAGCCGATCCGGTCTGATTGGCACATACCTTCATACCGAAAACGTTGATGTTCGCAATAGCTTCATGAATGTGATCGAAAAACAGTGCGGGTCTGGGCACCTAGCAAAAGTGCTGTCATTCATGCAGCAAAACAGCCGATTCATCAAGACCGCAAATGGCATCTAGCACGAGTTCTTTACAGGCGAGAATCAAGCACACGATCTGTGCAGTGCTTGCATGTGCAAAGACGCCCAAGGGTGTACAGCATGATCCTTTTGAGTCAGTTCTACCAGTGACGGAGAGTGGAGAAACTCCGGATTTATCCTGCGCTCTCTCGGTTGCCTATTGCGTTAGAACACATGAATTCCAAAATGCAGAGACCCCGATAGGACTGTGCAGATTTTTATGGACGTCAAGGATTGCTTGATGATGTGGAATAGAATGGCGTGAGAAATTCATGCTCACATTCTGTAACTGCGTTACCTTCATGGTCACGCTATGCCATATTGGGGCCTCCGCAAGCTGCTGAAACAAAGCACATCACCACGCTCTGTAGCGTGCTGTCGTGAGCTGCACCATGTAGCAATAACATGGCCGCTGACGAAGCTGGCAATGTCTTGTCTTCCGCGACGCTCAAGCCGTCCTTGAATCTGAATCCCATGGATGTGCCTCACAACGAAAGCTCAGAGAACGTAAAGATCAAGGCCAAACGCGAGCGTATTCTCTCAGCCTGTGAGACTAAGAACCTCGACTTGCTCATCGAGCTGGCCTCGGAGGACGGTGGCTTCTTAAGTGACGATATACGGCAGAAGGCTTGTATGTAGCCCGCAGTCTTTCCCCGCCCGTACTATTCCATCAATCACGTCAACCTGCGAGTAGAAGTTCGACAATTGTGCCTCCAACTGCGCGCTTGAGTAGCTCGGTGCACGGCCAAGAAGCTCAACTCACAGACTAACAGTGTCCTGGCAGGGCCAATACTTCTCGGTTCGGATCATGTCTCGACAGCAGCGGAGACAGAAGCGCCGTGGGAAACCCTCCCTCCCCATCGCGACGAGGAACAAGTTCGACTAGATGTTCACAGATCCTTCATATACTATCCTAGTAACGAGACGGACAAACAGCTCGATGCTCGGCGTGTAGATCTCGAGGCTCTCATCGTGTCCACTCTGCGCCGCCATCCCTCGTTATGCTACTTTCAAGGCTACCACGACATCTGCCAGGTGTTTCTCTTAGTGAACGGCCTCCCTTCTTGCTACTCGCTTGTCCGCCGTCTCTCTATGCTGCGCATTCGAGATTTCATGCTGCCCAAGCTTTCGGCCTCGGTATCGCATCTGCGGCTGCTTCCTGCAATTCTATACGCTGCGGATAGGCCAATCTACGCTATCCTGCCCGCGAATCCGTTCTACGGGCTTTCGCACGTCCTGACCCTCTACGCGCATGACATCCATTCATACAGCGATATAGCTCGCTTGTTTGACTTCCTTCTCGCACGCGAAGCGGTGATGAGCATCTATCTATTCGCGGTGATAATAATTTCAAAAAGAGAGATGCTCTTGGAGTACATGGCCGATGAACCCGACGAGAACATTCTAGCGGTGGTGTTACAGAAGTTGCCGCAAGATATTGATATTGAGGGTATGATTTGCCAGGCAATCAAACTTTACGAGCAGTTTCCCCCGGCAAGCCTACCGTTCAAGACGTGGAAGATGGTGTCAGACAACAGCGTGCTGAAAACAACAATAGACCGGAAGGCATTGCGCGACCAGACCTTGCAAGAGGGACAGGTCTGGTTTGACAATCATGCGGAGGAGATCCGCAGAGAGGAATTTAGGGCGAAAGTGGTAATGACCCTAAAGAACAAACTGTCCAAGTACCGGCGGCCGGCTCTATTCACGTTGTCCGTTGCCGTGTGCGCTTTGGCGCTATGGGCCGGTAAGAACAAAAGCTCTCCCTTTGGTGGGCTCGTGAATAGGATGTGGGATGTCTCAACCCTCGGAAAATACATCGACTTTGTTGGTCGATATAGAGAATTGTGACAGAAATGACTGCATCAGGAGGGTGTTTAGAACATTTGTCTTTCGAGAATCATCAGAAGATTCTGAACATAAACATATATAGGCATAGAGATACCAATCAAGCCAGCTAGACGCGGTTTATAACGGTAAATATTAACTGATGAATACTACTGAAAGTACTGTCCAATTTTCTTCCAACATAGCATGGTATTTGCTGGATTTATCAGCAAGGGATTTGTGATACTGTGATTCCATACAAAATACCTTCTCATTTACCATACGCACAGTAAATACTGCTATAGTGGTAAATTCCAATGCAAGTACCTAAATCGACACGTTCTGCGTAAAGTAGTACATGTGGGCAGGCTTCAGAAATGCCCCAGTCCGTTTATTCATTAACGATCCTGTTTGACTGAGAATCAACCTCCGCTCACAATTCACTTCGCCTTCAACGTCCTTACCAAAAACCTGCAAGAATGGCATAGTGGAGCCCAAAACTCGCGGGAGCAGCTCCACCGATGAATGAATCTGCAGAGAGGTATGCTTCTGGAAGGATGGCAAATGTGTGTGAGATCTATGTTCTCCATAAATACATGGCGAACCTACGAGAACGTAGAATTCGGTGATCAAGATTTAAAGTTCATGCTTGAGACACCCAATCAACAGCATCTCGAGGTTTACAGGGAATATCTCCAAGAGAGACATCGTGCGTTTGGAGACCCCTGAATGCGAAAGTCAACTGAGCTCAGTCACTCAGTGTTTCCATGGTCTTGTGATGTAAATCGTGTCAATTTTCGCTCACTGTCGTTCTTAAGCTCTTTAAGCACTTCTTTGTAACATTGCATCAAAGGTGGATAACAGGATTAAGCTTGGAAATTGCTCAAAATCATCAATGACAATAGTTCATTCAGGCCCAAGTCGTCATCTCGGCTGCGCTTGCTACGAGATCATTTACAACTTCAATATTAAAACAACGCTTGCAACGCCTCCTTTCATTCCGTCCGTCCATTACGCGTTATCAATACTTACTCCTCGTGTTTAACCTCCAATGCAGGGTCGTCTAGATGCTTCAACAAAAAACTCCGCTTGAAGTACGTGTTTGGATGTAAAATCGTGTCCAAGTCTGCTTCTTTCCATAGCTTTTCCTCCTTGACTCGCTTCAGCTCTTTCTTATGCACATGCTCAAATACTCTGTTACATGCGACGTGGTACCTTTGTCCGCTGACGAGCTCCTTGACATCCTTGACTACGTCTCTGTCAGAAATCCCCGTGCTCTGTAGAAGTGACACCAGATTATCGGGTGAGAATGTGCGGTAAGGGCACCCATGTTGTTGACCACCCGACGGTAGAGGCTCCGTTAAGAGCTTCTGACACGAGTAAGGTGTGTATCCCCTGCCCCGTCTATTCGCATCTCCGCCAACGTCACCATACGCATGTCTAATGTTATACTTGTACTCCTTGTTGAACTTCTCGTCCGTCATTAGTCGAAAAGAACGTCTCCAGAAGATGATGCAATCTTCGAGGGAGAGTCCGAGGCCCTTAAGGAACAGGGTATATTGCAAACGACCATAGTGCTTTAAATGCGCGTTCGTGCGCAAAGTAGTGTGGAGATTGGACATACAAAGCGGGAAATGTTGCGCTAGCTTGTCAATGTTGGCTGCGTTAGGCTGCATATTGGAGGGTAGGGAGGAGGAGGAATCATAACCTGCATCCGGTGTAGTAAAGGACCTCGAGAGATGCGCTAGAATCGGCGAAAGGCGGTCGTCCTCGTCAAGGCGAGGCAAAGCTCGTGCCGTCATCTCCAAAGCTTGATCAAGTCTCTTCGTGTATTCCGTCACAACTAGGGACATTTGTTCGCGTTGAGGAACGTATGCCAGCCCAGCTTTGAGATACACTTTTCGTTGCTCAACCAGATCTGGAACTTGTTCCCAGTCGATCTTGAACCACTCTGGTTTTTCGTCCTTCCTAAACGGACCGGTAGCATTGATGAGTTTTGTGTAGAGCTCTTCTTTTTCTGAATCGCTGACCGTGTCCCAAGTAAAATCTAGTGAGTTGATGAATGCTCTTCTCTCTGAGGAGTCATCCTGTTTGTAACGGAGTCTGAACAGCATTGTTTCAAGTCGAGAAAAGCGTCTTCGAAGGTCTTCTGTAGCAGAGAATGCGAGACGAAGAATGAAGTGGGAGTAGTGATCTTTCTTGCGCTCCTCCTGGAGATTTGAACTCTGTGAGCTGTTGGAGTGTAGCGGCAGGTGCTTGTCGAGGATGGGTGTCATGTAAGCGAGAGTCTCCTCTGGAGTTTTATTACGAAATGTGCACATCTCTAGTTCCGAGAGCACTTTCAATCGTGATATCGCCCATTCCTCAAATTGTTCGAGCGATATCTCGGCGGTCGGTGGGAGAGTGTAGAAGTTAAGGCGATGCGCGTAGTTCTTCGATTCCCATTCCGGCGCATTTTTGCTGAACTGCTGTTTCCGAGGTTCTAGGCGCCTCTTAGCACCAAATCTCTGCGCGGAAATCATGTTGCTCTGAGATAAGAAAGACTCGAGGCAAAACTGTGGTGTTGAACGCGTCAAAGGCGCGTCGCGACGGATGAAGGTCCGACATCGGCGGAAACCGCGATGATATTATGTAAGCCGCTCACCATCGTCGGTCCTTCAAATCCATGAGGCGTTCCTTATGCTGGATTGCACGTGAACTACGCCGGCTGCGGATCTGATTATGTTGTCTTTCCTGTATGTTCATGCTCATAGAAGACGCTTGTGTCTATATCAATCATAAAATCTGCTTTGGACGTTGTGTCCCCAATCAAGAAGCAAGGGGTTTCGAAAAGTTTTCTGAGGGCCTACGATGATATTTGACGCGTTGAGAGTGATCAGAACTTATCACGTGGTGTGCTCTCAGACTAGGCTTTTGATTGGTATAGGAGAGGCTGTAAATATGCTTCTTGACGTTTTCGCACCTAAAGTGAAAGCTTGTGTAACACCTGGACGAATGCTTCACATATCTCTCCATGTTAAGGCGTCAGCCAGTCTCCATGTCATTCTCAAATTTGGTTTGAAAGTATGAGAAAATTCGTCCTATAAACCGTTGAACTGTCAAGTCTTACCACGGCCGGCCGGATTTCTCTCGTCTTTGCCAATAGGACGAAAGGGAGGGTTGGAAGAAAACTTGACCGTTTTGACTTGGTGGAGAACGAATAAAAGAGCCAATATACATTCGACGCTAAATTATACTTGATTTTGGAATAGAATTCTCGAAGTCAATCATTTTTCTCAATGCACCTCACCCACTCGGTCCAGACTTGCTCCTCTTCTCGTTCTTCTCGTGGCGATTCTCGTGGCGATCGCCTTTTCTTTTCTTCCCGACTCTGGAGGTGCCGCCCATTTCAACGTCGTCATCATCATCTCCTTGGCCTTTCCATACCCTTACCGCGCCGTCTTCGCCACACGTGTACACGACTTTGGCACCGTCAGTGATAAGCACGTCCCTGACAAGCTCTTCTCCGTGACCACCCGACAATCGTATCTTCGACCCCTCAGAGGATTTTGCCTTCCATTTCCGTGTGTCGGTTGGATCCGAAGTTTTGTTCTTGAACCTGATCAGGTCGAGCCATTTTTCCGTGTGGTTGCCAACGGCTAGATATGGTTTCGAGCCTGCCTGGTACATATTTACGACATACTCGCAGCTGAACTGCTCTCTGACATCACCCAGGGAGCATGGTGCTGGGTCCTTTGTGTCTAAGTCAGGATTTTGAAAGGCATAGAAAGCAAGAGTCTCGTCGGTCCCAAGAGTGAATATGTCCCCGTCTATCATCCCAGCATGCTGAAGTGCAGACGCGGATTTGATGACCTGAAATAACGCTTCGTCCTCCTCGATAAATGCAGTATTGAAAATGTTGACCATGCCGTCTGTGCCGGCGGAAAGGAGCAGCGTGTTTGTTTCTCCAACAGCGGGAAGAAACCTGAGCTCTGTGACTGTGTCGTTGTGGCTTTCTTCGTATTTCATTTTGATATTTCCAGGCATGCGCATATCCCAGCCAAATATGCTAACATCTCCAGGCGCATTTCCTTCCAGTTCGGTTCCGGCCACGACTGCTTGCATTTCGGCATTGCAATCAAGTGCTGAGAGAGGCTCACTAGAGGGGACAGACAACTCGACTACCTTATTTCCTGATCTCATGTCCCACCCACGCACGATTCCGTCGCGACCACATGTCATGAAGCTGTTGCATTGGCTACCTGGGTGGGCATATCGTTTGATCGAGGTAATGCTCTTGTGGGCATTCTTGATAACATTCACAGTCTTCAAACGCTCGGGATCCAGACTCCTTATTGAGTCATCCGAACTTATGACGACTAAGTAATCTGATCCGCTCAAAATTGGAAATGATTGCGAGCGGATATCTTGCTGCACGACACTGGAAGTGATGTTATATATGTACGAGTTAGCTGGTAAGCCCAGGACAGACTCGGCATTGGAGTGATACGTCTTCATGTCCGCTATTATGCTCACAAAAGGTACCGCCTTGTATCTTGATCATGAACGGTTGTTGCGATACTAGCGTCCCAAACGACGTGCAAGAAAAATCATGTCTTGTGAAAACCAGCCATTTTCGTAAATGTGGGGCGCGGCGAGTGTGGTACAGGACGTCTTCGCAATCAACCTCAACGCCATTGCACGCAGCTTACATGCCTCCATGAATAGGATTACCGTCATTATCTTTTCAGTCGAGATCAGAATTCGAATTTGTCATCATACAAATTATCAAAGCCTTTTTTTTTAAAAAAAAAAAAAGCTTATTTCGTTGACTTTCACAACAAAGTCTGGAACTGCTTGTTGACCGTCAACTTGTCTCACGTTAGATATTCAGCTATACCATATCTCTCACTGTTACGGAAGAAACTTTTCGAGCAGCCTTTGGACAAAATCTAGACGCCCAAAGCTCGATCAACCATTCCTGACCAAGTTAAGAGCGTGATGTCGGCTGTGGTCAATTATATCGGCAAGATCCTCTGCCAAACGACAAACGCATATGTTTAGTTCGTGGTCAGAAGATCTCATAATCTTTCCTTTGAATTCTGGTACAGCCGAGCAAACAGTTGCCTGGTCTTCCGACCTGTAATAGTCTTAGGCTCGGACAAATTACTTAAAGCTGCAAACATTAACCGCATTTGCGGGTTCAGGTGTCGCCTCGACGTGGATCAGCTTCCTAAAGCACCTCTCGTTGATTCCGCCGTCTTCTTGTACTACATTTTCGCTTGCATGTGTTGAGCATAAAACAGTCCTTGCTTAATCTTTTTGGATCAGCCACGAAGCCGCTGATCCGTAAATCTGGTTTCGCGAAATGAGTCGATAGACACAGTATCCTGCCTACCATTATCTATTCCTCTTATGACGTTATTTTGTCAATGTGATCAGAGTAATGCAGAGACAGGTTCTGAAGTAAGTAATTCCTGAAGCTTATGTATCACGTGTTGTAAGCTGATCCATCGATGTTTGAGCTAGCCTAGTCCGACTACGTACTCGCCCAATGGAGCTACTTGTTCCGTAATTGCATCCTGATAATCGACCACGAAATAACATAGACGAACAATATGGGCGTCCATGTGACTTAACACAAGTTATCACACTCAACATGCTTTTTTCGCAAGCTTCGAAAGGCGAGCTTTGCCTCACAGCATTAGATCAAGCTCCACGGCGATAGCCTGCGATCCCTTTCACCATCATGGATCAAGAAGAACTGCAGTGTAGCGTCTACACGAACCGTTTCAATATCGCATGAGTATTCTCGAAATGGCTGGTAATTTTCGCCTAAAGGCACCGGAAGACTCTCAAAATCGGCGTCAAAACGACTCGCGATATCACAGAGGACGGTAACTTTGTCGATAAGCCGATTCGGACTATATGCCTCCTCACATTGTAAGATTCTCACGCCTAAAGAACCATTAGTTGGTGCTTTTTCCAACGGCTGCACAAACGGGAAACTTGACAGATTCCAGGACCTCAATGTCTTGACCTTTGTGAACATACCAAGTCATCTGATTCGATGCCCAATAACCGTCGTAGAACCAACATCAGTACTGGTCTTTCTTTTCATGTATTCCTTCAACGAAGGGTTGGTCGATAGTAATGCCGTAGCTGAATCGGGAAATGCGCCATCGCACAACGTTATGTGCCGCGCGAAAGACTGCGCCGCGACAAATCGCTGTCTATCTTGGGAATCGCTTAGCCAAATGGTTCGCCGTCATTAAGGTAATAACTTACGGCTCTTTGCCAGTTGGCTGTAAAACTTCGATCCCGGTCTTTTCGTGCTCCTTGGATAATACGTTGAACAGATGTTCGCAAGAGCCAAAGCCGCCTACAAGCCTGTTCCATGTCAAGATCAGCCTAGAATATCGTGAACATGGACATACCTTTGGCTTCTTCTTTTCCTTGATTTGGATTTGCTTGATCTGGTCATTTATCAAGTTACAAACCCTGCGAGTTGCGCGACTAAAAACCTTCCTAATGTTGTCGCTATGTCATGACAGTTAGCGCATATCTGGTTTAAAACCACGTTCAACTTAGGTGCTGAATTAGATCTATCCATGACCCATCTGTGCCGCATTTCTACAGTCATTCTTTCGATGTGGTCTGAAATGTCTAACGATATCTAGGGGGAGTTGACACGTCCAATTCTTGTCTGCATCACCGTCAAATGCACGCTTGATTCCGAACTCCCACTCATCGTTCATGAATTTGACTTTAATCGAGTGGCTTACTTTTTCCCATATTTCTGGACCAATTGGAGACATAATGTGGGCTTGAAAGATTTCGTCAACGAAAGTACCGCCTCCAAGATTCCCTTTTCCCTCTACGCTCTCATATAATGTCAACGGGTCAGTGTCTGTGACTTTATAGCTGATCAGATCTGTAGTACCACCAGCGATGTCGCAAACAATGCATATGTCACCTTTTTTAATACTATTGCTGTTTTGAAGTTCGTTCAGTATGGCTAGAGCTGCAGCCTCGGATTCTGAAATAAAATTCAACGTTGTCTTTCCGCATTCTCTGTGTTTCAGAATGCCAGCCATACTAGCGGCATTATACATTTTTTGATGAGCACACGGCTTCCAAATCGTCGGTACAGTGAGAATGATCTTGAATGGCAATCCATCGATAGACCCTGATCCTCGGGCTTGTTTCATACGAATATGTGTCCTCCCAAAGCAGGGAAAGGTCGTCTGCCACAGCTTCTCTGGACTGGTACCGAGCCTTTTCAATTTCATTTTGGCATTCTCTAAATATGGCGACTTCTGAATATCGTCTTGGAGATCTTCATCTCTAAGAAGAAGGAGCTTGAACCCTCTAATTGCGTTTTCATCCTCCGTGATTGCGTGGCCCCAGTATCTGGTTTTGCCTTTGTAGTACAAGGCCGTCAGAGCTTTCGCATCGTCTCGAATGTGGGAGTATGGTCCTACCTCCGGTACTCTAATTCGTGACTATATGCGCGTTGTCTGGATCTGCGCTCTGTGCCCAAGCAACGGCCGAATAGCTGACTCTCAGTTAACATGGGCCGCAATGAACGAGTTCATTAGAGTCGCACGTTGTGCCAAAATCAATACCAATATAGATTCATCGTTTCTAAGTCGAATTAGAGGATTTTGATCTTCAGAAATGCACTCCAAGACGGCGTAGCTGCTTCGAGAACGCAGGCTAGGCTGAGTTAAGCTAACACTACGGTACGCGGATTGGCTGTACGGCGAAGTGACGGATTCTTCCATGCTGAAACCAAGAGGACTTTAGGGAATATTCTAGTCGAGACTAGATTAGAAAGTGATATAAAAATTTTTTTCCTACTTCATTGCACAAATCTCTTGTATTTCAATTTATCTTCGTTGCAAGAAGTAGTTCTACAGCCTTGCAGGTGGCCGCCCACCTTTGAACTCAAATCGGGCAAACTAGAGACCTAACATTCATAGAAAGCCACGTCAACCATTCGTGATCGGAGTCGCACCACCGATCGCTTGCGATCATGGCTGATTCTTGATGCAGATGTCCGGCTTCAGTTTTAGGGATGGGAATCGCACTAGAACTAGTTCTAGAGTAAGGTTGCCAAGCATCAGCGATCCCTAGAACTAGAACTAGAATAGTTCCAACGCCAAGCATCTCAGCCTGATCCTCCAATGCACACATGATATGAACACGCCCCATGACCATGTCATGCATAGGCCACGCTATCAGCCTGATTTTGAATCCATAAAGGAAAATTTATTGAACATGAAGGCTAGTAGAGAGTTTCAGAGATTACAATACATAACCTCAGTTAGAATATTGTAGGGATAAGGCTAAACGGAAGATACGATCAAGACCTTCAGCCTGATTCCGAATCCATGCAGCAAAAATACATTGGATGTAGTAGAGGATTTCAGAGACTGCGGCACACAGCCCGGTCAGAATATTTAGTTGCAAGGCTGAAAACACACAATAAAACCCCCAATCTCTCGTCGATCCATGATTCTTCACCGATCTTGAGTCCTACATGGCGCAGACTCCAGTTTCATTCGATTAGAAAGACCTGCCACCTAGCCCCTTGTGTGAGCGAGAGAGGTCCTTGGATAGGCATCCAGACAAAACGACAGAAATATGCACTTTGCAGTCGGAAAGAATGACTGGATTGATCACGAGGCTGCCGCGATTTCTTTCCACAGCCTATGCTAGCTTACATCTCTAAATTTCCAGAGTCTACAATTCCGTCCGCGACTATTTCTGTGTCAGGAATGAACGAAAATGGCACAGGGTCGATTGATGGCTGAAATAAAAGATCTGCGTCAAACCTCGAAAAGCAACGTCTGTGTCAGCAACGATCGAAAATGATACAGTATCAATTGATGACTGTGACGAAGGATCTCCGTCAAATTTCGAGGAAGGCAGAAAGTCTCCAGATGAGAAGGAGATGATTGACATGAAGCACGATCTCAAGAGCTCATGCTCTTGAATCAAAGTTTGGAGAATGAGAAGCAGGAAGTACTCGACAAGTGGAGCCATGTCGCAGAAGAAATCCTCAAGAGAAAGGCTGATTGTGACTACAACCACGACGAGAGTTTCTTTCTTACCGAGTGGGGAACGCTGTCGTATCATATAGAGAACTGCGCTCAAAAGTCCTTTGGTGAAAAGCCTCAGTCCAACCCGGAAGTAAGATTGTGGAACCCCAATATCTCTTCTCTGCGAAGATCAACAGAGGAATATGCGAAATACCTACTGGAGGATGAGCTTCGACCCCTCATTATGCAAGCCTTGATATGAACTTCCTATGCGAAGAGATTTTCTCAGTGGGCAAACCGGTATCTTCCAGTAAATTGGCTGGAAAGGAGATGGACTTGCTTCAGTCGCTTGCCCAGGTCTTGAGACCTGTTACGTGGGATCCGATTGTCAAAAACCAGAAGACCCAAGACTAACAGCACGCAGCCGATTTCACGACATCCTCAAAAAGCCTGCGCAATTACCACCGCTGGAGAGCGAATACTGCCGGGTTGATTCACAGCTTAATCAAGTTGGACGAGAAGAAAAAGAAGTTTGCCATCTGGTCGAGCGAGATGATGGCCGAGACAATGAAGCCGTGGAGTGTCGAGTCTCCAGTCTCCTTTAAGAAGTATTTAGGCCAGATCGTAACTTGAGCCGTCAAAATCGACGCGGAAATGCAGAAGCAGACTGCGCAATCCTATGTGGAAACGCGGAAACGGGCTTCGTGACAATCGAGTGACCGAGAACGGGCGCCGGGCAGGTCAGCTGCGACAACCGTGTTCTTCGATGCTTGGAAGATGGAAGTTTTTCGAAGAGTGTCTTGGAATTCAACATGGCCGCGGTCCCATATTGCTTGTTGTATGCCCGGCCTTGATAAAGTCAGGAAACGCAGACGGAGAAAATTACGACCTGTGTTCGGCTATCGCAAAGGCATCCGTGGTTGAGTGGCGACGTTCACCAACAAAACGCTCGGCATCAACCATGGGCAATAACACTCGATAATGACCAACAGAACCAAGTTATTACACAGATAGAAAGTTCGATGCCAGCCGTTCCTAATGTTAGCCATCAGCCACTGCTACGATCAGCGTAGAATTTCACCGAGATTTCCGATTGACAGATGTATTTGAGCAAGGAAAGGTCAAGTTCTTATGCAACTTTCATTAAAAAACTCTTGAACTCGTTCTTCACAATGATCGCGATATCAACACATTGAGCCAAATTAGAAGAAGCGAGTCCGAGCAGGACCTGACAAATATTGCTTTTGACGTAAGCCAGAAGATAGCGAGCGACACATAAGCGACCATCAAAAAGAAGTGCAACAACAATAAAACGATGAGAACTTTCCTCGCAGCACAAGTTTCTAGAAACGCACGTTTAGTAATCACTGCGGTGGCCAAAAGGACAATGACCGCAACATCTTTAGGGCCAACACAGCTTATGAATAAATAGTCCTGGAGCCTTGCCAGGTTGCTGGACAGGTGTGCGCGGAGAAGCGAGATTGTTATCAGGATTTGCCAGAGACCCAGAACTCTCATTAAAATCGAAACCACCTTCAACGGTTTTGTCTGGACAAGTTGGTGATGCGCGCTAAGCGACTGGGATTCAATCTGACTAACGTTAGGCTGAGGTGGTACTCGCCTTTCGATAGCCCAAGGACAGTTAACTATTTGCTGAGCAGTGTGGAGCTGATCATCTCCGACCGCTAATTTCTTATACGCTGTCAAAAATGTCAGAACAAGCATTGAACTCTCTTATATCTATACTCACCGTTTGTAAGACAGCTAGATCCAATTGTTGAAGGATCGAGCAAACCGTTGACAGGCGTTGTAGCAACGGCTGTAGCACAAATATCAGGTCTACCAGAATCGGAAACGGTCTTTAAAGAACCTGCATCCAGGGGCTCATCAACTAGGACGCCGTTCCTATCCTCAGCAAGGCTAGATTCATCCTCACTCTCAGTGGTCATAAAGTCTTCATGAACAAGACAACGCGGCCCAGCGAGAAGTGGATCAGAAAACCACGCGCCAATGCCCACAACCGCATTTTTAATTGCGGCTTGATGTCCGGAGAAAGGAAGGCTATCATTGCTGACACTTGGGGATTCGTCTTCTCCAGACCCTGGCTTTTCCTCTGCAACAGATGCGCGATTATGCGAACTTTCGAGACGGAGGCCCTCAAATTTTGTCAAAAAAGCCATTACGTCTTCATGGATAGCTTGGTTTTCTAGAGTGACGATGCTTCGCTCGCTCAAGCGATATTCAGGAGCTGATACCGACTGGTCGACTTCTATTGCCTGCTAAGTAGATCAAAACGCGATCATTGAAGAAATACAGGGCTATTGTACTTGCGGAGGTGACATTTTGATGATTCTGACGAAAAATCCTTTGCACAGCTTACAGGACGACTTCAAAAATCAGACTACACAGCTGCTAGTGCCTATTTGCGAGTAGACATGTGCTGAGGTTGAGTTTGCACTGAGGATCGTCTGGAATTATGAGAAAGGTGGGGAAGGAGGGGGCATATCAATTCCAACTCAATGAAGAGGCCAGTAGCGTCTTTGCTTTGAGCTGACATTGGCCAAGATGTTGGGCATCGACGTTATGCCCCCCACACGCTACAATCGAAATCGTAGAACTGCGCCAACATATGTACTTAACAATGCGAAGCATGTGAGATACTCAAATCCTTAGATGGTGAGCTGGGCTCTCCCATGTGGATTGACTCTCAGTTCTTAGCCAGATGAAACCAAATTTTACAGTATTTTTTCAAAAGTCTGGGAGATGTATACAAATGCGGTGATGCCTGATTTGACGGAAACGTCCTAGTACTGCATGGCGAAGCGGCAAGGATTCATTCGCGGTCGACGCGGATGCCACAAGCGCAGTATAGAACGTTCAGCGGATCCATCGTACTCGGATGACAAAGATTCGAGATACACTGGAAATCCTCAACGCATGCGTCCAACATTTGTGTCATGGCCGACATACGGTGTTCTCTCAGGTCGTCGTAGAGGACCAGAGGCTTGCAGATCGTTGATCCAACAGCAGTGTTCCGGAGAGCAGTCTCGATTCCAGAAGCATTGATTTCGGTTTCGATCCGCCCGCGTAGCGAAGTTTCATTGAGCCAAGCGAAATGGACACATCTGGTCGGAAATGCCTTTGCTGAGGATACTCGTGGTTGCGAAAGGAGTGTCCTATCATCTCGTATTCCACGTAAGCCCGGGTGTGCCTTGACCGCTTGCCTTCTCGCCAACATGGCTCTAGGCTGTGTATTGTGGTCAGCCGGGTAAAGGGCGGCAGATAGTTTTCTTCCTAACGTAGCGCGTACATCCAATGACAGCCTTGTCCCACCGCACTTGCGGCCCCAGGAGCATTTTACGACAAGGATGACTGTCTGTCCGCCCTGATTGACTGCCGGAAAGTGGTCATCGTTCGCAACAAGGCCAAGCGAGCTGCAGAATGATAACGCACCCGGCTACGACCCCACCCTCCATCGTTCGCCCGCTTCAGCAAGACTTTGGTGGGTGTGTTCAGAAGTTCGAGCGAGCAAGACCTGTATGGCCAGGAGAGTTTATGAGGATTCTCGAAATCTAAAGATTGACGTTGGATGTGGCAGAACCCGAGCAAGCAAAGCATATATGCTGCGGAGGGTGGAGAGGGTGGAGAGGGTGGAGGGTGGAGGGTGTGGAAGTAGTTCAAGCTCACTGATTGGTCATAAACCGCATCCTTGGACGCACGTCGATAACATTTGTCGACGACAACATGCAAGGATAACTCTCGGCTTGAATCGAGCTTGAATTTCCTACCCTCATAAGCTTAGCAGAATTCGATTGGCGCATTTCGCGCAGAGAGGTGGCGTGTATATATCCCACACGTCAGCGGCGACCAACTCCTTGCACGAGAATACTGGAAACAGTCGTGCATGGGATTTTATCAGTGAGCACATGTTCATACGTTTTCGTTTTCACACAATGTACGTCGATGGCAACGCTCAGCACTCACAGTACACGAGGTCGCTTGTCGAGCCCTATGTATACATCGACCAAGTCCGGCCTTGTTTTCTGAATTTGCTCGATGATGATGATGCTCAGTTTTATTCAGCAAGCACGACGCAGGATTCTTGCTGGATTGATGGTAGTGTGGAGCCGTTGATTAAGACAAAAACGTGGGACCATTTGTTTCCAGATCAAGAACCGTATGTCAAAACCTAATGCTCGTCGTCCTTGCTAACGGGCGCTGGTAGTCATATAGATTTGGATGTCACACGCCTGTCCTCCGTATTGACAGCACCAAACTCCCCGCAATCCCCCTCTGTCGCTGTAACTCGATGTTCGTCACCCGGTTTAGGCCAGGAAACAGGCAAATTTTCTTGCGCTCAGTGTGGAATGTCATTCGACCGAGCCTCTGGAGTCGAAGAACACGCCAAAGATAGACGACACAAGCCGTTCTACTGCAAAGAGTGCGGCAAATTATTTTCTAGGCGAGATGCTTATTTGAGACACCAAACCCTTCACAAGTCGCAGGGGCGACACCCGTGTCAGAACTGCGCAAAGTACCAAGGCGCGGACGCTTTTCGGCGACGAGACCACCTCCGACAGCACTTGCGAAAGTTTCATCGCATGCACCTCACCGTGGAGGAATTTAACTTGTACGTTGCACGCTCTAAGAGGGCAAGCTATTGAGAGAATTTATGACCATTTTGGTTCTAAGTCAATTCATCAATCATTAATTGAATGTATTGAACCAGAACGATCTGTGTTATCGTGAAATAAAGTGATGATCGAGCTCGCGGACATATGGATAAAGCGCAAATACTAGTAAAAGAACTTGATTTGAACAATTGGAGTGGCAGTCCTCAATACTTTGAAATGGCAATAAATATGATTGTCGCTAAGTTTTTATTCATGAATCTTCTTGCTGCGCTTATTTACTAGGACCATAAAAGACGAATGCACTCCTCAGCCTGTGTGATTATATTAATTCAGTGCTTGTGCTCTCGACTGCTGCCTCCCGTATTATTACAATGCATTACTTGTTTTTCGTATCTCAAAACTTCAATATTGATATGAAAGCTGATTCTACGTCAAGGTATCTGAAAAGCATGACCAGAGGACAAGTCATCTCGATTAACAAGACAACGCCCTTGACATGCAGAGTACAGCCTATCGAGAGTTATGGCAGTGTTGCGATGTTCGTTCAATTACCTGGACGGTGTATAGATTCCTTTGATACTGACGTATACATATATGATTGCTCTTTTCTCTGCAACACACTTTTCGCGCAGATATAGATTGGGTATCACAACGACGGAATAAACAAAGGCTAAGCCCAGACGCCCAAACCCCATCCTCCACTTTTTTCACCCAACTTCGCATTCGCGCCAAGGCTCTGCCGCGTTCGAGCGTAACTCGTCTCTACAGCAGCATTCGAGACGCCGGGCTTTACGCTTCCTGGAACAGCTCCTCCTACTAGGCCATGACTCAAGAACCTATCCCTTTCAAGTTCTACAACGCCCCGAATCCTTAGGTTTGTTGCGAGGCTTGCGCCAGCCCAGGCACCAAGCGTGTTAACAGCCCGAAGAGTACCTTTGGCAGGAGTAGGAATGGCGTCTTTGAGTGTGAGGGATGCAAGCTTTGAGTCAATTGGGTTGGCGTCATGAGGACGGAGATGCGCAGGGATAATTGAAACAGCAGGCTCATCGGATGATGATTCTGCTGATACTGTCTCTGTGACCTTCGTTGGGGGCATCGAGCTTATACTTTGCCGCTGTAAATTTCCATCTACTTCGGATAAAGGTGCTGCACGGGCTGTGGGACGTGATAGTCCCAGTCGTGGCGCGTACTCCCGTATCGGATCCCAGCTTTGCGTCTTTACAAGATCTTGCAAGTCTGAGATGATGCGTTGCTTGATTCCTGGAATGTTGGAGATACCGCCAGTGACAATTATGTGCATAGTGCAGAGACTACGAATGTCAATTGGAAGGTGACGGAGCACCTCGTATAGCAGACGTGAAAGAGGAAGATCATGATCGTCCAAATCTCGCGTTTGTGAAGCGCTTCCAAAAAGAGCCGTCTCTGCTGGTTCCGCGAGAGCCTGAAGAGGAAGAGAGACTTGCGATATGCCGGCATTTTTTGAAGTAATCGGTATCGTGATGGTAGTAGTTTCTTGTTCTTCGTCTTCCGTGGCTTTGCTGCTAGCTCTGCACCAGGCCGCTCGACATAATACATCGTCTACTTCTTCGAAGTGAGGTTTATATTTCGCGCTCGCGCCTTGTTTCCTTGCCTCCCTCCTCAGCAGCCGTCTCACATCTTTTGCCAGTGCTCTGCCAGCCCTGATGCTTCTTAACTGCCGCACTTCTCTATACTCGCACACAGCCGTTGCCGTACTCTCGAGCCAACCAATCTCGAGTACGATTGCACTCCTCACGCCTGCGCCAACACAGCTCATCACGGAACACGGAAAAACCGTCACGCTCACGGCTTGCAGTCCCTCGAATAACCGTCTCAAAAGAATGCTCAGCAACGGACGCGGCAGACTGGACGGCGCAGTCAAAGAGATTCTCTTTGCTCGATTATCCAGTAGCAAAAACCTCGCCTCCGCCTCCCTGATGAGTTTCTCGACCCTGTCCTCTACAACGCCTAAGTCGAGATGCCTCACATCCAGCGACCCCCAAAGCTCATAACCCTCCCTGCCAGATCTGTTCTCAAAATCAACATCCCAGTGCCTATAGTCGCCAGACCGTCGCCAAAGCTCGGGGGAGTAGGATATTCGGCAACGCGGAGCTGATTCTCCCGCGAAACCAGCGCGAAGGTTACGAGATCCAAATTCAAATATCAAGAGATTCTCGTCGTCGATACGGAAGGATGATCCGGGAGATCCATAGAGTCCAGACACAGAACGGGAAAGAGGTGTACGTGGACTGTCCGCTGAGCTCTGCAGACCGCTGGCGCTGGGACGGGCTCGGATTTTGTTGTGGGACAGAGAGGGGGTTGTGGACGACATTGCGAAGGCCCCCGCGAATCGAAAAACCTATGGTATGCGTCAAATGCAGCGGCTTAATTTCTAAAGTCCGTGGCCAGCATCAGCTTTGAGAATATCGATCAATCATCCTTTGTTGCAAGCAGACCAAAAAAGAAACTTCGACGCCATCCATTTTACGTTTTGATATGTACAAGGCTGAAAGAGTTGTCGGCCTGAGGCATTAGTTCTACCGCATGAAGAGCTTGGACCCGAACTCTTGGCGCAGCGGAGGACTTCGAGAAAAAAAGTTCTCCAGCAACGAAGGAAGCGTGAACTTTCCCTACCACTGCCATTGCTTCCGCGAAACATCGGGATTAGCTATCCCTGGGCGCAAAAATGGCTCCTATATATGTCCTTTCCGAGACCAGCGCTGGCTATGCGCTGTTCAAGTCCTCGGATAAGAAACTGCTGAAGCGCACTGATATTGCGGATAAGACAAAGACGGCAGAGGATACCTGCTCGCTGTAGGTCGCTATATTTTCGTACAATCAAAACACTATAGCCGCCGCTAACTTTGATGATCTGCAGTCTTAAGCTCAAAGAGTTTCGCAAGTTTAACAATGCGACCGAGGCGCTCAACGAAGCGGCCGCCATAGGCGACGGTAAAGTTACGCCCATGTTGACAAGCTTCCTCGAATCTCTCAAGGACGAAAAGAAGGCCTCATTGGCCGTCGCAGACTCGAAACTTGCTGCGTCTATTAACAAGATTCCCGACCTATCGCTAAACCTCGTCTCTGATTCCACAACAACGGACCTATATCGCGCCATCCGTGAACATTTGCCCAGTCTCATCACCGGTCTCACGCCAAAGGATCTCGACACCATGAATCTCGGTCTCTCACACAGTCTCTCACGGCACAAACTGAAGTTCAGCACGGACAAGGTCGACACAATGATCATCCAGGCGATTTCCCTGCTCGACGATTTGGACAAAGAGCTGAACCAGTACGCCATGCGCGTTAAGGAATGGTACGGCTGGCACTTCCCGGAAATGGCGCGTATTATCAACGACAACGTAGCATACGCACGAGTTGTGCTCACCATGGGTATGCGCTCCAATGCGTCCAAGACGGACCTTTCGGACGTACTTCCCGAGGAGATTGAGGGTGCCGTGAAAGCCGCTGCCGAGGTGTCTATGGGCACGGAAATCACAACGGAAGATCTGGAAAACATTCAAGCACTTGCGGAGCAAGTTGTGGACTTTACCGAGTATAGAGGGCAGCTCTCCTCGTACCTCAGCAATCGTATGCGAGCCATTGCACCCAACCTAACTGCCCTCGTTGGCGAGCTTGTCGGTGCTCGTCTCATTGCGCACGCTGGTTCCCTCACCAACCTTGCCAAGAGCCCCGCGTCTACGATTCAGATTCTCGGTGCGGAGAAGGCTCTGTTCCGAGCACTGAAGACCAAGCACGACACGCCGAAGTACGGTCTCATATATCACGCCTCGCTCGTTGGCCAAGCGACAGGCAAGAATAAGGGTAAAATCGCGCGTGTATTGGCGGCCAAAGCTGCTCTCGGACTGCGCGTGGACTCGCTGAGCACTTGGGGCGCTGACCAAGAACATGACGCCAGCGAAGAGCCGACGGAGGAGGAGCGCAGTGCACTCGGCATCAGCGCGAGACGCTACGTCGAGAACAGACTGCGAGCCATTGAAAACAGACCGATCAAGTTTGACAGGAGCGGCAATGCCATCGCGCCGCCCAATGCTCAGCCAGGGAAGTGGGAGATCAAAGAAGCGAGGAAATATAACAAGAACGCCGATGGTCTCACCGGCGACGAACCGGCGGCTTCTGCGCCAGCCCCGAAGGTGAAGAAGGAGAAGAAGAGCAAGCAACCACTGATTGAAGAGGTGAACGGGGCTGCGGCCGAGGACGAGTCGGACTCAGACTCGGACTCGGAGATGGAAGATGCGCCCAAGTCGAATGGCACAAGCGACAAGAAGCTCAGCGAAAAGGAGGAGAAGGCCCTGAGGAAAGCTGAAAAGGCAGCGAGGAAGGCGGCGAGGGCGGAGAAGCGACGGCTAAAGGAGGAGAAGCGGGCGAAGAAGGAGGAAAAGAAGCGCAAGAGGGAGAGTCTCGGGGGCGAAGGGGAAGAGAAGAAAAAGAAGAAGAGCAAGAGCTCATGAGCGCGAGACGAGGTGAGGGCCGGGCAGGAGAAGGGGAAAAAAAAAAGAGAATAAACGTGGTTCTTAAGGTTTTCCTGTTTCTTTCTACAAGAGTTCAACTGACGAAGGGAGGGGTGTCATTCCCGCGCGGACGTTGGGAAGGGGGGACGCGAAACGGGGGCTCTCGGCGTTCTTGTTTGTCTCTTTTTGTCCTATGCTCCTCTCTTGTCATACAGTCTCTCCCATCGGCGCAGAGAGATGGGGGAAAAGAGAGAAAGAGAGAGAGAGAGAGAGAGAGAGAGAGAGAGAGGACTCTTGTATATCATGGGCTGTGGAGCGTATCCCTACTCGAACGCGCCGTTATTGCCTGCATCGGGCGGGGTTCTTCGTTTTCTCTCTTCGGGCTCGTTCTTTCTCTTTGATGGGGGATCTATTTTCTTTTTAGAGCCGTTTCTTGCGCATCACAGGGCGTTCGTTTTTCGAAGGATGGGAACGTTTTTACTATTACTCAAGCCTTTGATATAAAAAAGGAATGGGAAAAAAAAACCGAAAAAGAAAAAGTTGACGTCTCCTGTTCCCAATTTCATTTTGTTTTTCTAATTCATATATATATATATATATATATATTTGTATTTTTTTTTCTCTTAAATATCTCTAACATCCGTTTTTTCTCCTTTTTGATCATCCTCCCTCGCTCCATCGCCTACAGCATTCATGAAAGTTCAAACTCTGCTCGGATCGTCTCGGCAGGCCAATGCCACGCCACCTGCGTCTCCTCGGTGCGCTGTCTGCCAAGGAGCATGAGGATAGGGGAGGGAAAGAGGTTCGATGGGAAGCGCACCGACCCTCGGAGCAACGCAAAGTCAAGCGTGTCGTCGACGGCGGATGCAAAACGAGCGACTGGAGGCAAATGCGGGAGCCTGGCACGGCCATGTGCAGTGTTGAGCGCAGCGTGGAGCCAGACCGCATCTTGGAGAAGTGTCGAAAGGCCCCGGAAGGGGGTGAAGACAAAGTGTCATCGCACGCAGGCACGCTCAGGTTCACGCGATGCGATGCAAGCGGATGGGCGTCAGAGCCTGCTGGTGCTGCTCTTGCTGCCGGCCGCGGGGTTGCGGGGCGAGCGGGCGATGGCGTCACGGCCTCGGCCGCTGCCACGCTCAGCTAGTCAGTCGACGGAGACGGCGGCTTCGAGCTCGCCGTAGTGCTCGAAGAAGCTGTCGAACAGGTTGATGGCGTGCTCGACGTCGAACGCGCCGCAGGTCTCGCGGATCGAGTGCATGCTCAGCTGCGGGTTGCCCAGGTCCAGGGTGCGGGCGCCCAGCTTGGCGGCGAGCATGGGGCCGATGGTGCTGCCGCAGCTGGAGTCGTTGCGGACGACGAACAGTTGCAGAGGGACGCCGGCGGGGCGTGTCTTCGCGGACGAGGATGGCGGGGGGTAGGAAGACGGCTTCGCGCGGCGGGCGCACTCTTGCACCAGGACGAGGCCGGGCGAGTTGGTGGCGTAGCGGTTGTTGGCGTTGATCTTGATCACGGTGCCCTTGTTCATCTCGGGCCGGTGCGACGACTCGTACTTGGCCGGATAGTTGGGGTGCACGGAGTGCGCCATGTCGGCGGAGATGAGGAAGCTGGTCGCAAGCGTCTGCTCGAACGCCGTCCTGGAGCCGTCCTCGACGTGGTCGTAGCTCGACTGGGAGTGCTCGGATGGGACCGCATCGGACGACGCTGGCAAGCAGGACAGGCGCCGCAGGATGGCCGGGAGCATGTTGCTGTTGGCACCCTGCGCGGTGGTCGAGCCGATCTCTTCGTGGTCGAACAGAGCGATCAGTCGAATGGTCGGGTCCTCCTCGAGCGCGCTCTCGGACGCCAGCGACTGGATGAGCGCCTCAGTCGCGCAGAAGGTCATCATCAGATTGTCGAGGCGGGGCGAGAAGATGAACTCGTTGTTGATGCCGCCCAGACACGACGGCTGAGTGTCGTACAGAACAATCTCGAAATCCTGAATGTCCGTTGGCTTGCACTGTGCCTCCCGCGCAAGCAGATCAATTATGTACGGGTGATGACGCTCCGTGACGAGCTGGAGGGGCTCAAAGCTAGAATCATGGTTGAGATTCGTAGCCTCGAGCTTCTTTGCTGACTCGTCGACCTCGCTCTGACCCGTCCTGTTGAGCTCGGCAGCAACGAGCCCGCAGATGGGAAACAGGTGCGTCTCCTTGTTTGGCTGGAAATTCTCCTGGCGGTCCAGGTGGATGGCGAGGGTGGGGATCCTCAAGATGGGCCGGTCGACCTTGACGAGGCGGCTCTCGAACTTGCCGTCCCCGGTCTTGACCATGACCCGACCGGCGATGCTGAGGTCGCGGTCGAACCAAGTATGCCACAGCCCGCCGCCATAGGTCTCGACGCCAACCTGCAGGAAGCCATCTGACTGCTTGCGGCTCGCCGGTTTTATACGCAGGCAGGGGCTGTCCGTGTGGGCGCCGACCATAGCGACGGGGTTACCAGGCTTCCAAGCGGAGCCGATGGCGAAGGCGACCAATGTGGACCCGTTTCTGGTAAGGTAATATCTGCCGCCGGGCTTGAGAGTCGACGACCACGAATCACGCTCGCGGATTGCCTTGAAACCTGCCGCCTCAAGCTTCTGCTTGGCGGAGCGCACGGCGTGGAAGGGTGTCGGCGAGGCATTGACGAAGGTGAGGAAGTCCTCTGCGGCTTTCAGGTGCGCGTTCGAGGCCATTGTGCGGATCCCAACGTAGTAGGCGGCTGCTGGTGCTGCTCTTCGTGGTATCGCCGGGCGCTGGGAGGGGGGGCTGGCTGCAGAGAGGCTGGATGAGAGAGACCGCAGTGACGTTGAGCGGACTTGCGGACAGCGAGGGAGGACGTATAGCATCTATCCTCTTGGTTTGAATAGACTGCTTTGCGGTTCTCGACTGCGGGAAACCAGGAGGTCACGAGGAGGGCGATTCGATTGGTAATGGGATAGCGTGCCAGACCGGAGCTGCAGGTTGATCGCTGGGCCGGTCGTGAGTGTTTGCATGCAGCGTGCAATGTGAGGAGTCCGGCCCACTGGGCGGAGGCTCAACCCCCGCCGCCGCCAGGCCGAATTGGGGGGGGGGGGCTTCCAGGGGGCTCTTGGGGGGTTCGGCAGCCACCAAGTCGAGCATCACGCACGCAGCCAACTGCCAGGCAAGAAAAACGCCCGCATCATGATCCCAATGCTGTCATGCACTGGCGCAGAATAGCACAACAGAAGCGGAAGACAGTGCCAGGCCAGGCATCGGGGAGAGCAGTGTGACAGGCACAGCAGCCACTCGTTCCATGGAGGGGAGTCTACGCGTCACCAAGTCTTGTTGTGAAGAGGTCGTACGCGCTTCCGCGCGCTTTCTGCAGCAGATCCGCGACGAGGCAGCTCCTACAAGCAGGCCATCGCGCCGCCTCCACGCGTGAGGACGTGATCACGTATGCAGCCTACAGGACCGCCGTGGCGGACGACACATGCGACGGCCTTGGCCCCGGTGACGTGAACATCGTCTCTTCGGCTTCCCCCGCCACCGATCTACACGTACTTGTGGGCGGCAGGACCAGACAAGGACCACGCCTGGACGCGCAGAGCACGCGCCGCAAAAGAACAGCAGCACCTGTCACAACAACGGGGTTTGGCGCGCCGTTGCGAAAGGATGATCCCCTGCGACGGGCGGGTTGCTTGGGCCGTTCCAAAGCTCGACAGCTTCCACGCAAGGAGTCTCTGTCGGCCGTCCAGCCATGCCGGGCCGGGCTCAGAGCCGGGCCCAGCTGTCCTTGTGCTGTGTGGAATTGGTGCCTGTCAGCCAATCGCGGGGGCGGCAGCGCGTGGGCTCTCGAACAAAAACATCGCGGGCGTCGAAAGCGCGGCCGCACAGCAGCGTGAAGGGGGATGGGGAACAACAAGAGGCCGCGAATATCAGCGCCGGCGCAGGCACCTGGCTCGTGTCTCTCGCCACGTCGCTTCCTTTCAATCGCACTGCTCTGCCCAGCGTCGCTCTGCTGCAGCCTCTGGAGCTCTTCGCTCGTCGCGCTGCTCGCGTCGGAAGCGTGAGGACAGTTCCGCTGCTGCCCACCGCCATTGGCGGCCGTCGAGCCCGAGCCAGAGCGAGAGCCAGTGGCTCTCTGCCCGCAGCGCGCCGTGCACAGTCCTTGTACTTGTACACCAGCCCCGAAGCGGAAGCGGCGTGCTCGAGAAATTCGCAGGTGGCTCCGGCCAGGAGATTTCCCAGGGTCCCGCCTTCCGCAGCCCGGGCCAAGCCCGCCCGTCGCGCCGCCGAACCTTCCACCCTCGAACCGCCCAAGCGACCCAGCGCCCGCAGACACGAACGTGCCTACACCAGCCGATCGTCTGTCCAAAGCGAACATCAACAACACAAACAACAACAACAACGACAACATCGGTCTCAGCAACAACGCCCAGTTCTCCCCACGCCGTCGCCGCACGCCATCCACGTCCCCTGCCTATCGCTTCGCCTCTCACCCGCGCGCGCGTTCGTTTTTGGACCTCACCGCAGCGTCAGTTTCCTTTGACTGGGCCGTCCACCCCCCGTTGCTTGTACCTCGCGACGTTGCCAAGGAGCTGTCGTCGCCGCAACACTCACTCTGCCATTCCTCCGAGAACGACGCGTTATCCCGCCAAAACTGCCCCCCTGGAGCTGCGCAAGGCAAAGGCTCGTCGCTGAAGAGAGGGAGACGACGGAGTGGGTGATTCGCTTGGTGCAGCCCGCTCCCATGGGCGTTTGAGCACACGTTCGCAAGCGCTTCACTCACACGCAAGAGAAGTCGACAGTGACACGCCTATTCAGCCCCATACATCCAGCTCACGCCATGACTCTGCTTCACGACAACGAGCTGGGGCCGTCGTCTGCAGCCGCCGACGCGGCGACAGCCGCTGGCGACCCTGCCACACCCTCGCTCATCTCACCGCCCGAATCCAAAACGCCTCCTACCGACAGACAGAAGCGACAGGCCTCGCAGCCGGCCGTGGTCGACCGGCAATCAGAGCCCGTGGATCCCTCCGCACTGTCCAAGGCTCTGGAAGAGTACGAGCAGGCCGGCAGGCAACGGGCAAGAACGCCGACGTCGAGTCCGATACGGAAACGGCAAAGAGTGGCAGGCGACAGGTGAGTTTTCATTTGCAGCGGATGGCTTGTTTACGCTCCCAGAACACCCGTCGGCTTGACAAAAGGCGCGATCAAACGGGCAGGCGGTCGAAGAGCAAATCGAATAAAACGAAATTGAATTTTGTGTACATGTGAAGATGGTTGCGCTGACGTTTTGTCGATCTCTAGATTCATACCCAACAGGACAGGACAGGATCTGGCCGCAAGCTACCAGCTGCTTCACGACGACGGCACGCCTGCCACGCCCTCGCGCTCACACCGGGGATCGCATTCAGAACTAAACTTCCAGCGCGTGGACGAGGCGAACAGAACGTTCAAAGATCTGCTCCGCACAGAACTCTTCGACGACAGAGTACCTCAGACGAACTCATCACGGGCGCAGACGCCCCCGACTACAGGAAACCCCTTTTTTGCAGGTCCAACGCTCACCCCGTCGACGCCAAACAAGAACCTCTTCTCATTTGCAACGCCCCGAAACAATCTCACGCCCCACAGGACACCGTCAAGCCGGCGTACGAATGTCAACCCGCACTCGGAACTGTACAGCCTGTCGCCTGTCAAGCTTTCGAGCCAGAACATGCTCCTAAGCCCGCGCAAGACGCCCAGGGAAGTGAGCAAGGTGCCGTACAAGGTCCTGGATGCACCGGACCTCCAGGACGACTTTTATCTCAACTTGGTCGACTGGGGCTCCCAAAACATACTGGGCGTCGGCCTGGGCTCGTGCGTGTACATGTGGAATTCGCAGTCGGGCAGGGTCACCAAGCTTTGCGATCTCGGTGACGACTCGGTAACGTCGGTGAACTGGATACAGCGCGGTTCGCACCTGGCTATCGGCACACAGAAAGGCTTCGTACAGATCTGGGATGCGACATGCCAACGAAGACTGCGCACCATGACAGGACACAGCCAACGTGTTGGCTCATTGGCCTGGAACGAGCATATCCTGTCGTCTGGCTCACGTGACCGCACGATCCTCCACAGAGATGTGCGGTCGCCTACTCAATGGGAGAAAAAGTTGACCTCTCACAAGCAGGAAGTGTGCGGTCTCAAGTGGAACTCAGAAACGCAGCAGTTGGCTTCGGGCGGCAACGACAACAAGCTCATGATCTGGGACCGCATGAATGAAGAGCCCACGTTTAAATGGGGCGAGCACCACGCGGCCGTAAAAGCCATCGCCTGGAGCCCGCATCAGCGAGGGCTGCTGGCCAGCGGCGGCGGCACGGCCGATCGCACCATCAAGTTTTGGAACACCAGCCTTAGCGATCAGGCAGCCACGCACCTGGCTTCGTCGACGCCTAGCGCACCTATTGTGGCCTCGTGGCCGCCCACATCAGACTCGGCAGCAAGCGCGTCGGATCCCGTGACATTGGGCGCATCTGATCGGCCTACGCCGCCAAACCTGATCTCATCCATCGATACAGGCAGCCAGGTGTGCAATCTAGCGTGGTCACGCAATAGCAACGAGCTCGTGTCGACGCACGGCTATTCGCAAAACCAGATCATCGTTTGGAAGTACCCACGGATGGAACAGGTTGTGAGCCTGACCGGTCACACATACCGCGTCCTTTATCTCGCCATGAGCCCGGACGGCCAGGTCGTCGTCACTGGGGCCGGGGACGAAACACTTAGATTCTGGCAATGCTTCCGAAAAAAGGAAAAAGTCGGCGGCCTAGGCGGTCTGGGCAGCTGGGGCGTCATAAGATGAAGACGGGAAAGAGTAAGGGGGAAAAGAAAATACATGACGACATAGGGGGCTGGCACTTTTCTCGTGCATTCAGCATCAAACTGGCATCTTCAGCAAGCGTGTGATCTGATTCTCTTTTAATCGTGAGAATGACCTCATTCTCTGTGCATGATGGGTGGAGTTTCAGCTTTTTCAATTTTTTTTTCCCATTTCTTCCTTTGGTTTCTGCACGGCGGCAATAGCTGGAGCTTCGAGGGATCAAGCGATTGGTCGCGGACGGGCGTTTGTTGCTACTACCACCACTATTACTATAACCACTACTGCAACGACACATGGGGATCTTTGGATCTACCTCCTGAGGAGGGAAGGCTGGTAGAAGCGGGGCCATGCTATGCTTGTGCCATTGCTCCTTTTGGCGGTGGACTCTCAATCAAGAGCAAACACACTTCCCCTCCCCTCTCATGCATGGGATGTACGCATGGAAGCGAACAGGGTTTTTTTTGGCAAACTAGATACGCGAGGCGTTCTTACTTCGAATCTACATGGCTTCTCTGCTTGAGAAACGAGTGAACGTGAGGAAGTATGTTCCTTTTTTTTTTTCTTCCTTGTTGCTGATCGGAAAGAAAGATGGGCACTTTGCCTGATTTTCTTCAGGGGAATTTTTTTTTTTTTTTTGCATTAATTTCGCTCAATTCTATTCGTCCCGGTCTCATCTCGTAGATATGCACTGAAACGCACGTAAGCACGACCGCGGCTCGTTGCTCGCGGGAAGACGTGGCGGCCAGATTCTCACGAGCGCTGGACGAGGTTGTGTTCGATCCAGCCGGCGCCGGTCCTGCCGTCGGGCGTCTTGACGGTGGCCCAGGAGCGCAGAAAGACTGTCTTCTTGCCCTCCGGGCTGACGAGCATGATGGAGGCGTGGCCGCCCGGGGTGACGTCCATGGAGAGCGGAGACGGGGCGCCGGAGATGGAGGCCGACTCGAGCAGGCCGTCCTTCTCCCTGCGGGTCTCCGTGGCCAGCACGTCCGTGCACTCGACGACGTCGCCGTCCTTCTGGACGTAGCCGACGCCGACGCGCGGGTAGTTTGGGATCCGCACGTGGACCTGGTGGGTGTGCGTGTTGTCGGACAGGTGGAAGGCGGACCACATCCAGTCGATGGACCACCAGTCGCGGTCGCCCCAGGAGTGGTCGCGCTGGCCGACGGCGCCGCTGAAGGCCACGGTGCGGCCGTCGAAGCTGAACGTGCCCGTGACCCGGCACGGGATCTCGTACCGCGTCGCCTGTCGCCACTGGTACGGCACGCCGGCCGTCTCGTACACGAGGTCCATGTGCACGTCGACGGGCCGGCCGGCCTCCTGCCGCAGCAGCGCGGCCGGGTCGTCGAACGCCTCGCCCTTGCCCGACGCCGTGATGCGGTACCGCTGCAGCGGCACCTCGGCCTTGTGCGTCGCCGTAAACTTGTCCGTCGTCAGCGTGAGGTCGCTGCCCGGGTGCGGCGCCTCGAAGTCGAGCAGGCCGACGGTGGGCACGTCCGGCCCGCACAGCAGCGTCTGGTACCAGCTGCCCTTCTGGTTCGGCACGACGCCCAGCCGGGTCCACACGCCGACCTTCTGGTCCGCGTCGACGACGTCAAAGTACCAGCTCTCGTTGTGCAGCGGCTTGTCCGTGTGCGGGTGCGCCTCCTCGTCCTCCGGCTTCGGCTGCAGCGGCTCCGGCTTCGACGGCGCCGGCAGCACGTCCAGCGCCTTCGTGTCCGTCGCCAGGTCGCACGAGCGCGTGAACATGGCCAGGAACAGCTCGTCGCCCCGCGCCGTGCGCTCCACCACGTTGGCCGCCGTGATGGCCTGCCGCATCCCCGTGAAGCACAGCATCTGGATGCCCTTCTTGCAGTCGTCCATGCTCACCGTCGGCACGTTGACGTTGAGCGCGTCCAGGTAGATCTGCGTCAGCTCGTCCTGCCACGCGCGCCGCTTCTCCGGCGTCAAGGCCGTGCTGAGGAAGAAGGCCAGGTCGTGCAGGATGGGGCCCCAGTAGTACGTCTGCCAGTCCACCAGCACCAGCGGCGGCTCGCGGTCCGGCTTCATCAGCATGTTTTCGAGCCGGTAGTCGCCGTGCACCAGGCCCTGTGGCGCGCTGGACGCCAGGAGACCTTCCTGCCACGCGTCGCAGCTGGCTACGTACTTGTCGCCGATTTCCTTGTGCTCCGCGCTGATCTTGTCGGGATACCTCGACTGGAACTCCGTCCAGAACTGAGCCATGATCGCCTGGGGTGGCCAGGCTGCCTTCGGCAGCCAAGAGGTCTTCTCCTTTGGCAGGTTGATCGACAGTCCATGAAGACGGCCCAGCTCGCCGACGCACAACTTTGCCTCCTCCAAGGTGGCGCCCTCGATATCATCGCTAACCGTGCCGGTCGAGTAGTCCTTCATCAGGATCGCAAAGTCAAGCGTCTCTTCATTCGTCTCGCTGGCATACGATTCTGCAACGGGTCCCGTCGTGAGGTACGGGGCAATCGTGCTGTAAAACTTTGCCTCCTTCTCGTACAAGCCTCCGGCGGTTCCCAAGGTCCTGCTGTCTGAGTCGTCGGACGTGGTCTTCAGAGCCACGGAAGCAGGGCCCTTGCGAGTGCGCCCACCGTATTCCAGATCCAGACGGTAGACATTGGCAATCTGGCCGCGACCTATTTTTTCCGACTTGACCTCCTTCACGTCAAAACCCAAGGCCTGGGAAACCCATTTGGGCGTAAAGTACGTCTCCTTCATTCTCAGCGTGGGAACGTGGTGCTATCCAAGCCCTTCCGCGGACAGAGACACTGTAAATATCTCTCGAGTCCTTGAAAGGCTTGCTTATGTGCATGGCCATTATGTATCCTCGCACCGAGTCAAGCTGGCTGATGCGCGAGGGGGATACGCACGATCATCTGATGGTTACCGAGGTATCGAAAGCGTAAATGGATGCGATTATAGCAGGTAGCATAGCGGGTGTACTTTTGCGAAACATGCAACCTCCGCTTCCCCGCATTTACTCAGATATCGACTTACTCGCCGACCCTAAGATAGACATGGCCCCCAGCGTCAGTTCGGAATGAGGAAAATTTTGGGGTCAATAAAAGCTAGCTAGTGGGGTGTTCAGTTATGTGCAATTTTCCTCGCATACGTGAGATTATGCGATGCTGCTATTTCTTTCAGGCTTTCCAGCCATCCATGGCCACCAAACGCGGGGGATGTATGTAGGCAATCACTTCTTGGTTGACTCAACTTTCAAGCCGCCGTCAGCTTGTATGCTTCGTCAAGGAAAGAGCATAAAGACATTTTTGGCCTCTGCCTCGATCAGCATGTACATATGTGTGCTGCCGGATTTAATAAAAAGTCAATTGAATGACGTTGCGGTACAGAAGAAGAACAACGGTGCAGCTGTGGGGAAAGCAGTGCTTAGTCATCCTTCTTGTACTTTCTGCAGTCGAGCTTGACAGTCGCGGATTTACCACTCAATTCGTGCTCATTTCGCACATTTAGGAACCTTTAGACGACCTTTGGTATTCTCAAAACGCAAATCAATGCATGCTCCGTCGGACGAGCCGAAGTCAGTTACCCAGGGTACGACGCAAGGATCCATGTGATCTGAAAATCGCATCCCACGTCGAAGGGACCCGTTGCTGCACGTACCCGACGTACCTGCAAACGCAAACTTGGCTTTTCATCAGCCTTCGAGTCGCGCCTGATTCGTGCGCTCCGTACGCTTGTTTGTGCGCTTTCCATCAGACATGGGGAGATAACGAACAGTTGCAAAGCGTAGAAGCCCTCGCAGCCATTTGATAGAACAATGAAAAGACCCGTAGGATCCCATGGATTCTGTTGTCGTTTTCCGGACCGGTCTAAACTGTATTATGTGGCTGCTGAATTGGAACATGCATACATATATAGTCGGCATCTTGCCGTGGTGTGGACGGATCTTTTTTTCGCTTTACCTGTTACGACGCATGTCGGCAACGCATGAGAAGAGTAACAAAGTGTAAGCCCTTGGGGACCACTCTTCTCTTATCTCTTGTCTCTCCTCATTTTCTACTCTTTCTTTTTTTTTTTTTTTTTTGTTCTATGGAATCGTTTCCCACGGTATTTTGCTTAAATGTCTTAAGTATGAAAAACAGTCGCTCGCCCACATGGCAAACCAGTTTGGCGAGCAGTTGATCTTCACTTTCATATCTCCTGATCAATCCGGAGAGAGTGTACCATGTTTGATAACTTTTAACACGCCATCCTTTCAACCTTTGAATGCTAGGATTACCTAGGTCTCTGGGGTTCCTACTTATTCATTTTAGGTTCAGATATAAAGAAATCACCAGTGAAATGCGTCCTATTCACGCTGATTCTGATTGGCTACTGGTAAAAGAACTCAACTCTCGAGGCACGTGCATCTTGCGGCACTTACATCATAAAAGTGGCAAACCTTGTCCACAGGGTAGTGAGATCTTGTTCCATCCTTCTCAAATATAGGAGGACTTGGCTGACTTCATTAGTTCCTTGAGTAAGCAAAGAGGAAACTCAATTCGAGTAGGCAGATCTACAAACAAAATGTTGGCAGTAGCGTGCGTGGGTGGAGCTAAAATTCATCGAGGTTACATGATTCGACGTCTTAAACAGCTAGAGTAAGTTTCATTGGCTCTATGATTTATAGCACTGAGATGAATTGTATCATTGCAATCCAGTTTGTTGCTAGAAGCTCCAATGGATCGACACGAGAACATCAGATCAAATCGTGGCAAGCGATTTCTACATTTGACGACAGCAAGATTCACGATCTTTCGTTTCTATTTACCCATGTACTTATTCGAAATTTCATTCCTTATTTGGCTACCATGAGACTTTTTACAGTCTTCAGCTCCTCAATCCCGTCGACTTTGTAGCACTGAGGTCAATGAATAAGAGTAGCATAGGGTAGCTAACACAGTGAGCTTGTGGTAGGAGATGCACTACGTATCCCATGTTTTTTCGCAAAAGAAAGCATGCGGTTCGCTGAGGATGACATTAACGACCTTACCGCGTTCTGACGTAGCATTCAGCAACTTGATTGGGCTGCAGGAGAAACCTGTTTTTGGCAAGGCTGTAACTTCATGCGAAAAGAGGATTATAAGAGCTGTCAGTTCCGATGAAGCCATGGTCTAAGTGAATCAAGAGGTATTATCAATTCCATCCATTCAGAGGTCCTTACTACAGAATAACACCAAGAAATCAACATGGCACCAGCACCAAAGAAAGGTATTGTGGGAGTCTGATATATTCAATGCTAAGTTGCGCTGATGTTTCTGTCTTGGAAGACTCCACGGAGTACGACGACCCCCTTGAGAAAGCTGAGGCGAAGAAAGAAAAGGGCCCTGCCGCGACTGATGGCATGGTGGGTGAGAAGGAGCTCGACGAGGCCATTGGCGACGAGAGCGCAGATCCCGAGGTGACTTCCGCTGACGACGACCCACTCGAGAAGGCGGAGGCCACAAAGGAGAAGAAGTCGCGCTAGTTGCTGCATGTCAGCGTAAGAGATAGCAAATAAATCAAGAACGCTTCACAACTAAGTTCAATAACCTCTTGTTTTCGTGACTCGAATCGGATGTTGCACACCTGTTCTAATCGACTCTGGAAAGAGAAGCTTGCACAATACTGAGGAATTAAACTTGGAAGGTTCGAAACAGGCTCTGTTGCTTTCGTAATGATGTTGGAATGGTCAACAAAGATTGATACTCAATGAAATCACTCCCCGGTCCTTCAATCAAAGCTAGCGACAATGTAGCAGTCAAATGTATGCGACTAGATACTGCTGTCCTTCTGTTTTTATTGCTCATCAAAGCCATGTTTCGGAGAATTTTCTGTCTTAATGCAAGGTTCCTGTCAAAAATCCCAGCTCAACGATCTCGTTGCAACGGATATAACACTAAATGACTGCAAAAGCTTCCTAGGCGTGCACTTACCACACCGCACGCGGCATCTTTACCCGAGATCGGCATCAAAACTTGTCAACAAAAGGAGACGCCCAGGTGCTGACCAACGGGCGTTGCCAAACCTCTGGGTACCGCTCCAGTCTGTCAGACAGACTTTGTTGGTGCTCGCTGCGTGATTTTGAGGCCTGTGGGTCCTTGATAAATAACCCGTTTTGTAATCTGGCATTATATGCCCGCATCTCGAAGTCGTATTCGTTTTCATCTCGTAGTATCCTTGTAGGACTGCAAACAGCGGCGTACGACAGCACAATACACCTTTACATTTTCACTCTGTCCGGTTCTCCCACAAGGCAACATGGCCAGAAGGGCATCTATCATAGATGAGCAGACTCCGCTCCTCGCGTCGACTGCCCAGGATCCTTCAAATCAAATTAACGAAGTCGAAGTAATCGAGGAGAGCGCCTACGCCGGCTCGGTGCACGTCAACGGCTCTTCAAAGCCAGGCGACAATGAGGACAAACCTCTACCGATGGGCCAAATCCTGGTCCTCTGTATTTCGCGCATCGTCGACCCAGTCAGCTTTTTCTGCATATTTCCCTTCTTGCCTAAAATGGTAGAGAAGATGAACGTCCCCGAGGCAGACGTTGGCTTCTACACCGGTCTCATAGTACGTCATGCTTTTTGCGCCAAAGCCTGACTCTGTCGTACTAACGCAGCGATAGGAGTCCTTGTCGTCGGTGATGCAAGTGTTGACCATGATTTTGTGGGGAAAGGCCGCGGACCGATATGGTAGGAAGCCTGTATTGGTCATATCAAACTTTGCCTGTGCCATTTTCACGACCTTGTTCGGAACGTCCCGTTCGATATGGCAATTGATCCTGTTTCGCTGCTTATCCGGCTCCTTTACGGGATCCATCCTGTGAGTAGGCCGGGCCTCCTTCACCTATGCTACCCGCTAACAGCTCTTAGAGCGGTCAGAGCCATGTTCCACGAGCTGAGTACGCCAAAGACTGAGGCCAGAGCTTTCAGCTACTTTGCATTCACCGGCAACTTGGGCATTTTCCTTGGTCCGGCCATCGGATCCTTAGCACGGCCCGCAGAGCAGTACCCGGATGTTTTTGGTAACATACAATTCTTCCACGACTGGCCCTACGTTCTACCCTGCGCTATTTCGGGCGCTTTGGGATTGATTGGCGCGATCAGTGCAAGTTTGTTTCTCAAGGAGACACTAGATCGAAGCTCTCTGCCGAAGACGGGCGACAAACCAAAGATGAGCACATGGCAGCTTGTCAGCAGTCGCGGGGTGCCGAAAGTCCTTCTCGTCTTTGTTTGGGCAGCTATGCTTGGCTTTGCTTTCACTGCCATTTGCCCCGTGTACTTCTACGAGCCTGTGCATCTGGGAGGTTTTGGCTTCTCCGAGCGCTTCATCTCGCTCTTCATCTCTCTTAACGGTATCGCACAAGCTCTTTGGCTGCTCGTTGCCTTCCCACCGCTGCACAAACGGTTCGGCACGAAGGCCCTGCTTCAAGGCTGCGGTTTGTTCTGGGGCCCATTCATGCTTTTCTTCCCACTCAACAACTGGCTCCGCCGAAACGGCTGGGACACGATTTTCTGGATCATCGCACCCATCAACCAGTCGCTGGGATCGGGGGTCGCGATAGCATTCACGGCATGCCAGTTGGCAGTCAACGAGGCGGCGCCCAGCCCGGATTTGCTGGGCACTCTGAACGGCGTCGCGTTGACTATGCAGTCTGCTGTTCGAGCCGTAACGCCCAGTCTCTTTTCAAGCATATATGCCGTGGGTGTGCGCAGACATATTCTGGGTGGACAGCTGGGGATGTTGGTTCTTGCCGCGCTGGCGACAGCCTTCTTCTTTATATCGAGCCTGCTCCCGACGAAGTACGAAAAGATATCAGAACGTCGTCACCACGATGAGGAACAGGCCAACGGCTCGGCACCTGTGTTAAACGAATCAAACGGAGACTAGTCTTGTCTAAGAATAGAGCTGATCTTTTCGCCATTAGATCGATTATGCCGCTTGCTAGAATCTCATCTCTCGCGATAACAAACTCCAATCTGTAGATAGTATTCATTTAGATCCATCAGACTCTCTTCATCAGAATTACGTCAGTTCTACTGTTACTTCTTATTCCCATCTCTACCATTGTCCAGATCGCCAAAACGGAAGCCTGGCGGTACTGCCCATGAAATTGGATACAATATTGAAGACGGCATGGTGCAAGGTGGCAACGTGGAACGGCCCAAAGACTTTGTTGCTGTAGGTCCCGTGCTACTTCTCGAGCAAAAGGTACTCGGCCAGCAAACCGGACATTTTATAAGATAAAATCTCTTTTGTGTTTGGATAGTATGCAAATGCATGTTTTCGTGTGCGTGAGAAGAACGATCGTTGCGGGTTGTTCATCGATAGGTGTGAGTGCGGTGAGAAAAGCCCACGATCATAACGGCATTGGTCACCACGAGTATTTCTGGAGCGAATAAGAAACGGAAGGAAGCTATCAACGTGACTCACGTCGACGTATTCAATGTCTCAATTTCTCGCTGGTAACTACATTTTGCCCATGATGTGCGCCGTGATAGTGATTAGACTCGTAAATTTGCGTAGAGCATTGACATGTCGACATCCGCGAGGCGCCGGCCAGCGGTGCCCGCTCTGCGTACTTTGTCGTCAATCATGCCCTTGTCACCCCAAAAGATGCGTGGATGCCACTCGTCCACGAGACTCGCCAGCTTGGATATATTGCCGTAGACACAAGGCTGTGGTCCCTTCGGTTGCCATCTCAGCAGGTACTCCGAAAATAGTGCCACCGACAGCATGATCAAGCCAAGAACCGACAACGGTATCAGGTTGTTGAACACCACAAGATTTGTGTTGAAAGCCATGGAGAACATCCAAGGAGCGATAGACTTGAAAGCGAACATGAGCCAACAAACCCAGCTTGTAGCGCCTTCGATCAAGGCACCACGGCCTGCGTCTGCTCCAGTCGTTGTAGCCTTCCGCCACGCAGACTCATCACGTGCAATGTCTGTGAGCAATTCTGCGCAGTGCAGACCGAGGGTGATGAATGAAAACACTGCGCATTGAATTATTAGGCCGAGCCAGTCGCGGCGGTTGAAGAAAGGGTCGACGTAGTAAGGTATGGTCACTTGACAGTAATTCTGCCAAAAGGCAAGGAAGTCTAGTCGATGGGCCATGTGGTCGACGTAATCACTTGTACAGCTCCTTGTCTTCATGCCGAATGTCGTGATGACGAGGATCCAAAGAACGATAACCGCGAAAACAGCCCAGGCGAAATATGTGAACCGGCTGCTATGAGGGACTTCCAACCTCATCGGTAGTTGCTTTCGCTGCGGAACCGCGAGCGTTATGCCTTCGCCGTAGTCAGATTGAGTGAGCCACGTCGGTTTCGCTTCGACATGATTTGGAAGCTTCTGGGCGGACATGATCGCGTCGGCCGCGAGGAGTTTTGGTTTTTTGGTCCTGTTTTTGTCGGCAAGCCCAAGTAGTGCGCATATTAGGGCAGTGTTGAACGGATTGGAACTCCACGTGGGAACAATCTTGCTCCGGGAAAGGCACCAGGAAGATATTGAGCCTTGGAGGAGGAGTGATATACCAAGACCAATGAAACCCCACCCACTGAAGTCAATGGCATACCGCGGTCCGGTGATTGGTTTACCTTCAGCGATCCCGCTCCTGCCGTTAGACATACCGACAACGTAGATGCTACACGTGAGGGAGGATATTGATCCATATCCCATTGTAAGAGCCAAAGCGGAGACAGCATTCGAGACGCGCCAGTTAGGTGCAAAATGCCGTGCTCCAATAAAAAGACGAGGATTCGAATTAAACACAAGTCTTCCTTCTTTGCAGAGAGCCCATCGCAAAGTTGTGTTTTGGATGAAAGCCATGCAGTCGAAGAGAACTGTCAGGCATACGTTCAGAACAAACCCAATCATAAGCATTGCAGCTTCAGGGACAGGAACTACCCTATGTCCGCTAAGGTAATGCTTGGCTGTTTTCGCTGGAAATGGATAACTACAATGATGATTAGTCTCAAGAAATTCCTCCTCTTCCGCTACCTGGACTTACTCCACCGTTCCCATGTTGATGTACCTATTCACCATCGTCAGCACGAGCAACCTTCATACATGGCACAAGGTACGAATGTTAGATTTGACATACTTATCGAGTAGAAATGATGGCAACAGCGTCCGTCCCGATGCCACGATCTGGCAGCCAGCAGCCAAGGACGCAATCCCAGCCAGTATACCTAGAACGAGCGCGAAAACGCAGAGGTTGCGGGTGCGCAAATCGCGATTTACTTCAAGACGCTGTCCTTGAGCTGCTGATGCAGCTTTAAGCAGATCTGGACTTTGGGATTGCCCGTCCAATGCTTCGTTCGGCCAAGAGATCGTCCTCGGAGTTTCCCTTGAAGTCAATCGAGCGTCGGGACGGTTGCCCACTTGACAGAGAGGTTGTATTGTTAACCTCGAGATCCGTCTGTTCCACTCGTCATCGTCGTCATAGATCGAACTGGTCTGTGACAGACGACGTTCCTCCACAACTCCCAAGCTCGGGTTTGGGTTGGCTGCCTCGAAAAAGTGCTGCGACCTGGATGACAGTAAGTTATCAGTCTTAGCTCTTTCCCACGTGACGGGATCTATGTATGCCTATGGAACCAACCTCGAATCCAAAGATGGCAAATGCAGCGACAAGTTAGCAAGGGCAGGGCTCGTAATCCGAGTCCGACTTTCTACGGACGAAGCAAGGGAACTAGCAGCCATGTTGCTTGTAGCTTGAGCTTTCGCGGTTTCAAGAATCGACACTCCAGCGTCGACACCTTCGCGGATGAGACGAGGATTTATGAGTTAGGTCGCAAGGTCGCCATCATGAGCCATGCAGCACCTACAAAAGGGATCGAGCCAGAATGCTCAGGGCAAGGAGAATAGCGCCCGCCATTCCTGCTGCAGACCGAGTTTTTTTTTTTCTTTCTCCATCTTCAGATTCTCCGTGCGATAACGTGGTCCGGCGAAAGCGACGACTATCTCGAGCCAACCACGCTGCACAGACAGGGTGGCGTATGAACGGGGTGAGATTTTCGCGGAGGATCTTCAGCTTCTCTCTCTTGTGGTTCGTGGGCACAGCCTGGTCGGGCTGATGGGATCGACGGCCAATCCAAGCACGCATCGCCGTTCTCCGCCCAGAGAAAAGGCTTGTGGACTATGCCCTTTGCGAGTTCGCGTCATCCCTTACACCGTACCTCGTCAAAACCTGCGGGTTACCCCGAGCGTGCATGTAGAAGCAGGCAGTGAGCTCAATTTTTTCCTTTCCGTCGGCGGTCAGAGGTGGAGAAGCAAGTCGTCCTCTTCAGCCAAGAGAAGCCGCCATGTTGCAACGCAGAAAGTCGATGGGACTTTCTGCAGGGTATCTGAGGCTCAAAGCTAATGATAGCAACGACTCGATGTCTGAACGATTCAGCTGCAGAACATGGATCTTCCGTACCTGCTGCGCTTACTCCGACTTTCAAAAGCCTGGCTATGGACTGTCTTTGCCAACTCGCTTATTCAGATTACCGCCTTTGCTTGGAAAAGAGCGGAGTCCACCCGTTTGCGATGATAAAAGGTGACGGCGGTGCAACTTGAGAACAGTCGCACCTTGACAGCACAATCGCAAGCTCAGATTCGAACGGCGACATCAGGGCCTTCAAATACCGATTTTCCACGGACAACGAAACTGTGCACAAAATCCGCCGAGTCCTCAGCCTCTGGATCGTTACCGATCGCCAGATCATTCCCCTCCGCGATCCAGTCCAGACGACAAAATCCAACAAGCTACCGCCTTCTGCAAGCCTCTGAGAAGTATAGACACCGAACATCTCAACATGTTGCTCAAGGCCGTTCTGCTCCTCGGAATCGCGATGATGGCCACAGCAGGTTCAACGCTCGCCGAACCTCAACAGGAGTCGATTCTTGCCCAGCCCGCATGCGCAGAATGCCAGCCCTGCCCGGTGAGCGGCTGCTTCTGCGGCACCAGCCATCAAGGATCGTGCGACGTGCCTCAGGAAGCACCACGAAACAATCCCTTTAACAAGCCCATCTGCCCTCAGAACGAGCCGTAAGCAAGATCTACGACATGACTTTGATCGCCGTGCCGTTTTCCTGACCTCTTTGCAGTTGCCAGGCTCATTGTATCTGTCCAACGGCGTTGAAGCCGCCAAAGAACGGAGCTCCCCACCACCTCGACGTGACTGTTTGTGCTGAAGGACAGCCTTGCTACGAATGTGAGTGGTGGTCCCGCGCGTTCCAAGATAGCCTACAGAAGTTTGTTGGCTAGCGTTTGATTCTTTCCCCTCCTCATCACCACTCAACTCTCTATGTCGAACTAACTCATGAACAAGGCGACTTGTGTAGCTTTAGCATCGTCATGAGTTACATCAATCCCGGCAAGCTCTCGGGCGACACGAGGATCTGTGACATTGGCAATTGCAATGGCACATGTGTATGCAGAGAGCAGCTTCTTGAGTCTATGCAGGCTGTGCTCTTCCCGAGCAAGGGCAAGGAGAGCGAGGTCATTGATTATGGAGCCGACAACAGCAGCGCCAACGACAACAGGAAAGAGGAGCTGTAAGGCCGCAGCAGTTTTCACGTATGGTGTATCCACAAAAGGAAGACCCTTTTGGCAATGTATTTATCGCCCTTGACGGACAAAATGTTTTGCAGCAGCGCCCTTGGCTGCATCGAATCAAATTCTGACCACCCTGTTCGGCTGTGCATGCATGCTGTTACTTCTTACAATCCCACCACGCTCCCGTATGTTCATAAAGCTTTCAGCATCAGCGAGGCATATTCTCAGTTCTCACGATCAATGTGCGTTATCTTCTAGAACGTGACTCAAGCCATTTGATCCGTCCGTACAATCTACTCGTCCGTGTATCTCGCATGGCTCAAAATCGTCGCAACGATCTTCCAGTCCGCATACGAAAGAAAGAAGTCCGACCCGTTCTTCGTCACGCAGTCCTCCTTCTTCGCAAGCATCCTTAATTCGTATATGCAGCTGAACGCCTCAACGGCGGCGGCGGCTCGAAACAGGTCTTGCACGGTGACTGCTCTCATGTCGCTCAGCGCATCTTCCAGATGCTGCTGCAGGTTGGTCTGGGTCTCCCTGGTGGGCATGCATCCTCCCTTGATAAGGATGCTGTCTGCAGTGCGCTCCACGTCGAAAAGGGCACGGCGGCATCGAAGCCATCCGAAATCGTCGTTATCCGAGTCGTGCTCGCCAGAGGGAATTTCGACGCCTTCCACGCGCTCGGTCCCGCGATCGTCTTCAACCTCGTAGTTGACAGCCACGCGGACAAGCTTCACGTTGCGAAGTCGATCGACGCTCTGGTGGTCCACCCAGCGTTGCATGAGCTGTACCCGGTCGCTCACCTTGTAGTTCCTCCAATACCTGACGTCGTGCAATTCAAAAAACAAAGGAAGCTTGAGCCAGTAGCCTCTCGCCTCTTGCGCCACCGCCCTGCTGACTCTCAAGATCGCAGGCAGCTCATTGACGATGATGCAATCCTCTCCCAAGCTGTTACTTCCGCAAAGCCATGTCGTCCACGGAGTATAAAAGCCTGGCTGTTGCGGCACAACGGTGACAAAGGAGCGCTCCCTCGAGTCAGGAGACAATTTCATGCTCTGCTTAAAAAAGGTCTGTCCAACAGCATTCTGGAAGGAATCTTCGCGCCTGACCGGCAGGGCGAGCACATATGCGTAAATCAGGTTTCGGATCTCTCCCGGAAGATCCAAGAAGCGGAAAGGCAGTTGTCTGTCAGAGCACCCAGGCTCATTCTGCGGTTCTGTTTTCTTCTTGGGCCCATCCGTGGCTTTTTCTGAGTTGCTTTCATTAGACATGTTTGTGACCTGGACTGGGCTTGGGCAGGTCTGGGAGAATAGCAGTCGCCACAAGTGTGAGTTTGTATGTTCCCGCAACACTGGAACTCCAAAACAGTTCGCGGTTGTCTTAAGCAATGTCCACCGTTGGTACTGGCTTGGATCGAATTCTGAGCTACTTGTGGCCGGTGACATTTGATCACCGACCAGGACGACTTTGTGCAGGAGGGGGATGCCTGCAGTACGGACTACGGAGGCAACAGCGCGGGGCAGAGGCGGAACACGTGACGTGATACCTGCACCGATAACACGGCTGTGTCATCATAGAACAAAGAATAGCGCTATATATCGCCGTAGCATGAGAAGGGCACGAAAATCATATGACCCTTGTTCAACCTTAAGCATATCGATTATGCGCCGAATGATCAATGCGAAGCCGGTTCAACGAGCCAAGTAACTTTCTCAATCCCCTCTCGCGCTGAATGGACGAGTATATGGTCCTCGGTTCACAAGATGAATGACAGCACGTGTTTCAGAATTTGACTTCAAGGACCCGCTCCCGAGAAAGTTTGGCCAAAAAATCTTCCATGAGTGCTTCGATCCTATATGAGGCAAAGAAAGGCATGCTCCCCAAGCCGCGAATCGACAAGTGATCCACCACACTCTCGACAAGCTTGACATGTACAGACCCTGCTCCTCAGTCGAGGGGATGAAGAGGAGAGTTCAAAAGGGTAGAGGAACCCCAGACTACGTATCTGAGCGAAATCAAAGAACGTAGAATATCTCATGCGAATTCCAAGCGCCAGGCTACTACTTCCGGCTTCCGCCAACGTCAATCTAGAAAATAAAAAATAATAAAGATCCATATCAGAATGCCCGAGGCCACCGCGAGGCGGGAAGGAAGCACGGAAACAACAGCGGAAAGAACGCCTCCTTTCCGCTCATGGCTTGAAAAAGCATCTACTTATACGATCTCTGCGCAACACAGGTAAGAAGCATAGTTGCCAAAGCACAGCAGCCTGCGCCGAAGGGTTGGTTCGCGATTATCAAGCGAGGACGCGCGTCAAAGGCTAGCCGTCTGAGGAGGATTATACGGTCCTCGACCAAGACTTGAAATGGGCGGCGCTGAGGCTCATCATTCGCCCTTGTCGCTCGCTCGGGTGCGAACGCGTGCCCCGCCATCTCACATTGTCAATCCAAGGCCACAGCACGGGGCGGCAAGTAGATGACCGTGAAGCTGCAGTTGGCGGCGACAACGAAGGCTTCGGCGGGGGCGGTCAAAGGAAAATGCGCACGGGGACAGTGCGGGCTCTGCTCGTCAGGCTGAAGCGGCGGCCGCCCGCGGGGGCGTTTGGGGGGGTGCGCAAGGCGAGCAGCGCACCTCGTCCTCGTCATTGGACGATTCGGCGACGCAGCGTGTGGGGAAAGCTCGCGTGGGCTGCGAGACTGCGTAAGGAGATGAGGATGATTGGCGGGTCACGCCTGTGGGGTTCGGCCCGCTCACGGCCCCAACCCGCGCGCGCACGCTGCTGTCCACATTCTTCACTCACCATCCATGCTGCCGCCTTCTGCTCTGTTCAACGTTCGAGCGGAGGCGTGGGCCGCGGGAGCGCTACGTATCCTCGCTTATCGATGTGGAGGGCAGTAAAGATCGGAATAAATCTCCCTCTCCCTCTCCCTCTCCCTCTCCCTCTCCCTCTCCC